CAGAATCAGAATTTACTTTTCATCCCAAGACAATGGAACGCATACTGACAGTGAGTGACAGCGTGACATTGGTGTGTAGGTGCCTGAGTTGTGGAGTTAGGTTTCTGTAACTCTCTACCATCCACCAAAGGATACCTGTTGTTAGGTAAAACTACGATTGGCGACGGAATCGTACCTCGAATATGCCTACATGCGCCCATGCCCGGTTCTTCCTCGGGGCTCGAACTCAGCTCAAATATCTATTTTTTTAACATTCTGTGGGTAAATTCAGGGTTTAAAATCATCCCCCTCGGTTTTAGGCATGCACCAGAATAGAGTCCTCAAGGTCATTCTCAACGACAATCTTGTCTTCGTGTGAAGTTGGAGCGAGGCTGTATAGCTGCGCAGCGCACAGTCAACATTAATGACGCTCAGGAGAGCCTCGCCTTGTTCCATCATCTAAGCAACAGTGTTCCCTCTGCTCCCACTCCCACTTAAACTTGGACAATCAGTCAGTTGAACTGAAGGCGGTATATATGTTTACATCGGTCGCGATAAATATAGCGGTCCTGAACAGTGTGACCCACAACCACAATCGCAATCACCGGTCATACGAGCGACACAGGAGACCTTCAAGTCTAACAAGCATCGGCTCCTTGATGGCGCCAGCCACCCACCGAACTCAACCTTTTTTTGCTCAGCGTTACCAATCCATAATACCAACGAGCGGTGACGGCGAGATACTCCAAGCTGATGATCAAATATTTCCACTGCATTTAATTGATCGAGAAAAATGTAAAATATACGTCAAAGCCTAAGCAAAGGACACCCTCTTGCGAGGTGCACGATCCTGTGCGGGGCTTGACTTTTGATGGTCCGCGGGGCCCGGGCGCTCCTTGCGCATTTTTACTTTCTCCCTTTTCAGCCGAGCCCGCTGGATCGCAATGGTAGCCTTGACCTCCTCCTAGAAACCGCGTAAAAAATAATTGTACCCTACGCACAGTCTTTGATGATTTACCAATTTCTTTTTTGTCCTGCTTTTTTGATGAATACGGTCGGATCGGGGCTGACCAGCCTACGAATCGGAATGATTTGTGATGAGAGGGATGTATCGGGGAATTGACAGACTGGGAATGTGATGTACCTACCTGCGGTTGATGATGTCTCCCAGCCTTAAGCAACGCTTTATCCTCCTGTGAATTGCCGATTGACACCGCTAGATCCAAAGAATCCTAACCGTAAAGACTTTCATGAGATAATTTCTGGCCGACGATCGCGAGTAATGCAAACGCTGTGTCAGAATGAGCGCCCTACCTTGCCGTGTTCATAAAAAACTTTCCTCTTTTTCTCCTTCAATGTTGATAGTGGGGGTGTCACGACAGGCGGTCCTGATTTCGTCATAACATGGAGTTTCCCGTGTCAACGAAGGCGCGGAAAGACTCTGGAGGCGTTCAAGTCCAGCGTGACGGAATCAACTTGAAAAGGATTCAGACTGATGACTCAGCAGAAAGTTAGTAACACAACCTTCCGACGACGCAATCAATCGCCTTTGAAGCGCCGCCGGGTACCAGCTATCAATTATCTTTTGTCACACTGTGCGTCTGTTCATCATATGCAGCAACAGGAGATTGGCGTAAAGCAACCGGTAGACAACCGGTCGACAACCAGATTCCAATGGAAACGACTCATAGGATTATGTGACTATTTTTCCAACATCTGATTCATCTGCGGTCTCGTTACAGTCAAATGCAGGGGACAGCCTGAGTGCACCTTCAATGAATGCCGGCAACGGAGGGTCGCCAACAATACGACATATTCCAAATTCACGCTTGCAGCTCGAGCTTTCTCTTCAAATGTTATACCAGGGTAACCTAAGTCATTCCCGCAAATCAAGTAGTTTAACTTTCTTCAGGTATTGACAGGATACAATCTAGCCATATATATGGGTGTCACCAACTTTACTTACTTCATGCCGCAGGTGTGACCGAATCTGGAGTTGATCCCCGGGTTCAAATTGTGCCCGTCAGGACCTTGTTCCTCATACGATTAGTCGTTCTCGAGAAAAGGTCCTGCGAAAACGCTATCAAATGACGCACGGCAATACCTCTCGTTTTGGATGGCTGGCGACCTGTTCTTCTTGTGCACAGATGGTCACCAAATTCAAAATGCATAATCCGCTTTAGCACCCTGAGCAGACACGCTACGTTCATTCCATTGCCGTGTATGCTACATAGCCTATCGGGGGATGGATAAAAGGGCAGACAGTTCTTCGTCAAAGATCACCCACCAATCGACTAGAACACTTCTTTCTACAACACTCATATATTCACCAACCACTCTCAACTACTATCAACAATGTGCTGTTGGAGACAGTATGTGCAGTCGTCCAATCCTTCCATGGTTTACTGACCCTCTCCTCAGTGTCCGCAATGTTTACCTCCGCTGTGGACACGCCTTGAACCTCGTAAGCCTCACACGAATGACTCTTAGCGACGTGGCTAACGTCGATGACTTCCTACGTCAGCCTGACGAATTGGTGAGACATCACAGCACAACGATACCAGCGATGTCTAAAAGTTTTTGCAGATCGTCTGCGACAGTTCCAGGTGCAAGTTCGGCCCCAATCACCCTGCCACCTGCCTCCCGCCCACGTGCAAGCAAAGTTGCGCCCAATAGTGCGTGCACACGACTCATTTACGATTACAATGACTGACTTGCACGATGATGAAAATTTCTTACTTCCGCTCCACTCGCATTTCGGACAACGCCACTCTGATGACTCGTCGGATCATTAGTCGCCAGTACCCTCAACAATATTGTAAGCTCGTGATTGTTATATCTCGCTGTTGTTTCTAACAACAGACATGATAGCGCCCAACATCAACAGATTCTGCCCCTCGTGTGAGCAGGCTGGACGCCGCTGAGCGCCGAACGCCGAACGTCATTGTGAATATCTTATCTTGCACCTTTAATTCTTAGAGCCCAGGCCAAAGACCCCTTTCGTTAATTATTCCATGTGTCATATTATTTATAGTGTATCACCTAACATCGGGATCGACTACGTGTACAGTTCGCTTTCTTGTTACAGAATATCGAATGATCTGGGATTTGTTAAAGTTTGTCCGACCGAGGAACGTTGCATGAAGCCCGGATAATTAACTCAATTGGATGGCGCTGTGCCGTAGCTCGCCCGAGTCAACAAATGAAACCTAAGAGCAAAATGCGTTTCAGGCCACTTACATACAGGATGATCCTCACGGTCCCTTGATCAAATGCAATGAGCCGGGAGTTGCATCATCGTGGCGTACGATGGTCGGACAACAATAAGTATTTTTTTTAAGGTTGCAACCGCAGTTTGATCATTCTTTGTCTTGGAGTCAAAGTAAGTTTGTGCGGTGTCATATGGTTTCTCTGGTGAAGTAACGCTGTTCCCGCAGTATATGCCACTTTTTTACTCCCTCTTTAAAATTATCGTAAATGATTGGTCTGAGCGGGCGGCCGTCGTGTGGTCAGGGCACGCGGTACACTCTATTTGGACATGGCACGTTGATAGGCCTTTGCCATCGGTGGGACTGCCGTTAGGATACGGCCGCCAGTCAGTCTTGATTTAGGGTCTGCGTGGTGAAGCGCTTCATCAGGATGAGATTCGGTTGACAGGTTAATAACAATAAAGGAAACAATGGTGCTAACTCTGTAGGCGCTGAGCCATACCCTGGGGGATCATCCGTAAACCTCATCCAATGGTTTCCGTTCACATAGATGTCCGTGAACTGCCGGGTAGCCGAGCTGACAGCAGATAGCCATTAATGGGGTGTCCGTTACTTTTGACGGTTGGATTGAATAATCGCCTAGATTCTGCCAGTAATTTTGAGAAAAGCCTGACTAGTATGTACTGATTGTGTTGCAAACGCTTCGTGCGTTGCTAGTGCTGTAATCGCACGGCCGCGGAGACTGAAGTTGTAAAAACTCAGACCAGTACCATGGAGATCTCGAGAGAGTGCTTAGATGTAAACGTCATGATGATTTACGTACCTTTTTAGGCAGCCCTGAACTCGGCCTCAGCAGGATAAGCGGTTTTGAATTCGATAGCCTTCATAATAATTACGGTGGACTGTGTGTGTCAGGTATTACCCTCAAAACCTAACGTGGGAATCCTGCAAGCCAATGATGAGTCATATGACCATCCGCCGAGACGGGTTGACAGTCACCCTACCCCATTTTCGACTGAATATTAAAAGAGACCATCCGCCGAGATGCAACCGTTGACACTGTCTACCGTTTTCAACTGAATGTAAGTAATCATTCACCGAGTCGGAAGTGTTGTCGCGCCACTGATTTCGATTGAATGGAGGTGACCATCCGCCGAGACGGAAGTGTTGTCGCGCTAACTGTTTTCGATTGAATTGGAAGTGACCATCTGCCGACACGGAAATGTTGTCGCGCTACTGTTTACAACTGAATGGAAGTGTCCATCCACCGAGACGGAAGTATCGTCGCGCTACTGTTTCCTGAATAGAAGTGACCATCCGCCGAGATCCAACTGTTGACAGTGTCTCACAGTCGCGCTACCGTTTTCAACCGAATGGAAGTGACCATCCACCGAGACGGAAGTGTTGTCGCGCCACCGTTTTCGATTGAATGGAAGTGACCATCTGCCGACGCGGAAGTATCGACAGTGCCTCAAAGGTCGGCTACTGCTTTCGACTGAATGGAAGGTGTGCACTGCTCCCCTATGATGCGGTGCTAAGAATTAATTGTACCCCCGATCTGAGAGAGATCCAGCTGAAGCCCACGCCTCGGCAGTTGCGCTGGTCTATTTTCTTCTGAAATGGAAGACAAGGAAGGTCTTTTCCGATAGCAGTTTTCATCGGGTGATATACGCATCGCCCAGACTTGTACGAATAAGTAATAGTAAGCAAGATTCAGACAAAGGTGCCTTGTTCTTCAACTTCTATCAAATTACAGCCCGTGTGTTCCAACGTTACTGATGCAGCGCCAGAATTGTGGCGAGCTGGCGCTGCTTGTGGGAATAGTCAGCTTTGATCAATTTGTCTGATATTGTAGAATTTGTCCCGGGAGTGCTGGCTTGCAGCGTAAAGCAAACTAAGTAGTACATCGGCGGTACCATGACGATATATCTGCGAAAATCAAACCGTCAGTTACAGATGGTGTGACGAAACAGTAGGCGTACAAGTGACGTGAGTTTCATAAATACGTCCAGCTACGTATGCCTGGTCTAGTACTTAATCATGCTTTGTCTCATAAAAGTTTAATCTTTCATCTCCCAGCTAATCCCGCAGCCACATCCACCCTTCGCCTGCGGGTTCTCCGCGATGCGAAACGAGCTCCCTATCAGCTCGGTAGCGAAATCTATTGTAGAGCCGTTGAGAAGTCCGAGGGAGACTGCATCGATATAGATATTTGACGGAATAATGGCAGGATGTGTGAAGTGGCTGCTAATCCGATTAGAGATAACGTAACTTATTGTGTTGTCAACGCACTAGTCTTCCACATTTCGTTCAGAAGCAAGCTCCATTGTATACTGGTAACCGTGACATCCTCCTGACTCCACTGCAATGCGTAGGCCTGCACTGGGAGAGTGTTCCCGCGTAGCTATAGATTGCAGTTGCTTCGGTTCCATTACAGTTCAGAAGACATTAAGAGTTGATGAGAAGCACACGACGCACCTCGGCAGCTCGGTTTGTAAGTTCAAGCTTGATATCCTCTTTGGGTATGATGTCTAAGTCAAGCTCCTGTGCTTTTAGTTCATCTGGAGTTGGAACAGAAGATATTAAGGCGGCGGATTTTGGAACATAAGTGGGTGTTGAGGGGGCTGCATGCACGATTGAGGAGGATGCGAACGACCGCGTCTTGTGCAGGGCGGAGCCAGACTTCCATCTTGTTATCGGCGTTGAGACCATCCCGGAGCGCATATAAATGTCTGCGGCATGTCTCATGCATGTCGACACCAAAAGTCCAAATCTCGGTGTGCTCATCGTCGTTTGTGCGCAGAGGTCGATGATGACCAATTATGATGATGACATGTATTTGGTCATCTACGCTGACCTCACGTGATCGATTATTTAATTAAACTGCTTCATGTACGTATAATACCGTATATGACCGTTTATATGCCGTTATCATAATTTGTGTCATTCTGGCCACGGACTCCATGCTCCGCGTCGGAAACAAGTCCGAACTCTCAGGAGGCTCTTCATCATGATTGCGTGACACTCTTTGAGGTTTGACTTCCAACCCCAACTACACACGCACGAAATGGCGACCGAAAGAGATCCGTTAATCTCGAATGGAACACAAGATCATCGTCCGCCTGGCCCTCGAGACATTTCAAGGTCGACGCGTTATGGAATTTTGGTTGGTCTGTGGTCTGCGACTTTTCTTTCAGTGAGTTTTTTTCATCCAACAGTCTTTCTCTGTTTTCTGATTAGTCGTTAGTCTTTGAACAGTACGTTGAACTTTCTATTCCGACTCATGAGTTGTGTAACTCTCATCAAAACATATCTAGCAACCCTAGTCGCTACCCGTACGACGTCCTGGCTGTTGCATTCATCGGAATACTAATCCGACGGTTCTGTCACAGTGCTACCATCTATCTCCTCTGACTTTAACAAGTCAAATCAAGCTAGCTGGCTTGGAACATCGTGAATACCGGATTCTTCGGCCCGAAATCCTATTTTCTAATACTTTTTCTTAGGTATTTACTTGCGGTCTGTACTTTTACACCTTTATATGGGCGGTTATGCAACATTATGGGGAGACGGGGTGCAAACCAGTTGGCTGTATGTATTGCCGCGCTGGGTACCCTGCTTTGTGGCCTCTCTACGAGCATGGAGCTGTTGGTTGTTGCACGATTTGTACGTTCCTTCATTGATTTCATTTCACTCTTTTGTAACATGTTCCTCCAGCTATCTGGTATGGGAGGTGGTGGTATTTTTACGACCTGCACGTGAGACAAACATCGACCAAACCATTCTATTTATTACTAAACACGACCCATGACGAGTTCAGGATCACTACAAGTGATATGTATTCCATGCGGGTACGTTCTACTCCATCGCCCTCACTGTTATCATTATCTCAGGAACACCTATAGTCAAGAGGGCTTGCGCAAGGGGTACAAAGTGTGTTTGATGGCGTCCGTTTAGTTCCACCACTTTTTGAACCTGGAAATTTACAACTTATATTTAGCTCGGCATGGGTCTAGGAGGACCCATAGGAGGTCTCATAAGTGACCGGTAAGCGCACGCGCCTTATCTTGTTTCCTATCTACCATGAATTCTAGGTTTGGTTGGAGATGGGCGTTCTTGATTCAAATGCCCTTTTTCGTATTGTCACTTGCTCTTACGACCTACAACTTGCGATACGTCACCCCCGTGAGCGCTTGAAAATTTCCTAAAGTTGTCACCGACTCATACTATATTAGGGTAAAAGCGGAAATACCAAGGACGTTTTAAAGAGAATCGATTACGGCGGTATTTTTTCCCTTCTACTCTGTGTGAGTCAATACCATCACGTGTAGATTGTTCTTGATTCCTTGCAGGTTGGATCATGCTTAGTATTCTTGAGTATGAAATACAACGAGGATCTCCCAGTGAGTGATTATTCACATGAAACATCTAGTCGGTTGACCTTGGCCAGTGGTCGAACCGATGGGTATACGTGCCGCTGGCTCTTGCTTGCATTTTCTCCGTAGTTTTTATCTTGGTAGAGTTACTAGTTACCTCGGAGCCTATCATGGCGCCATTCCTCTTGAAACAGAAGGTCCCTGTTCTTGTTGGAGCCAACAACTTTCTTGTGTCATTGTGCAACTTCTCCGTAATGTATTTCTTTCCGATGTGGTTTCAGACAGTGGCCTTGACAAGTGCATCGACTGCGGGTATGTTAATGTTGATTTGTTTCAACATAGTATTAACCGCAATCTGGATTGTGGACAGGCTTGCATCTGATGCCGAATAGTGTATGCATGTCAGCCGGGTCCTTGTTTGCCGGGTTAGTGGATGTGTCGTCGTCATTTTGTTTTTGATTCTCATCAGCCCCAGATGGATGATGCACCGCACTGGGAAGTATAAACTCATCAACCTTATTTTTGGTTTCTTCCCATTCGTCGGCATCACTCTCATCACGTTGTTGCGGAAGGACTCCGGACCACTGCAAATGTGGCTGAGCATTGTGAGCGCCACCTTGTATTCTCTGATTGATGTATGAATAATGCCATATCAGGTCCCACTCGGGTTTGGCAACGCCGTCGTTTTACAGACAAATCTTGGTGTGTAGGATATTGGTAATTGGCTATGCTTTAGGTGGTTAATCATAATGCACACAAATAATTAGTTGCCTTGCTCGCACACCTCCCTGGTGCGTGATTATAGTTCCTGTGCTGAAGTATCTAATGATGTAATATACAATAGAGAGCTCGATGGCCGTCGGAACTGGTTTTGGTCAACTTTTCAGAGGCATAGGTCAGTCGCTCGTACAGTTCCTGGTTATCAAATGTTCACTGTTCCGGTAGGTCAAGTAGGGGGCGTTGCCATTTCGTCGGCGCTATTCCAGTACAAACTTGACTACGAGCTTCGATCAAGAATACATGGTGATGGCGCAGCAGAGGTGAATTGTTACCCTTCAAGCAGTACATCCCCATGCTATATTTTCTTCATTTAGATTGTGAGTCGGATCAGGCACTCAACTACCCTCCTGGGCGAGTTGCCGCCAGATTTGCAGCGCGCAGCAAGAGAGTCATATGCTATCGGTCTCCGTGCTGTGTTCACGCTTGCTGCATGCTCCGCACTGCTAGCGTATTTCGTCCGACTACCTGTACGTTTCTAGCCTGTTTTATTTTTTCGGTTCTCTGTTGATGGTATCACGGCTTAGATTCCTGAGAAGAATTTAGACAGTCCGCCTAAGGAGACTGATACCCAACCCAAGTCCACCAATCCCGGGGCTGAATCAAGAGCTCTGCCTCCTCCCCAATGGTCGCCACGCCGTGGAGAACGGGGGGTGTGAGGACACCCTGCCGTTGCTTTCCAATCACGAGTCCAGTTTTTCCACCCTCGAGCCGACAGAATGTACATCATATGAGGTTAGAAAGCGCTTCGATCGGAGGTTCAGCCAGACAGTGATAACTCACATTAATATCTTTATTCCTTATTCCAAACATAGAGTAGAAGAGTCTTACATTCCCGGATGTCTCCGTGGTTCTGATCCTCGACTTCTCAATGTCCCTTGTACTTCTCCTCATCAATCAAATCACACCCAATCCCGATGTTTCTCCTAATTGTTCATGCAGAACTTGTACCGTGCACTATAACCCGTCTTGAGTCTCGAGCTTCATATTCGTGAGATGGTTTGATAAGGGGGAATGATAAAATATCGAGTGGCGCAGATCTTGATTCGGAAGACAACCATTTAGTACTAGTGCGCCGCTGCACCGAAGGTTGGTTATGGTCGCCGAGAGTTCAGGGAACAAACAGCCTAGCTAATCGTTGGCCGATAGGCCCGACAGATTAAGACCCTGATCCCCGAGGTGGTTCGGAAACGGCTACCTTGCGTTTGCGCTTGATATTGGTACTGTGTCCAGTACCTTGCATTTATAATAATGTGAGGAGAAACAACGCCGGTAAGCAGAGGAAAACGAGCAAGTCAGAAACGATGGTGGTGGGCGGAAGGAAACAAGCAAGTCATTGATAACAATGTACCGAATACTTTTATTCTAGAATATGAGCAACAACACGTACAAAACGAAAAAATTAATGAAACAGGGCTATCTACTGCGATATGAAATGAGCGCGGGATATCATATATCAGCAGTCACATGCGCAATGCGCGTGTACATACCACGTTTGGAGATCTTATCAGGCCTCGAGGTCCGAGAAATCATCCAACTTCTACGACCATAGCTACATTCAAGGGTGATTTGCTGGTAGATTCACCTGTGGATACCGAAAAAAAATCATCGCAACGTTTCCCCAACATCTTCGAGACTTGTTTTGCTTGAGTAGAGAGAGATCGGAGGATCTCGCATTCGTCATCAGACGGCTTGAATGTAGTTGGTGTCGTCTGCAACTTCTGTCAGGTTACCATTCTCTCATTTTCTCCAACTTGACGTCTTCTAACACCAGTAGCTGTTTGCTCTCGACACGAAATGCTTCAAGGAATGATGTGTAGCGCCCGGCCTCTTCAAGCTCCCACGTCGCCGTTGACGCGCAGCCTCGCGGGAAGCCAGCTTCGCTTTGAATGCCTTGTACAGGGCCGCGAGGCTCAATTGTGAGAGGCCTCTCGCGATAATTAAACATGAGAATGAATGAACGATTGTAAGAATTGGAATACCTGTTCAGTTTCTTCGGGAGTGAATTCTGGTTGGCGTACCCTCCCTGTTACACGAGCTGCAAACCGAAGCTCGGGCGGAGAGGGTATGGCTGGCCATTCGTTCCCGTAGGTACTGTCCACGAAGGGAAGCACTCGCAGATGGAGTATCAAAAGGCCTAAAGAATAGGCTCTCTTTCGCATCTGGAGGACTTGGTACTTCATCCGTGAGGGGGAGAGAACTGTGTGGCTCAGTTGGAGTTAGCTCAGAGGTCATTGAATCAGCAGATGAGTCAGAGTTTGTCTGCCTGTACAGAACACGGATTCCGGATGATAAGCTTTTGTATTTGGTGAAGTCAAACGTAGATAAGTCAACAAGAGTTTCATCGATGGATGCTCAATGCCTGATCGAGACCTTAGCCTGGTAGCGGTACCGAAGTCCGATTCGGTCCGGTTCTTGTCCCTCTAGCTGCGAACCACAAACCAGACGCATCAGTCGCGTTCAAGCAAAGAGGGCAAACGTTGAACCGAGCCTAACTCTTATGAACGCGTTCACAAGCGTTCGGTTCGAGTTCAGAACGCGTTCGAACGCCCATTCGCGTTAGTGACTAGGCGCGCATGGATGGAAGGAGGGTCACGATGTAGAAAACGGGTGTTGTCGACTCGTTTGACAAGGAGATTGATATCGGGTGGCACGGGTTTTGATAGACGCGGACAGGTACGCGGCGGCAGCGAGCAGCGGTCGCGTATACCCGTCCCTACGGGTGGGCGTACAGGAAATAGTCAGGGTTCCCGTCGGTCGGACCCTACGAAACATGTGAATGTTTAAAAAAAAGTGCTTTGCAGACCTGTGGAACTGTCCATATAGTACGATGCATAAAAAAACAAATCATGAGACCGAAAGTAGGGAATGAAAGCATGAGACCGGAAGTAGGGAATCATGAGTTTACGAGCTTTGTGCATTCGTGACTCAAGGTGGCGTTCTCCGCGAACAGCTGGGTTATGGTCCGACATAGGGTTTATGTTTTTTTTAGCAGGCTTGTGTATAAAACGTTAGTAGTTAGGGATTGAATCAGCTCACGCTCTTTATTCTGGGCCTGCCAGTTCTCCCGTAGACAGACAGATAGGAAAAAGACAGCCGTTCCTGCGGATTGGGATAAAAAAGGGACGTGGGTAGCACGAGGTATGCCATCTCAGCGAACAAGTACGCAGCATGATGGGATCGCGTGCTTCAAGTTTAAGTTTATGCATATGATAGTAGTCTCTGCAAGAGCGGCCTATCACAAATCTGACGTGACAAACGTCAACAGATATACAAAACCCGTAGGTATGTGAGTCCATACAAAATGAAACATGTGGTAACTCTAGATCTATAACAGTATCTAGAGCAAAGATATGACTCAGTGAAGAAGAAAGAAACACAAGTAAAAAAGAAAGAGAAAGCACTTGCACACATATATGCATATGAAACAGACGCAGCACCTGAAAATGAACACCAAATGAAGCGATCGGAAGTAGGTTTGAAGGTTTGAAATTCCTCCGCATGACATCATCTTAGACTCTTCCTCATTGTATGTCGGCGCTCGCCTTCGACGCAGACGAAGCTCAAAATGACATCTCCGGTGATGGTCAGACCATGCGGGGTTATATGCAGTAGCCCGGGATTTGTTCTCGTTGCTGGTGTGTATGTGGCAACTGGGGCTTGCCTGCTATCGTTGCTCGCCATCTTTGAGAGCAAAATCAATATGTGACAGCAAGGCACTTCCCGCAGTGATTCTCACCAATGCTGATCCTTCATGGAACGTCCATTTATACGATTGCCCATTTAGTGCTGTGAATGTTCTTGACCTAGACAGAAGGGAAAAATAAGACGACTGCGGAGGATTAAAAGGAAGAAAAAAAAATCATACGAGCTGAAAAAACTGCTTTTGTTGACATATATCTCGTGTCCGTGTACGACAGCTGTCCCAGGTCTACCAGAGTGCCACACTACTCTTCCAATCTCCACTTCACTCTGCCCACCGCCGACCTTCTTGACGGTAGTCGTAAATGAGCTAAGATATGTGTCGATGCGATACACGGCGCGACCCTCTGGGGATAATAAAGCAGTGTTAAACGGACTGTCCGTAAGAAGAGAATAGTTCATGATTGGGACGGTTCTACAGCGTGTTTAGTTTGGTGCGCTGTACTTATCGGTGTGTGCAGAGTCTGAAGAGCGTGTGGCGAGAGAAGCTCTAATTCTGCCACGGTGGGCGCCAGCTGTTTCCGTGCGCACGGGCACGACATGTAGCGTTGAATTTTTAGGATTTTCGTTCATGAGAGCTGGGGAACGATATGATAGCTGACATGAGTGCTAAGAACAACGTTGATGAACCCATCAAGTCCACATCTACTCGTGTTGCGACGCGTGCAAAGGCGGTGTGCTAGTGACACTGTGATTGGATAGCATCCCTTGGGAATCGATCATGCTTCGAAAGAACCATTTCGGCTCGGTTCGGCTTGTATTTCGGGATTGACCGTCGTACCTGTTCTCGTTGAAGATCAAGTTCACAAAGAACTGTCAAGTACGCTGAGCCTTGCATTGATTCTTGTAATAATGTTTGTTCCCCGAGTCTTGATCGTTCATTAAAATTTTGTTATACAACACATCCAGCATATATATAAAAACTAACACAGCTCCATAAATCAAGGTCTTGCGGTCAAACGTTCAACTGAGAAGGCAAGACTCCACGTAAGTACTAATAACAACAAGAGAACGTGAATGCACATACCAGACCTCTTCAGCAGTGGTAGTCATTGATAATCTGCTCCGCTTGTATGCGCGAGGCGCTTCCGAACTTGGAGGCAGCCGACGCATAGGCTTCCCTACAGCATGGACCCTGTTCAACAAGATACCAGCGATGACCTTGCACCGGGTCTCGCGCTCCTGTGCGGCCCGCTGTGCAGTTCGCTGACGAACTAGGACGTCGATTGGGTTTGAGCCGGGGAGTCTGACGGTGTATGATTGTGAAGCGAGGTGAGTGCGCTGGGGAACGGGTCGTTGTGGTATGGGCAGGGCGCATTCATTTGAATCATTAAATGGGTTTTCTGAGGGGAAAGGGATAGCTTGTGGTGCGATAGCACGAGGTGGTGGTGGAGGTGGGACACGACGGGCTATAGGGAAGGATGGGAGACGACGAGAGCTTGAACTAGGGAGTGATACGGGCGCTATGCGCCAAGAGGCGGTTCTGGCGAATCCTGGATGGATTTTATTGATTGGGGAGCCTTCAATTACGACGCCAGCGTTCGATGAGAAAGTAGTGTAGGACGGTACGCCTGCGAAAGTGCCGTGGATTGAATGAATACTGTGAGTTGGGACGGACATCTCGTTTGAGGCAGGTATCGTTTACTAGGAGGGATACAAATACTAGTAGTATTATGAGGGACGTCTGAATCAGCTGAGGTACTGAAGAATTTATAACCGTATTTGTTGTAGCGTGATCAACCATTTCTCACAAGTAACAGCCTCCTTAACGTTGTACTATCCAAATCAAGAACACAATGATTTTGCGACGAATTTCACCCATCACCTCTTTGTTTTTCTCATTCCTTTTGTTCCCAGTTCACGTCCAAGTCCAATTATATAGTTGCTACTGATAATTCAAAGGGACTCTTGTGTTGCTTTATCAATGGGCTCGCGTTGGATACTACGGCGGACCCGAGGCTATGTTCCATCATAGGCTGATCCAGAATCTTATCGGCAGTGTGGGCCAGGTCATCAACTTCTATCAAACGCTATAGACGAATCTGGATTTGTATCAGTCACATGTCGCGTGTCCCGCAGCAGAATCTAGCTTGATACGGGAAGCTTCTATTGCTTTCGCGGAGAGGAGTATGTATGTCCGAGCCTATCTATATCCCTCCAGCGAGTTCTAGCGAATTTCAATACTCCAACAGCAGGCACCCTTGTTAGGCAATCTCCACTTCGATCAGATACCTTGAGCTTTATCCCCTAGATAGCACCATTCTTCGACCCCACGCACCGTGCTTTCTATTCTCGACTAGTTCCTTCGCCGAGGTTGGATGGCAAAGTGACGTACACCTGATCAAGGAGCCTCTCTTGATAACATGGCCCTAGCTCCCCGATAAGAGTGCTTCGTTGTTGCTCCACACACCTGAGAATCCGTGAGTAGAAGCCCGTCGTCTTCCAGACTTGCATAGGGTCGTCCCCTGATTCTCAATCGCGTTCTTGATTGTAGCAGCTGTCCTACCGACAAGACCACTACGAATGATGTTTGGCAGGGATCTCATAGTTGTTTGCGGGTGAGATTTCAACTCAAGGTAGCAAGTCTGACTGTAAAGCCAGGATATCTGCCATCTATGCTTCTACACAAAGTAGAGTTACCCGCGGATCCGTCGTTGGAACTTTGCAAATCAGGGCCCTACTATAGGCCTGGACAAGTGCTCGCGTGGGGATTCTCTATCCCTGATGCTTCTTCTGCGCGTGTCTAATAAACCAGCAAGTTGAAATGTAGGCCCCATCTTCCCGCTCCTCTCTTCTCAGCTCTCACAAGTACGAATTTTTTCGGCTCACTCACCATTCCTATCTTTATCTTGGTCTGTGTCCTTGGGCACCAATTAGCTTCAGCCTGACCCAGCGCTTTACTCACCGTTCTGGCAGTCGATGACAGACTGTTGACAGCTGGATGCCAGATTCGGACCTTTACGCACATGGCACCATGCATCATCGCAAATTAATTCTTTTACGTGATCCTTTATTTTCAATATTTCTTGGTTTTCGATCCCATCTAGCCTTTTCTTTGAATCAGAGCTGATCGATCGATCTTCATTTCAGCTCTTCGCTCCACAATCGGCCCCATGTAAGTGCGCGATTTCCTTCCTCACAAAGTACTCTCATTCTCATTAAAATGAACAGATTGAACCAATGTACCCTTCAGCGTTGGTTACATCTGGGTTGTATTCCCTTCGCACAACCGCCTCCTCGGCTCCACATATTAGTGCAGCTTTGCGAGCTGGTGGTGTTCTCTCTCCGAAGATACTGGTAAACAGGTGAGTCATCTGCCCGTCCTTCCACTATGTAGTCCTGACGTCATCTTCCTGGGTCTTCATATATACTAGCTATTACTGTTGAATATGAGACTTCTGCATCGTCGCCTGACTATGTAGATCTCATGTTCACATGTACAAGCTGCTAGTGTCCTTTCTCCTGCTGGAAGTGCAACTGTGTAACAGCTTCAGTGCATTGTGCTCTGCTCTGCATGACAGTGAGTACTCATCTTTCATCACAATTACTTTGATCCTTCAAGTTGGCAATATCAACTTGACGAGCTTCGTTTCATACCCGTCCACCGAGATCGTCAGTTCCGGGCCAACGGATCCTAATGTACTGGCGAGCATGTGAACATTCCGTCATATCTTTGAACTTGCGTTAAACCGACTTTAGGTCGTCATGCATTTCCGAGACAATCAACGACTATTCCCATTGAGCCCGGGATCTATGTAGCTCGAGATGGTCAGAGTCATTCTACCTGTCCGACTACATATTTCAGGGGCTCCTGGTGATCTCTCTCCGGAAACACAAACCGCACACAAGCTCTCGCATGTTTCGGCCTCCTTTGCTTGTCAGTGTTTTCTCCATCATTTCCTGCCAGCTTTAACCTATATCCGCCCTCCAAGATCATGAACTCGCAACTCCAAACTGATGGGTACAAAGGCGCTGGCAGGTGAACATTCCGTCATATCTTTGAGCTTGCGTTGAACCGACTCTAGCCATGTCGTTAGGTCGTCATGCATTTCCGAGACAATCAACAACCCCATTGAGCGCGGGATCTATGTAGCCGGACAGGTGTCATCTTTCTACCTGTCCGACTACATATATCAGAAGCTGCTGGTGTTCTCTCTCCGGAAACATAAACCGTATAAAAGCTCCCACATTTTTCGACCTCCTTTGCTTGTCGGTGTTTTTTCTCTACTTTTTCCTGCTAGTTTTAACCCATATTCGCCCTCCAAGATCGTCAACTCGCAACTCCAAACTTATGGGTTGAACTGATCCTGATTATCATCCCTAGGTCTTTGTGCATTCCTATTCCCAGGTATGTGATGAGAACCACCCTTGGATCTTCGTAGATGTCAGGGATCTATTTCTGCCCATCTGTGTAGATCCCACACTCCCGTTCAATACAACCCTGTAGATGTTCTCACACATTTCATCCGTCGCAAGTACCCAAGTGCTTAATCCAGGTGTGTTATCCAAGGTCGTCCACTATTTCTAGCCATGGCTATGGGACTGTTATCTTCTAACTACTTGACCCGTAGATCTTGTTCTCTCTTTGGCAATGTATCTTCTGCAGTTGCGATATCCGAGTCCAGCAAGTATGACACGCAGTGTCCTTAACACCGATAATTTACGTTCTCTGTGAAAGAGAAAGGCCTTTATCGTTATTGGGGAGCTAGTCATTGATCACTGATTCCACCGCTTCACTCGATGGTGTTCGACCTGGCTGCCAGTCATGCTTGAGAAGCGGAACCGGTGCTCATTCTGACGGTGATGCCAAGTCTGACGAATAGACGGGGAGCTCGAGTGCATTCACTTTTAGTACCCTCTTGCTCGAGTTATCAGCTGACACGTCGTCAAATTGACAGCAGTGCAGGGTTCCTGAGATCAGCCTGTCACGACCTGTTACAACCGGCTGGTTCTTTCCATTTCGGGCTTACAAAGCTGTGTATATATCAAACAGCACCTTCCACATAAACACCGTTTCCTGCAAAGTTGTCAACTGCGCACCCTAGTGCACGCGCACACCTACCTAAAAGGTAAGTATCCATTTTGATACAAACAACATCCCATCTGAACACATCATGGACTCCCAGATAACTCTCGTTGACACCGATCCTGATTCCGAACTCGCTCCTCCAGATCCGGCATTTGGTGCAACGACAATACTGGACTTTGACAGCAATATTAATGCGAGGAGATTGACGAATGCCACGGTGCGGGGACAAAACCACATACGATACTCTGTTGGAACTGTCAGGACTGGTCTGGCGGGGATGAGCCGCAAGACCATTTTCAGCCAGGGAGAGAGGATACTGGCAACGGTGCAGCGCAGGAATATCATCCCGGATGTGTTGACGCTGGGCGGCGAAACTATGAGGCTTGGTGGCTGGCTGAAGACGCCTATATTCTCATCGCTGTAAGTTGCATCTGACGAGCTTTTGCACATGGTGGACGAGTTACAACATCTGATGATCTAGTCCTGCGTCGTTCCGCGAGGGGAGAGAGACGTACCTCTGGAAGAAAGGCCGGGACGGCAGAATCGATGTGGGTTTAGGGCGATCTAAATAAATGTGCACGAGATTTGACGTGTTTTTTTTCAACAGCTGTACAAAGGAAGCGGTGCTGATACTAGTACAATCGCTCGTTTCTATCCCTCTGATTTCGCTGTGACGCGCGATCGGAGAAGGATAACGTATCGCGCTCACTTGGACCTACGAGCCGAAGCTGATCTCATACGCGAAAAGGTGTTCATATCATGTGTGCTGATCGTGCAGAAGAGGAAGAATGCAAAGGTGAAGGAGCAGGACTTGGTGTCGGTTAATAGTAATGAACTTGGACTGATTTTTTTCTACGCGATTGCTCCGGTTCTTGGGTTTTGACTCGACGAAACTTGTTTGAAGCGCTACCATTTATTTATTACCTGTTGTTCATATACGAAACTTTTGCTGCAGTCCAACTTCAGTCTTAAAATAAATGTAACCTACCAAGTCAACTGCACCGACTCCTGTGATGAATTTACCGACAAATATATACTTAGCATATAGAGAAGTCACGGCAATCAACCACTTCCCATGCTGAATCAAAAGTCTGAACTCATGTTAATCACGTGGGTGAATTCCTGTATTGCTTCGGTACGAAAAAAGATACTCCCTACATGCTCATGTACTGAGAACTCCAGTGCTATCGCAGCAGCTGCGCAACCCTTTTTCTCATCGCTCGCTTGCCCAATCGCCTCTCAAGCATTTTATGCACCTCCTCATTCCCAGAAAAGGGGGTCAGACCCTCATCCGCGTTCCAGGGCGGAGATACTGAGCGTGTGCGGTGAACGTCCGATAGAGCACCATTCAGTACCTCTTTCCCATTCAGTGCCGAATCCCCATGCGGCGTGTAAAATGGGGGTGGCGATTCACTTTCGCGCTTGATGTGCATGGCACGAGGAGGTTCTCGGAGTGAGAACTCATGCCGGTTAGCCTCATCGAGTTGCTCTGCATCAGCAGATGCAGGCTCGGGTTCATTTTCGCCGTCGTACTCGAGATTATCCTGATCTTGAAGGTCCTCCGATGAAGATTCAGATTCATGCCGTACCCGCAGCCCATTTGGTAAACGCCGCTCTAGCAAAGTTTGCTGCAAGGATGGTCGGTGACGAGAGCTGCGAGGCGGTTCGTCGTCGCTACTATCGCTCTCCCTGTTCTCCTTCGAAGCTCTCCTGGCTCTATGCGCTCCCCGCTCCCTCCGCTTGAGTGCGGCTTCAATCCAGCTCTCAGAAGCATGGCGCATGCCCCTCACATACTTCTCAGTCTCTTCTAAGCTTTTGACGCGCTTGTAAACCTCAAGCACGACGTCTGGTGAGTATCCGTGTGCGGCGGCGATACCTGATAGCAAGGATTTGAATCCGACGGAGGCGGACAGGGGTAAGTCGACGGGTGTTATGGATGTAAGTGGAATTGATGGTGTCGTACGCCCAGACGTGATAACGTAGCTAGAGAGGTGAGCTGGGATGGCCGATGGTGTGGAATGGACGGCGAGAGAGTGGCGGAGAGGTAAATGAGAAGCCGAACTATTGGCTCTAGAATGGGGCATTCGGTAAGTCGAGGTTGATAGAGTGCGAAGGTCCATGTGTGGCAGGTCATAGCCACCAGCTGTCTCTCTGGTAGCAGTGGTTAGTTTTAAAGGTCCGGCGGCAGGTTGGGCCATAACTGATGCTTGGCCCATAAGAGGAGTTGAAGATCGTTGATATTCTGGCTTGCGTGCTGCCGTAGATGTTGATGCAGTCGGTCCTCGTCCTACCTCTTTCTCTTTGCCTTTCTTTCCCCGAACGGGAGGCCAAGTCGTCATCAGTTTCTCCTCAGAACGACTACCAAGTCGCACACGACCTAGCCGATCAGTAAGCGCCGTTGTAAAGTGCCCTTCTATCACTTTTGGGAGAACTTTCGCCTTCGAAGGAGTAGGACGATCGTTTGTTGGCGAGAGCGAGGCGAAGATGGGAGAAACGGACTTGTGCTTCAAGACTCGTTTGAGCACTGGTGGCGGCTTTGGGGTGACTACCTGCTGTGAAGATGAGGCAAGAGGCTGAGAACTTGGTGGGAGCTGGGACGAGATTGGTGGCAGGGTCCTGACAGGAGAATTGACTTGGGACGACAGGACCGGCAGGGTATCCGAGCGAGAAGGGGGCGGCGAAGGACTATTGAACGTGTTTGCTGGTTTCGGGGAAGGCGGAGGCACGTCTGACACAGCTTCTGATGGTCCCTGATAAGGGGGAGAACTACGAGCTTGGTCGCTTGGTCCAACGGCGGGAGTTTCGTGTGTCCCATTGGTCTTGATCAAGGGCGAGCGACTACTCACAGTAACTGGCTGGTCTTTCTCCAGTCTGGCTCGCTTTACTTTCCGATGCTCAGAAACTTCTTCACCGCCAGCCCGTTTTTTCCCTTTTCCGGTCTTCATCGAGCGGTCCCTCGCAGCTTCTTCGTCGGGAGGCGGAGACTGAGGCTCCTTCCCTGTTTGCTTCTCCATGTTCATTCCCTTTTTCTTCTGATATTTGAGTATTCTCCTGTCAAATTCCTCCATATTGTTCCTGTATCGGGTCTGCCAGGACTGCCATGTGTGCGTCCTGGACCAGTTCCATTTGTTATCGACCTATATTAGCGTTAGAATTTGATTCACGAGAGAAACATGAGAGAAACTCACATTTTCCACAAGGCGCTTGTACAAAACGTTTCCGCTTCTGTTTTGCTTACTAGGATTGTATGTCGCAATATATTTCATGAGGAGGGTGTCCTCGTCTGACGTGTAGCCCACACGAGTACTAGGAGAAGCATGGTAAGTCAGCAGCATTAATTATGCAAATACAAGTACAAACCCTTTTGCTGCGACTTGTGACATGTTTGCGGTTCAGTATATGCATATGTAATATCACTAGATCAAATTTGAGGTGAACGATGCATTGGAAGCAGGCGCGTCTGGTACGTGACGCGTCAAAATCACGCGGGATAATGTCACGTCACGCCCTCCATGACAGTAGGCGCCGGCCACTGCAATTCCTTCGACGCACTAAGCCTAAACAACACACCAACGCTCGTTGAATTTGAATGATGGTAAGGAGCTCAAAGCTGCGCATCGCGTTTATTCACCCTGACTTGGGAATCGGTGTGTATTTAATGGCAAATTCGAATATGGCGCTCAACTCACACTATGACACGTAGGAGGAGCCGAAAGGCTGGTTGTAGATGCTGCATTGGGTTTACAATCCCTGGGTCACTCTGTTGATATATATACCTCTCACCATGACCAGCACCACTGTTTTGAAGAGACAAGAGACGGTACGTCAGGAAATACTTGTTCGGTGACTGCGTCACCATTATACAGCTCTCATTTACAGGAAGATTGCGCGTCCATCATGTGATTCCACCGCTACCTCGGTCTATACAGGGAAAGTTTCATATCATGTTTGCACATGCAAGGCAGCTACATCTCACCATGCACCTCATGTGCACGTCAGCGCATCAATACGACGTCTTCTTTGTCGATCAACTCTCTACTTGCATACCGTTCCTCCGAATGTTGTGCGGGAAGCGCGTCGTTTTCTACTGCCACTTTCCGGATAAGCTTCTTGCGAACGGTGCATATGTAGAGGACCGGCCGCGGAAGAATGTCAATATCCTGAAATGCATCTATCGCTTCCCAATGGATTGGTTAGAGGAAGTGACTACGAGTATGTGTATCACCGCTTGTCCGGAATTCACATTTACCGGAGACCTAGCACAGGCTGACCTGATTCTCGCGAACTCAAAATTTACTGCACGAGTAACCAAGTCGCACTTTTCTTCCCTTAGACACCAGTTGAAAGTCGTCTATCCTGGAATTAATATCGCAGCCTATATTTCACCAATCGACCCATCAGATTCTGATATCCTTCAGGTTGCCTCGTGAGTGTATTTTCTTTCTTTTTTCGTGCATAGACCATTCAAACACTCTCGGTGAAGACAACGGCGAACATTACTGTCCCTCAACCGGTTTGAGATGAAGAAGAATGCTGCTTTGGCAATAGAAGCATTCGCGATACTGCGGAACAAGGATCCGAAAACATCAGACGTGAGGCTGGTTCTTGCTGGTTGGTTAGGTAAAAGCCATTGTACAAGATCGTCGCTAACCATCTTCCAGGTGGCTATGATCCTCGTCTAGAGGATAACATACGCACGCTGAAATCTCTCATCGAACTGGCACAGTTCAGTGGTCTGACTTACAACATCGTCACCCCGTCGCAGTCCCGCGTGGCAGTACCGTCGTTCCCGAAGATAACCTCGAATGAGCCGGATATATTGTTCCTCTTAAACTTTACCACCGCTCAGCGTTCAGGTTTACTACAGGCTCAATCTACGCTTGCTCTGTTATATACCCCAGCTAACGAACATTTCGGAATTGGACCAGTGGAAGGCATGATATGCGGCCTGCCAATACTTGCTTGCGACAGCGGTGGCCCCACAGAGACTATCGTCGACCAGCCAGCAGATCAGAGGACCGGATGGCTCTACCGTCCCCAGCCATCAGTGTGGGCTCAAGCATTGGAGGAAATTTGTAATCTCTCAGAGACAGATAGAAAGGCGCTCTCGCAGAGAGCTCGGGACCGTGCACAGCAGATGTTTGGAATGGAGGCGATGGCGAAATCCCTCGAGGGAGTTTTGGAAGAAGCGGTATCTATGGGACCGGTGTCAAGAACGGGGATGTGGCTCGTGATGCTTGCAGTTCTGGGTTTACTAGTGGCTTTGTTCTTTCGGTATGGATCATTTTCAGGGTAGCTCTTTGATTGCGAACGGACAGGACCGTTTTTTGCAGTTTATTCGATAGGTCAGGATCCTATCAAAAGTTGCGCATAATGGCAAAGTCTTTGAACCACGTGTACTGTTGCTTGGGAGTAGCCCAGCCGTCTCCGTGTCCGCCGAAGAAAGTGCTGAAGAAAAGCCCAACAAAACCCACCGCCGGTTCATCGCTGGAATCACTGGTACTATTACTCAAGACAGAGATCCTGTCAGCGACGAGGATCGTCGGCGCTTCTCGTGCTGTATGTATGACGGATGATTGAGAAGCCACGGCTTCTTGCGCTGTGGCCGTCACTGCCAGAATTCCCAGCAAACCACCTTGTGTTTGTTGTGGAGTTGGCGGCGTCAAAGACTTGGAAGTGGTTTTTGATTTTGACTTCTTTTTCTGCTGAGGTGCGTCGCGATAAAATATGTCTGTCCGGTTGATCACCCGCATCCCGTTAACGAATAAAGCAAACGCTCCATCCTGCTTTCCAGGCGTGTTGAGCATGACGTCCTGGCGCAATGTTGTCCAATTGCCTGTGCCGTAGTGGAACGATCCCCTTCCGATTGAGAGCCCGTACTCGGCATCGCAGACTGACTGGGGATCCGAGCATAACGCATTTGTTTGCTTCCTCTTTGGAGCGTACTGTGAACAGGTCAGCCCTTTAAAAACATTATGAGTGAATCGACAAACTAGATACAGTTCGCCGGCACCGTCTTGCCTCCACATCAGTCGTGTGCTAAAGCAGTCTTCGGCAGCAGCTCCCCCGGAACAACCTGTATGGCCACCGTACAGACCCGGCAGCTTTCCACCCTTCACCCAGTCGAAATCTGCAGGAAAGTAGACGCTGTATTCCATTGTGACATTTTTGGCATCGCTTAGGTTCAATGGCGACGCATAAAACTCCGCCCCACCTGGGGATTTGCTGGAAGGATTGACGGAGTATGCTGGGTAAACAAGCTGTAAGGCTGCGGTGAAGTCTGTAACGTCATGTATATTTGTTGTGCTCTGTGACTCGATTATATCCTGGGCATACACAGATCCTCCTGGTACAATGGCGAGTGCAGAGACACTGTCGATGATGGCGACATTCTTCTTCCCACTGGGAAAGTGAGTGACATTAAACGCAGATAAGTCTTTCATGTCCGGAGGAGTCGCCCATGCCGTCCGATCGCCCCATGGCGTGCTGGTGCTGGTCACAGTGGTCGTTGCAGTCACTGTCTCGACGACTGTAGTCGTAGACTTGGGAGTGATTGCAATCGTAGTTGTCACGACATCGGTGGCTACGATTGTATTGGCTTTTGTGATGGCAGCTTGTGAAGAGATCAAAAGGTAGGTTGTGCCGACAGAGGTAGATGTTGACGCGGGACTGTAGAAAGAGGAAGGAGGGATGACCGCAGAGGCCAGCTGGGCAGTTGTGGCCGTGCTGACACCCCCAGGGTTTGCAGGTGCAGTCAAAACAGTCGGTATAGCTAACGCTATCATAAAAGGCAGAACCATTAATGCCATCCTGCCGAGAGAATATCACTTTTGTAGAGAAGCATGCACACAACGTGCGCCATGCAGACATGTGCAAACGAGATTCAATTTGAATCTGGCAGTCCAGAACAAGATCGGTGAGTTCATGAGCAGACGAAATTCAAATGGTACTAGTCTGAACCTTCGCAGGCACAGAAAGACGAGTGAAATTGTCATTCAGACTGTCCTTCTTCTGATCATCGAAACATTTTCAAATGGAATAATGTTCTCCAGGACACACGCGCCTCCACGGACATCTGTAATGGTGATTTAACCAATCGCTGAACCAACGCTGATTATTACCTAGACTTAGTTGTCGGTGAAATTTTTTTGCAGTCCAGTTTTATGTCCAGTTGGGGTAATCTACCCCATGCCGGACAGCATAATCTAATCTAAAGGGCACCTGCGCCCTATGTCATACCGCTGAATTCGCAAATGCCCTAGTACATTGCGCAAAAATCCCTCAGGAGGTCGGCTCATCGCTCCAGCTCCAACATCAAGCACAGTATAAATTCGACGCAGTTGAATCACAAAAGCCTCAGATACGACTACCTCCTTTGCAGTGGGTGGCCCTCTTGCACTACATCATGCGCACATCACTGAAATCGACATATAGCTCTTCTAGGACTTGCCATAGTGACAACTCTGCGTATATCACACAATTAAATGTTTCCTGGTGGGTATTTTCCTAGTACCCACAACCATCACTGAAGCATAGTCATAGCAGGTACTATGAAGCCTATTCAGTTCGTCTACCTCGCCATCTTTGTCCCTGTCGCTTGGGTGATTGCAGTTCTTGCCATCCTTATCGCCATCGCCGGGGTGAACGCAGTTCCCACCAATGACATCCGAACCTGCGGGAGTATTTGCTACAATTCTCAACCCAGCTGCCCACCACAGTCGACAGCTACTATTGTGGGTCACTGCTGGACCTGCTGCACTCAAAATGAGCGCCTGGATTGAGTTCCAAAGTATTGCCATTAAATGTGTAAAGATAGTATGAAATGTACCACCTGTAACCACTTTGAAATCGAGCGAAATTGTCGTCATTGTCATTGGATAAATATTCTTTCTGCCGCAGATGATTAATCTAGTTGGACCGAATGGACTATGGACTGTCTAGATTCAAGTATGCTTTCGATGCGGCTGCGCTCATTTTTTCGGCAGTTTGACTTGGACGTGACTCATTTGTTCGAACAAATAGTATTTCTACGCCACTATAAGCGGCCACCGTCCTATCGATAGTCGCGGGTCGCAGGTGAAAAAAAAACAGAGTTTTGCGAGTAACATCTTATCTTAGGTATGCAATGCGTTTGAGCTGATTTCGGGAGGAACGGCCATGAAAAATTCGCGAATCTGAAGATTCAATAAATACTGGAGTTAACGTTTACCCACAAGGAGTGCTAGTCTTTCACTGGGATGATCATCCCGAACCCGCGATATTTAGGAATCACTCCAGCTCATCGACAATATTGTACAAAATACATACATTGCAATATTGGCAACTTGGTTTGACTCGTTACATATACTGACCAGAGTACAGTAATCATAAACTAATATATAGTATGTACAAAGGATAAGATCCAAGACATAGAACATGAGTGAAATGTAAAGAAAATACCGAGGCACAAGAAAACTTGAATGATATCAAGCGGCGATTGGAACTGCAGGTCTAAATGGGAACTTCGTCTACAACGGGGACTTGAGCGAGCGCAACATCTGCAGAGGTAACGTTCCCGGGCTCCGAGGAATCAGCATCATTTGGGTGAGTAGGCTGCTCAATAGGCATTGTAACAGGGTCTGCCTTCTTAGCACGAGCACGGCCCTTTCGCTCCTCCACACCTTTATCAAGCTGTTTAAGCGCTTGATCCACACGGGTCACGACCGCGCGCCTTGCATTCCTCACTACGTCTGACCCAAAGCTTGGAATGTTGTCCAAGTCTGCGAAGAGCAACGAAAGCGCATGCTCCTGAGCGCGAACAGGTGCATTGGCCGGGGTGTAAGTCAATGCAAATACACCAGCGGTGCCGAGGGCTGGAGAGAAATCAAGCTCAGCAGGGAACTGGAAGGCAGCGAGGAGGCTCTCGAGACGGGTGGAGAGGGAAGAGATCTGGGAGAGGGAGGAGGCGACCTGTGCTGGCGATGCAGCATACTCTTCTTGGGTGTCAGAGTCAGAGATCTCCCTGGCTTCTCCTTTTCCCTCTTGCAAAAGTACGGGTCCCTTCTCGTTGACATTGACTGATGATGATACGGGATCGCGTTCGATAGGAGCTTTGATCGTAGTGCCTTTAGAGAGGTGGGTAAGAATCGCCTGGAGCACATCGCGCACTTCGGACCGGTGCTCTGCCATAAGACGGCGCTGTTCCTCGAGATGTGAAGAGATCATGTCCTTGAGCGAGGGCTCGTCCGGGCCAAAGACCTTGGGTTGTAGTAAGTCACACGAAGCCGAGTTATTGAACCCGTGAGAACATCTAGGATTGATGGTCCCTGCGAAGAAGTTCTCAGCATCTAAACGGCGGCGCCGAGCGAGGATTCGTTGCTCCTCGAGGTGAGCCTGGAAAGCAGCAAGATCGTGCCACTCATGTTCACAAACGGCCTGATTGCGGATAGCACGGTTAGCCTGTTGTATTTCAGCCTTCTTATGGGCGCTGTCACCGTCGAATGGGAACTGGGTGTCGTTAAGAGGGAAGGGGAGCGGGCGGTAGTGGGAACAGGGATAAGTCATTGGGATGACGGGTGTAGTAAAGGACATTGTGAATTTGGGATTGGGATGAGTTTATGAGAGATTGCATGTTGGATGTTGAATTTATATGTCTGGATGATGTGGACTTGTGGACTACTAATCCCTTTGTGAACAGAGGCGTCCGCTATTCTGTTGGGCGCGATCACCACGGTGAATAGTCACGTATTGTCACAACCGTGACTATTGAGCTACTAGCATGTTGTCCGCTACTATGATACAGCAAACAATAATATCATGCTTTGACCTTCACTCATCTCGCGACACACCTTTTCTCTCTGTCAAAGGGAACCATTCCAAAGAAACCGTCGAGATGGCCATGAACCGGTTCCGAGTGTCAGATATGGCCTGATATGATACGTATAATAAAAGAGCGGCCCTCAGCCAACGAAACTCCTTTCGAAGCAGTTCTTGTCACACAATGTTAGATGTCTCCTCCATGTCAGAAATCAAGATTTCAGCTTGCACATGGGACTATGTAGTGGTCGTACTGCATGGCATCCAGCTTCAAGGTGGAGTTCTTATCTGACATTAATTTCCTGGACTTCAACTAGAAGAACCGAGATGCCGCACTGCAGTCAAAGAAAGAGAGGGACACGAGGTTGTCGAGGACGCCATCCCGGATGAGCTTGCTGCCGCCACTGTCGAGCCACAACATGAGGACAAATTGGAGCTTTGGGAAATGTCGATTTGATTCAGGAGCATGATCGCGTCCTTGATATTGTTGAGGAGGAGTGGCGGCGTGACATCAAAGAGGTCAGGAATCCGGTCGAGGAGCTGATGTATAATTGTTTTGTTGTTTTATCTGTCTTTTGTCTCTCACCGCCATACAGATCCTGGCAGAGCGCAAAAACAAAGAAATATCACAAATCTCAACGCCAGTACCAGATGTAGCCAGTGCTAGTAACGTGCACCTTGCGTCTACTATTTTTGCACTTGTCTTTGATGTTTATAAATTTGCTTGTTTCACAAGAGAACTCACGCTAAGCTTGCTCTTCAACAAGTCGATCCATTGTGACAACTTCTCGAACAATGTTTGATCTGAATCCTCCACAGTACTGATTCCACACCTGTAAGCTCTCAATCTTTTGTCCTTGCTATTGCTGCGCCTAATCCTCGCTTGCAGCAAGAGGCTTATTCTCTCGAACAGACATTTGCGTGTGAGTGTGGCGAGGAGATGGATTATGTTTTATCTGATTCGTGGTCATAATCTCTCTTACCACTTGTGGGAAGTCCACGGGGTTTGTTGCCCAACTGAATCGCGCGTCGAGTGCGGATGGAAGCACTGCGGACAGCAATTGACGAGAGCGCACTGTTGAGACATGTGGAAGAGGTGCACCTTGCAACAGTGTACGCTTGTGGCTACGGTATTCTCGCGAAGATATACTCTTAGAAGAAACGGCTAGAGTCCTCTTTCAAGTTATCTTGCAGCGGTGTGCTGCATGTGGAACTCTCCTGTAGGGATTGATATTTGGCACTAAGTGATGAATTGGATTTGTAGGTCACTCTGTGATGAGACCGCGTACGTCCCGCTTAAACTGTTTACTGTAGCTAATTTGCCTCAGACTCAGCTCAGACTCCGCACGCGTACGAATTCCTCGAAGAGCTTTGAAGTCCGCCATTCAAATTGCAACTGTAGTCTGTAGGTCTTCATATAAATCATGCGTGGCAACAAGTGGGCTAATTGTCAGCTTCACTTGTGACAATTCCAGCGAATTTACTACATATTCTGTGCGCTTATAGTGTTCATATCGAGGCACATGACAGTCTCGACTGCTGTATAACCAGGAGTTCTAACTTCTCGCCCATTCTTGACCTTACGACTATCCTTCTCATCATTACCCCTTCAGTCAATGCACACATGCCTCCACGGGTATTCAATAAACCTGTAATTTTTATCTCATCGCTGAACGTTTGCAGCGCTAACAGCGAGAAGAATATAAATACAATGCGGTTGAATTCTAAAAACCTCAGGCCTCAGTGACAAACACCTCCTTTACAGTGAGTAGCCCTCCTGCGCTACATCATGCAAATATCGCTAAATCGACATATAGCACTTCTAACACTTGTTATAGCAAATTTGTGTACATGGTACAGCCAAGTTTTTGTTGGTGAATATCTCTCAGTACTCACCGCCATGACTAAAGCGTGGTTGTAACAGGTACCATGAAGCCTATTCAATCTATCTACCTCGCCATCCTTGCCGCTGTTGCTGGGGTGAATGCAGCCCCCGCCAATGACGGCACGATCTGCTTGGATATGTGCGCTGATCATGCTGTTTCCTGCTCAGGAGGGTTGCATTCTGTCCAGATGGGCGCATGCTGGACCTGCTGCAGCACCACTTGACACCTGAATCAAATTCCCGAGTATCGTCATCAATTTTGTAAAGCGTAACATTATGAATGCATGGAATTGATGAAGTTCTTGTTCGAGCAGAATGATTGTCATAAGAGTCCTGTTCCATCTAGTATACGGGTGATTCTAGTCAGATCGATCGGTAACATTTGATGTGTTTCAGCATGTGGCGCTAATTTTGACTGTTTGACTTGGACGTCACATTCTGCCGAATGGAATAGCATTATCCGGGCCAGACACGAGCAGACACGTCACCGCAACTGATATATCGGCGCAACTAATATAAACTTTCTGTGCAAGGGGAGCAGACGGTGTTTGCCACCATTTGTCTAGCTTAGTCAGCAGTTTATCAGACTCGCCGAGGTGTGTAATTATGTAATACAATTGGTCTATAAAACCTAGTTTTGAGTCATGACTCTACCGCACCCCAGTGATGCATCAGGCTTTACTTGTTCCCGAAGTCCTCCTGGAGATATTCGCCTATGTGAATACACTACCATCTACTCAAACAACACCAACCCAGAAATTACTTGCAGCGCTTGCAAGGACATGCAAAATCTTCCACGAGCCTGCAATGGATTTGCTGTGGACTGAAATCTATGGGTTAGAACCACTACTAGGCTGTGTAACAAGGTTATATCCACTGATATATCATAGTGATACGAGGGTCAGTGCACGACTTCACGCTTTGTTTGTTTCTTTTCGGCTCACCGAGCGTCTACATGATAGTGGGACAACTCATACAAGCCCTGGGCGAAAGGTGTTGAGCCATTATCTGCCCATGAGGCCCATCAATTTCTGCGTCACTCCTCCCGCATACGCATATTGAACATAAAATCTGAACATCCGCATCTTCTCTCTGTCATCCCCGCTGAGGCATGCGTATTTCCGAGGCTGAAGTCATTAAGTCTTTCCACCACATATTTGAACCACTTTCTGCCTCGCATGCTGCACCGATGTCATCTATTGAGCGTCAACGAGGGTCTGCAATCTTTTGTGACATGCTGCGTTGCTCTGGAGCATTTATGCATCTACGCTCCTCAAGCCAATGATGATGACAGCACAGCAAATGAACTGTCCCTCCTATCCGATAGGATTCGTTGTTGCACACGACTTGTAACTCTTGCTTGTCCAATGCTCGACTGGTCAGCATGGAAGCACCTCTCCTGCCTCCCTACCCTTCTCAGATTAGACATTGTGGAAGGACCTATTAACCCTCCTTCGCTGCCAAAACAAGATATCGTGAATTTATCATTCCTTAACATCACAAGCCTTTCCTTTGGACGGATGAACAATGCTGCAGACTTCATCACAGTCATACAACATTCGCAATTTCCCTCAATGAAAGAGTTCAACTTTGAAACCTGCGCTCTGTCTTCAGAAGAGGCCAAACAACTCTTTCATGCTCTGTCCCACTGCAATGCGTGTCGGACTCTAGAAGAAATCTCCATTTGTTCTTATGAAGGCAGATCTGCGGGAAACGACGAGTCTTTGAGACCAATTCCGCATTTCTTTTGCTTCACACAGCTCCGAACCCTGAAGCTCATGCTTAATAGTCTTCACATCTACTTGGACAACGACATGTTCTTGCAAGCTATGTCTAGTTGGCCGCACATCCGCACACTGAAAATCGAAGAACCTGAACCTTCTTCCGAAATCACCCTCCGTGAATTATTCACAGCGCTCGGTCTATGTCCACAGTTGCGTACACTACTAGTTCCAATCATTCTTGTAACCATCGACATCGATCCTGATGCCGAGCCAATACAACATACCTCCCTACGATCATTGGCTTTGGAGTTATCCGAGTTTCAAACGGCTGATGCTGAAACTATCGCTCGCATCATTTCCGCCTGGCTCCCTTGTGTTGGCCTAGTTCGAGACCCGAGTTGGGATGAAGTCAACAGCCATTTAGATCTTTGAGAGCGGCTACTGCACCGTATGTCGTGGGAATCTCCCAGAATATTTAAGTTTGGAATACCTTCACATCCGGGAATGTTGGTACATACTTTCGAGTTCTTTCATTCATTTGTTATCGTTGTCGTCGCCGTTGACCGTGGTTATATACATCCATGCCATATGATAAGACACCATAGCTAGGTCCAGCAAGCTATAAATATAGTCTAATAATCATATAGAATATACACCAAGCGATAATGAAGAGCGAGTGTTCAAGACAAATGATCTCGTTACTAGTCAGTCACAGATAGAAATGGTTTCAAGTACTGAAGACAACAGCAGTAGGAAGTTAGCATTAGTGACAGATGCAGGGCAAGGGGAACGTACAAAGTTGAACGCTGAAATATGTCGCATTGCAGGCTTTGCTATCATGGAGAACAAAACCTTTTGTTCCGAAGTGAGATGAGGTCCTTGTCGATGTTGGCCTCGCCTGACTTATTGTGCGCAGCGATGTATTGACAGCATGAGTAGCTGTACTAGTCGAAGCGTCGTGTTTGGCCCACCTCTTTTTCTATTCCAAATGCATGACTGATAAGTGATGACTTGCATAGTGGCAGTCGCTGAGAACCGATACCAGAATCACCTTTAATGTCGTGTGGCTTCACCTCATCTCAGCTTTGCTCGCTCTGTCTGTGGGCTGTGAGCCCTCCGGCCTAGTTCAACGAGGTTCAACGATCAGATCATGGATCCCAGAAGTTAGTTCTTCTAAATCGACCAACCATCCTTCAATGTGCACAGAATCCCAAGAAGTCGATGGCCATAGTACTTGCCTGATACAAAAACATGAATTAACACATAGCATCTCTATAGTGACACATCAAATCTGGGACATCTGCAATGGGAGGTCGCTGTGACAGCGATATCTGGATGCTCGGGCTTGACACCCTTGAGTATGGCTACGACCACCTGGTTATCACTGCAAATGTTATAGTACGGCAGCTTGCCCGATAGAACCTGACACAAGAGCGCTGCAGATGTACGTCATTAACAAACATGGTATGCGATGCATCCAAATGAATAAATGTCACTTTCTAGTTTTGGTGAGCTAGATGCGTGTTCAGCGTCCGAAACTTCGAAAAGCTTGGGAGCAGCCCATCGTACGCTACTCCCGAAGTGAGAGATCCACGTTAGGTCGGAACATGTAGTCAAAAACGCATAGAAGAGATGTGACATTTCCAAACGTTACCGAAACAGCCCAGCAGTGGCATAAGTCAGTTCCTTGACAATTGACCTTGGCGGTAAGGTCAACCAGGCATCTAGATTAATTTGTCACATGAGTCAGGAGCTCTGCAGACTGCAACAAACTACGTCTACTCACCCATTATCACTGACATCTACATCCAGGTGCGTCGAGCTCAACGTTTCTGTCTCCAGTGGGCCTTTTGCCCATTTCCGAGTCTCAGGTAGCAGACTACGAACGTGAAAAGGAGCAGGTGAAGCAAAACACAGGGCTCAGCCTGTGGTGCTATGTATACGGGCAAGTACTTGGTGTGTGCAAATGAACGTTCGTCTTGATCAGTGTGGCGAACAAATGAAAACAAAACAAAATTATGCAGAGCAACTGTATTTACAAGACAAAATGAGCTATCCAACTCTGGGCTTCTTTCTGGCAGAACCTTCCTGACCACCTGAAGCTTCCAACGGCTCCCCCACCAACACTGCCGAAACTAGCATACTGGTACTACATACCTGGTTTGGATTGTTGGGAAAGATCTACCTGAGACTGCTGCTATAGGTGGTGCCCTTGAGCCTGGCCATGCCCTAAAGATCCATTCGGAAAGAGAATTCCTGGCATCGTGGGCCGCCCTATAATAGCTAGTAAGGAGACTCAAATGGCTTTCGTATTCTCACGGTTCGTCCTTGCAATGCTAAGTTACGAAATTTCCGACAGTGTGCCTAGCTTAGTCAGCAGTTCATCCGAGGTAACAGCGAACGCGTATGTAATTCTATGTAATTAATGCAACATGCGAAGAGAAGAAACCCAAACCGACGCCTTGGTCAAGGACGCCAACGCAGGATAACTTGGCTGCCACACTTAACATGCTCACCGCCTGACACCGATCATGCTACAATGCTAAACCGGATGGCAATTTTTGCAGGTTCTGGATGTGCCGTGCCATCGTGATTCGTGTGCGTACCGAATAGCAGCCTCGTGGCCCGTCGTGGGTTGTGCTTGAAGGGAGGGTGGTAAAAAAGCCTATCCATGGCTCATAATCCAGCACACCGCCTCAAATGCCAACCACTCCACTCTCTCTCGCTCTGATCCAACTCTGGATCGCCGATCCATCGCTGCCATGGTCCAATCCAGTATGGCAGTCTCTAACACATGTTACTGGTGACCCGTGGGCATACGACCCTTGGAGGGGTGTAACCCGTGTCACCGAATGGACGGTGGACACAGCTCGGGCAGTTGAAGCCTTCATGAACAATTGCAGGACAGCTGGGGATCTTGCAGACGTCGCTGTGAAAGGGAAGGACACTGACCATGAAGGTCGTTCCGCGTGGAACGCCTGGGTTAAGACGTCATGGCCCAAATGGGATATCAACACACTGGTCGACAACATTTTACAAGAAAGCGGTTGCGAGCCGCATGATGTCATGGCGAGGCTGAAGTGCAAGAGCACAGATGATGTGAGTTACGTGCTAATCCGTTTATCTTATGATATAATATATCCATGTACTTAGTTTCCGACGATGGAAGCTGCACAGGTGAAGCATGTCGTTTCCGTCAAATTAGCCGATGCATTGTTCGGTGATGATGGATTCACCGACGGAACGTTCATTGTGCCATCCGTCATGACGTTTATTACCACGGTGATGGTATTGACGTGGAGCAGATATCGAAAGGCCATGAAACGGCAAGTCGACAGCATCGCGAAGAAGCTTCAGGAAGTTGAGGGGCAATGGCTAAGTAAGTGACGCAGATTGATCGGTTGGGGTGGGAGCTTAACTGTAGCGCAGCCTGGGCGACTGTAAATTCAAATCCTACCTCGGTCGAGCTCCGCGCCTACCTGAAGAAAGTGGATTCCTTGGTTACACTTATCAGTCTATTCAAGGACAAGGAAACGGTCGAGAAGCTCAATACGCGTCGTGAACAGGTCAATGCGATGCTGGCTGGTACCAAGAAACATCCCATCAAGTTAGAATATATGGAATGTGAGTGAGCCTTCAAACCTACGATATAATCCGAATATTGAGTGTACTTGTTTGTATCTATTAAGCCGAACAAATGATATTGTAGGTTTTACGGGTCACACTACGCCCTAGGTGCACTACAGAGCAATCCGTTTATTTTCATGTATACATGCTTGTCTAATCTTGATCGTGATGACATACGTAGAATTCGAAGACACGAAGCAATAAACTTCTTCGACATAAAATTGGAGTCCTCGACCAATCTTGCATCCAAATTAAATGTCCAGGCAGTGCTGCCCGCACAAAGCTCAACCAGACAGCCATGCTCGACGAATCTTACCGATCTGTTTAAACAGAAGTAATATCCGGTGCAAATTTTTTTAAGTGAACTCTAGATCTATCTTTCAAGTTGATGGTCTCACGCTCTGAGCGTCTCGAGGTACGTGACCATGTTCGGACTTCTGGCAAGTTCTGCATGCCCGGATCTGCAATTCCCAAGTTCTCGTGTGCTATTCCAACAGCTGCGGAAGCATCGAATCGCTCCGTGTCCGAAATAGTAAGCCAATCAAATTCTGGTTACTCAATGATAGCGCAGGCGCGCTGTGCAATACGTATTGATGCACACATTTTTTCTCGGGCTTTGGAGTAATTTTAAACTTTGATGGTCTCGGTTGGGCTTGGCTCGGAACGGATGCTAGATACTACGTAGGAAACACCCACGTATCGTACGTTAGCCACTTCCGCAGCATGATATGATACTTCCTGTACGTATCAACGACAACCACTACTAGGTACCTGCGTTCCTCGACCGAGCTTCTCAACGCCACAAACGGTTCGATGCGATCAGCTGTCTCTGATCAAGAATATTAATCAAATCAGAACTTTTGAAATTCCTCATGATTTTCACAATCGAAGCTGCGAAGGGGAACACCATTCGAATGCATGCAAAGAATCAAGACGGTAATAACGGAACTGCATAGATATTATGAATCTGGCATGTATGATGTACAACGAAGAGATCTTATGTAGTTTTCGACGTAGTTAGATTTTTTCGCTTCGTACACGAGCGCCTATTCCTATATCTGCAAACATAATCCAATAGATGGGAAACAAAGGGGTTTGGGAGAGTGGTTCCATGCTAGCGGTGGTGATTACAAGCTAAAGGCATACAAGGACATAGTCCAACAACATAACATCTGAGCGTACAGCGCCAAACAATGCACCTCCGAAGTCTGCACCACGATCCACGCACCCGAAATAAGCACCCCGCCCAAAATGCGCGCAATCCAAGCCTACGCACCTAAAAAAACAGCTACTGATCCGATCCTCGTAGCTACGGATCATAAGCGATACATGCTGAAAGTGGAGAATGCACATATTCTTGCGCAGACAGTACCGACTTGCGTTTCGCCAGTGGTCGTGAAGCCTCGTGTCGCCGTAACACCATCTGCGCGACTAGCTGGGATATGCTCCCTATGACGCCCTTCTTGCGGCGTTCAGGACTCCTTCCCTCATTTACATCCATGCCGAGCTTGTCGCCCAGCTTCAACCTGAGCAGAGCTCCTACCTCCGCACTCCTCTCCCTCTCCCGCTTCTTCTTCGACTTGCGTGTGTACGCATCTGTGCCTTCCAGGCCCTCAGACGATCCCTGCACTGCAGCGAGCGAGCGCTTGCGCAACTCAAAGAGCTGCGCAAGCTCAGGGTCGTTGTCCATGTCGTGCACGGAAAGGCAGAGATTGAAATCCTCAGGCGAGGGTGAGCGTGGGAGAGGCACGTCCCTCGGATCGTGGATAAACAAAAGTGGCTGGCTAGGGACGAATGGGACGGTTTGCAACGACGAGAGGGGTAAAAATGCGGATGCACTGGGGAGAAGGCTGTCATCTGTGTCAGCGCCTGGGAGTGAGAGGAGCGATGGGCCGGGAGAAGATGGAGAAGATGGTAGGTTATCTGTATCATCGGGAAGAGAGGAACAGGACCGCCTGCTGGGAGATGATGGTGGTATATGGGGTAACGCTTTTTCATGTTCTAGCTCGGGAAGACCTGAAAGGGAAAGATGAGGGGATCTGAGCTCTGGAGGATCATCAATGACCATATCTGTCGATGAGAGCGCGGAACATTGGGGGGAGGATGGGGGGTGCTCATCTAGTTGATGCATGGGTATGTGTTGGTGCGATGACCAGGGTATGTGAAGCGGTACGAGTCTGGGACGGGGGCCAGGAAGGTAGGGCGCCTGATCAGATGAAAAAGACGTTGTATCGTTGGATACTGCTACAGACAGACCACCGATGTCCTCACTCCCTGAACAGGGAGACCAGGAAAATTTGGGTGAGGGCGGATCATTCCAATGAGAGTTCACCAGACCATGTTCCAGTGACGGCTTCCAGGGTGGTGATAGAGGCGAAAGCGGCGAATCTGACTCTGCGGAACTATCCGACATGGCAGATATCCCGTCGTAAAAATCCTCTTCAAAATCACTCTGATGAAGTGTATGCCCGCTCTCGTCAAACATCGAAACATTGATATCATCTTCATACCCTGGCAACTCCAGGTTATAGAGCAACTGCGTCGGTGGTGGCGTCAGAGGTCTATGACAAGCAAGGTCCTCGCGGCGCATAACGGTCGGGGAGTCCAAGACGCCTGGTGAATGTGTAGTGAAGATGGGGGTAAATTCGCCTCTTTCTTCTGGTAGTGGGATGGTGCACTTTGATGGAGAAGTGCTGGAGGGTGGAGTCGGGTATAAGTTCACCAGACCAGACTGCTTCAGAAGATTGGATGGACCAGGCACGCCTTGTGTGTGTTTAGACTTGAGAGGAGGGAAGTCCTCCTCCGAGAAGAAGGAGAATATAGGGTTACTGCTGCAGCTAGGAATTGGCTGCCAAGATTGTGAATAGTGCGGAGCAAAGGTAAACACGGGCTGCGGGTCTGGTTTGAGCAAGGAGGAATCATTCAGAGAGGGTATGTATTGAACTAGGGCAGCCCTAGTCAAATTATCCCTAGTATCCATATTATGTCCACCGATATTCAAGCCCTGCAACGAGCGCCGAGTTTGATCAACAAAAAAACAAGCAGACAAAAAAAACAAGAACCGAAGACTTACAACTAATAACATCAAAGGTCGCAAGACATCACAAAAGACAGAAGAAACAGGAGAATTTACTGTGAACGATATGGAGGCAAAGAGCGTTGCAGTGCTTGACACCGTTTCTCCTCGTGCCCAGGCTGAGAAACTCGTGTTCGGTGATTTCCTTGATGGGCCTGCAGGAGATCCACGAAGTTGAACCACTACTAAATTGAGCGTCACACATCATTTCCTTTTATCTAAACACATTTATCTTTACATCAACCATGTCACCTGCTCTCTAACACCTGACAACGACATCATCCTCAATAATTAGGTCTTCTTAAGTGCTGAAACCCGATCCGATAGCGTCTCTTCGCCCTCAGTGGTATGAGGCTCCAACTCCGTACTTTTCACCCCCCTTTTCGTCAATGCATACTCCCTGCACGCATCTACACTCTTCTTTAACTCCGGATCGTCCTCTGCTAGCGCAACTACGTTGATCCCCGTAAAATTGTGTTCCAGAAGTTGTGCAACTTTGGCCAGCATATCAGGATTAGGAGAATACGTCCCAGAGTCGTTATCAATCACCAACTCCCATCTCACACCGCTATCGTCCGTGCAATCGGAGAAGTTCTCCCAGCCACCTTCTGGGCGAGGATGAAACTCTCCGCCGTACACTACGCTTTCTGCACAGTTGCTATGCAGTGCATGCTTCGATGCAAAGTTAACGAAGAACGCCGCCCCTGTCTCTGAGAAACGGAAGGTATTGTCTTCCTCGGCGATAACATACGTGTATACTGCGGGCTTGATGCGATTTTCAAATGCGTTACTGCCGTCTCGACACAAGCCGCCTCGCAGCAACTTGAACAAATCATCGGCACTTGTTATAACCCCAAAACCATTCGAAACGGTCCGGGCGTATAACATGTGGTGGCCAGCCATAATGCCGGAACGCACCGCAATTGATGTAGGCCCTTTGAAAATGGCCTGTGCGCCCTTGTAATCGTGGTTCCATCGTTGCACCGTATCCCCAAAGAATTGCGGAACACCTTTAATATAGATCTTCCATGTCGAATACAGCCGCGTGTCCCTGAGATTGGTAAGAACGCCCATTGTTGGTGAGTCGTGTCGAGAATAGTGGATCGGGCCATCAAACAAATATGGTAGTGATATTGAATTCTGAGCCGACGGAGAGGATTCAATCTTGAGAGATGATAGATCCAAACGTTGATAAGCACAATCGGTGGCGATCAAATGCGGGGCACACATACGTTTAACCAGAATGTCCCTTTACTTCGACCGAGCCGCTTGCCAACTATCTCAACCTCTTTCGTACCTGAACTTACAGTTGTCCGGAACACGCCAATGTCATTATTTGCCAGTGCTCCACTCTCCACCTCTTGTACTACCACGGACAAGGTAGCTGTGGAAGGAACCGTCTTTACGATCCAGGTCTCGTCCCAAACTGGGGAAAGGGTATTCAGTTTGATAGACGACCTGCAATAAAGTAGGCTAGCGTTAATACGCAGATAGAAAACCACTCACGTGTACGAAACCTTGTCGTCAAGCGTAGCACGAAAACACGGGTTCATCATGCCAATAACATGCACCCTTGCAAGATCCGACGCCCCAATAAACTTCACAGCCCTTCATTTACACCCAGCACGCCTGAACGAAACAAAAACTCACCCTGATAACCAGATCCACGTACTTGGTATCTATATTGAATTCCTTCGTCGCGAGCTCGATGGCGTTGAGGTGGCTGCCGAACTTGACTTTGCTGCTCTGCAGGGAGTGATGAGCGCGTTCCATGGCGGCTCGAAGACAAATAGTGTGAGGGGGCATCGGTCACGGTGGTCCATGGCGATGTTACAGGTTGCCAAGCTGCGCATACTACGATATTTGGTCACGGGAAGGTACTGGGGCCGATGAGCTCAAACCTTACTTTAGGGTTAGGGTTACATGCTAATCAGTGACAGCTGCTCCACCAAAGTGTCCAAGACCAACACGAGCACGCCATCTGTTCGCTGTAAACAAAACACCATTCGACTCCCGTCAAATGGTGCGCAGGACAAGGGAAGTTGAGTGGAGATCTCAGCTAGCGCGCGATTTCCTTAACAATCCGACCCTGAAGAACAGGTTCACGACGATAGATCCGCACGGCATCTGAACACCATGCGTCCATTCCAAACTTTCGTTTCCTAGCACCTGAGAAGCTCCCTTCATGTGTGCCTTACACGCTGCCAGTCAGGACAAACCAAACTGGGCGATAAACGCTATCCGCCCCGAGCTTGAATGCATAGCATCATATCCGACCGTCCAAGCGACTCAAGTATCGTTTCAGTTCTTCACCCTGCGATAGCGGTTATCGCCTTCATCAAACGAGTGCGGAGTAACATCACGGGCGCAGAAAACTCGTCACAACTTTGAATGCCGAAGATGGTAAGTTGGTCGTTGAATGTCACAGTATGGTGGTTCTTGTCATACCGATAGCATGGAAAATAGATTCCGCTGTTCATTAAATCAGCGGTGATAAACATCCAGTAGAGAACGGGCCGCCTACTGGGAGGTAAAGATAACAATTAAGTAATCGAGTGATCCACGTGTTGACGCAAGACCCAGCTTGTTGGCGAATGAGCCAAGTTGGGTAAGTTTATGGAGACCATTCGACTCGTGGTTGGATAGACGTATTTATATTTGTCGAAATGAATGATCATGATGTTCGAGGGTCTTGGCTAGCAAATAGAGTTTAGTTCCAACATCGTCGTCATGTACTGTACATGACCGGCGCGCTGCGAAACCTAATCGCTACTCGAACGGGAAAGATACCAGCTGTATCGTGTCCATCAGGACATATTTGATGCTGCCCCCAATTATAGCGGCCGTCGGGCCATATCCGTGAATAGGACACAACGAGGTACATCAACGCAAGTGCGAATTCACTGACCAAAATGTGATCCCGCACAGCTTGAGGATGTGATTGCTGTTGTCCGTTGGGCCATGCGACAATACCATCAAATAGAAGCCCGAGATGACCTCTCGGGCGGTTGTCTGTGACAATGGCGAGATCCGAAATGGTGCATGCAGCATCTCCGAGTCGTTGCAAAAAAACGTTGATAGCAGAATGGGACTAGATTATTTGAGCCCCAGGGTCAGTCCTGTAGTTCATTTCTTCGTGAAGATATCGTTAGAACGCAATGCGCATCAAGTTAGTTTTAAAATGGAGAGGAAAAAAATTGAAAGTTGGCAGACACAGCCACATTCACCAATATAGCTCCCGAAGCACGACGCGCATCTGCATCAACATCGATTAAGAAATGGAAGAATACAACATTACGAAGAAATTCATACATCAGCATATAGTATTACACGATCTGAACTTCTAAGGTTGCCAAGCCGATATGAAAGATCTTCCGAAAATAAAGTACATTCTTCGTCACGTCAATCGATCAGTTATTCTCTATGGTCGAGAAACCGACATCCACGCTAGCTCTCATGCGATCTCCGTAACGAATCGTGAGGAAAACAATCCTATAGACAAGGAAATCAGCGTAGGCCCTCGATCGTGCAGTCAAAGGAACCCTTACCCTTGTCCGAGAAGTGCAAGGACAGCCACAATGATGTTCGTCCACGCAACACCAATGCGTTCGATGGATGGGATAACAAGAGCGGTCGCGATAGACAGAATGAATGACCTGACACCGCTGGAAAATAATTGGAGATACGTTAGTGAGTTACGAGTGCGATAGTCACGACATATAATCAAGACTGACGCGTTGGCGGCTGTGATTTCTGCGCTTTGCGAATGCACTACATCCACATTGTAAGAGCCAATTGGGTTTAATACGAAGACGACCTTTGGGAAATAGTGAGTTGCTTCATGCACGGGGATGACAAACTAGCAGCAAGGACTTACCCCGATTCCATTGATAAAAAGACACAATAAATTCAACAAAAGACCGATCGGACCGTCAACATACGTCGTGAGTAGCCCTGACACTCCGATGGATAATGGAACCATGAACAACCCCCCGATCCACGTCGCTCTCAGTCGATCTTCTGGAGACCAGACTCCTTTGCGCTTCTCCTGCCACTTCCTGATTAAAATATCTGATAAGCGGCCAGCAAGCGGCGCTCCGACTGTCGAAGATTGAGTTGATAGTCTGGAATCATAATGATTTGTGCTTACTGAAGTTTCCGAGTCCATTGGGGAGGAAACACGCTCCAATGATGGCTTTGTTCGTGATGCCATACCGTACACCCTACAGGTACCGCAATTAGTTTGCGACATGAAAGATGACTATCAGCTTACGATAGTGTACGCCAGTGGTACGAGGAGAACTGTATCATTTTATGTGAGAATGCACTAAGGAGTTATAAAAACTCAACGCACCGTAGTCAGTGATGAGTGCTAGACTCGTCGCAAGCATCTACATCGCGCATAAAGTCAAAAGTTTGTACCCAATGCAACGTACGAGGTGTATGCACTCACAACCCCAAATAGGTTCGGACTCCGAAGTAGCCAGAGACTTCTCAGAGGATTCACCCAGGCGATATGGATCCGTCTTCTTTGCTTTAGTTTATCGATGCCCAATGTGCCGGGATGGCTCGTTTCAGGTAACAAAACGTATATTAGAAGCAGTTCGAGCAAGCCCCATACAGCAAGGGAATAGTGCAAATTGCGCCAAGACGAATACTGCGCCGCCACACCTATACAAGCACCATTGCTAGATTCAGCATGCCTAAACATTCAAAAAATACTTACCTCCAAGGAACGGAGCAACAGCAAACCCGAAAAGCGTGGCCTGAGACAGCCGTGTCAGTATCACACAATCAATAAATCATGATCCCTCACACCCAAGAATATCCCAATACCAATGCCGCGCTCCTCCAATTTGTATATGTCACCAATTACGCCAGCGCCCAACGACAACCCTCCAGAGCATCCGAATGTCTGAATGAACTGCCAGAATAGCAGACTCCGCAACGAATTCGACATTGCGACACCACAGCTACCAATGCATAAAAACGGTATCCCGCACAGATACATTGTTCGGCGTCCATCTGCACGATATTGATAACTTGAGACGAATACCAGACTACATCATGAATGGACGCACAGAAAGACGAATACGCAGCCCAAACCAGCGTTCCGATAGCAGTCGCAAAGGTTGACAGGCTGACCGTCAAACTATATAAAAACAGTCGCAATTTGAGCATTAATTGCTATATCATTCACCCACAAATACGCACCTGACAGCAGCATGTGTGGAGTGAAGTTCTTTAGCTACCTGGGGAATGGAAGGTACGAATGACGCTGCAACCAACTCTGATAGATACCATTTATCAGCATGTAGTGTATTCGAACACAGACTGCTTACTTGGTAATAAACCCGCACAAGAGACGATGAACACAATCCACCTCTTCCGACGTCGAGTGAACCGGTCATAAATCACTTCGTGCGTGGTTTTACTGCCATCACTGCTTGACGTCAGTAGAGGGCTTTCTTCTGAAGCCATGCCACGGGATCATACGCAGACGCCGGGGTGAGAAAGGTCTATTGTCTTATATACCATTGCATGACAGTTGAACGTTGATGCAGAGCATTGTCCTTTATTTTCATCCCTGAAAGCAAATATGGCAACGTAAGGACACCGCAATCAACGTAAGGGCATCCCGAAGGATCATTCATCGGTTCTCTGACGTGCCGGCCAGTATACCATGATAAAGCTTTCGGGTGCTACTGGAAAAGAAAACATCATATGAGCTATCAAGATGAGTGCTACGGACCGGCAGAACAGATAGTAGAACTGCTTGTAGATGGCAGCAGCTATTCCGGTTCACTGCCTCGAGGTGCTGAGTCACCTATTTGTAGCGAAAAATGGCGTCTTCATAGAGTTACTGTGGCGTTTTCGAAGTTTCTAACGCTGTGTGGAATACTATAACCATTACTAGTTAAGCTGAAAACAAAAAAAGGATGACTGCAGTTGGAACTTCATTGAAGGTTCAACGTTCAAGCTTCAAGTTGGCCCTGCAGTCAAGTATCAGTGCACAAGTGCCTCGAACCGGCTTCGCCGAGTCGTGGAGTCCGGGAAAGTTCGCTGCCGGACATTTTGAATTTTGAATTCTATATTTGGATAGTTCGGGTCCGGGATCACGTGTGCCTAAGTCTTTGACGGGAACCCGTAGGTAGTGTAGGGGGCAAAACTAAGTACTTGGGGTCAGTACACGAGAGAGTTCACTTTGAATGGCGAAGGCACGCCCTCCATCCCTCCAGGCGATCTTACTTTCCCACACACCTTTACACACCAACTTGTTGATCTGGGTTCACCAAGACTAAGCATGTGATTAAGCTTCCCGGTGAACTGTGCCACCGGAGTTTAGCATACATAGCCTTGGTGCATCAGCTTCGCTCAAGACAGACACTCCAGAGCCGGTATGATGGATGTGTCTATTGGCAATTTGACGAGTATATTATTCATAAGTCTTAATTCTGATCCGTTGCTTCTGTAAGATCATTCTATGAGTTCTCCGTGGTCGAGAAACCAACATCTACGCTGGCCCTCATGCGATCGCCATAATGGATCGTCAAGAAAATTAACCTGAAAATCGAAGCAGTACTACATCAGTGTGCTCGATCTTGTAGTCAAGAAGAGCCTCACCCTTGTCCAATGACAGCAAGGACAGCCGCGATGATGTTTGTCCATGCAACACCTATATGCTCGATCGAGGGAATGACAACAGCAGTCGCAGCAGATAGAATAAGTGACCGGATCGCTCTGTAGGTAAATATTTAAGTTCAACTTTGATAGCCGCGTTATATCATAGAGAGACTGACGCGCTAGCGGCTGTGGTTTCTGCGCTTCGAGAGCGCGCCACATCCACATTATAAGAACCGATTGGATTGAATACGAAATCGACCTGTAATAACCAATGAATCACTTCGCGCACATGGTAAGAGCCTAATTAAGAGAACTTACGCCCACTCCATTTGTAAAAAGACATAATAAATTCAAACAAAGACCGACCGAGCCCCCAACATACGTCGTGATCAACCCCGACGACCCAATAGACAACGGGATCATGACCAGCCCTCCGATCCACGTCGCTCTCAAGCGATCTTCAGGAAACCACACTCCTTTGCGGTGTTTCCGCCATCTTCTGACTATAATGTCCGATAGGCGGCCAGCAACCGGTGCTCCAACTGTTAAAGATAGCGTCAGTGAACAGTGATTACCCATGGTATGCACTTACTGAAGTTTCCCAATCCGTTTGGGAGGAAACACGCCCCTATGATGGCCTCGTTCACGATACCATACCGAACGCCCTACACTGTGATCAGGTACGAGATAGAAGATGACTGTCAGCTTACAATAGTATACGCCAGCGGCACGAGAAGAACTATTATTTTATGTGAGAATGCACTCTACAGTAAATATCAACGCACCGTAGTCAGTGATAAGCACCAGAGTCGACGCAAGCATCTACATTGCACACAGAACCAAGAGTTTGTAACGAGTATCAACATACACTGAACACACTCACGACTGCAAATAGGTTCGGACTCCGAAGCAGCCAAAGACTACTGAGAGGATTGACCCATGTGATGTGGATCCATTTCCTTCGCTTTAGTTTGTCAATGCCCATTGTGCCAGGATGGCTCGTCTCGGGAAACCAAAGATATATGAGGAGTAGTTCGAGCAAGCCCCACACAGCAAGGGAATAGTGCAAATTGCGCCAGGACCAATACTGCGCTGATGCACCTGCGGGAATACATTGCTAGATTCAGCATGCATGAACACCCAGAATATGTATACCTCCAAGTAACGGAGCAACAGCGAACCCGAAAAGTGTGGCCTGAGAGAGTCAATTCAGTACCAAACCGACGAGAGCGCCCGACATCAGCATCACTCACACCAAAGAATACTCCGATAGCAGTCCCCCTCTCCTCCAATTTATAAATATCACCGATAACACCAGCGCCCAATGGCATTCCCCCAGAACATCCAAACGTCTGTACGAATCTCCAGAACAACAAACTCCTTAACGAGGCTGCCATCGCGACACCACAACTCCCGATACACAAAAACGGCATGCCCCACAAATACATCCATCGGCGTCCATCTGCAGGACTGCAGTTAGGAATCAAGACTATCGCGAGTTCACGATACGCTATGGATACACGCACAGAAAGACGAGTAAGCAGCCCAAACTAACGCTCCGACGGCACTCGCCAAGATCGATAGACTGACGGTCAAACTGGGAAAATCGCTCGATCACAAAATATTATGTCCAATGAAACACGCACCTGACAACGGCATGCGTCGAGTCAAGATCTTTAGCTATTTGAGGGATGGAAGGCACAAATGTCGCTGAGACGAACACTGGTCGTGTTCATCAGCATCACACCACTGTATAAGCAGTACACTGTGACTATCAGCACTCACTAGGTAACAGACCCGCAAAAGAGACGAGAAACACGATACACCTCTTCTGGTCGGGTGCAAACCTGTCATAGATAGCTTCATGCGTGGTGGACGCTAGCAGAGGGCTGTCTTCTGAAACCATCTTGAATTGCGAGAAAAATCTCGCTTACCGTGACAGCGCAGGAGAGATTTATATACATGAAACATGAAACATATATAAGCACGGAGCGTTTGATCCCGCGGAACCGATTCGCCTCAGGCTAGACTGGTGCTATACCTCATACTGGTCACCAGGCCTGGTCAATTCTAAAATGTCGTTGTCAATGTGGACTTGACCTTACGGCCGTCCTCTTGTATATTACCTTGCGCGGACCCTCAACGTTGCCTTTCCTGATTTGGCCGCTACCGTGTCGGGTCAAACAAACTACTCAAATTTACTCAAAAGTTGCCCGAGCAAAACAGACACCTGGTAGACTACAAGTATCATGAATAAAAGGTTTAGGAAGACATTTAAAAATAAACATGAAAATGTTTAGGAACATTATTACTACTACATGGGAAGGTTTAGGCAGCTGACTTGGGCTCTATACAGCAAGGATTGGGACGAGGATGGTTCAACCGACACGGCCAAATCAGGGGTCCGCGTAAGTAATTTACGAGAGGACGGTCAAGTCCACATTGACAACGACATTTTAGAATTGACCAGGCCTACTACGCCATCTGCAAAACCACTGAAATGAACGCTTGATGCCGAGCGTGTTACGGACACTTACGAACACTTACGACTTCAGTAACGCACTCATGCAATTGGTTTCAGCGTCATTATTTTATTTCGTCGTTCTCTAAATCTGTCTCTAAGTAGTTTTATAACCTAATATTCACTGTTTCTTGCTCATTTTTTCGTGGTCGCAACTGTGATTGTAAAGAGCCGCCGAGTCGACTTGGGTCAAAAAAGGGTATTTTTCTTTCGGATAAACCAAAACGACATTTACGAACTCATAGACGCGGTGAGCAAGCTAGCACAAAACTACGATAGATTACAACACCGTACATACTGTCCACCATAGGGCCCCGCCCCACCGGACAATTCCAAAAAAGATTTTTTTTTACCAACGCATGCCCTGAGCTATACCAGATGCGAGTCGTTCAGAACAACTTTTGAACTCGCTTTTGACAGGTCAGTTCTTGTGGTAGAAAATGAATATATAAAAAGTTATCCTGTGACCTGATGGTCAAGATAGGTGTTAGTACGGACCGGAAGAAGCAGCAAGACGTGCATTAGAATAACTCGCCGAGGTCAGATTTGCTGCCTCGAGGTTGGGAAGAAATAGAGGTTTTCTCAGCGTGTTGGTGCAGAGCTTGCCATGTTGAAATTCTCATTTGACCTGCGCGAGTCAGGCATGATCGTTTTACAGTAAGGGAAGAAAACAAAACATACAATGTTCGACACCACTATTGAATGAACACCAACTTCGCCCCAGCGCTTGCAAGACTCTGCACGCTGTCAAACTTCTCTGAGAGGCTAAGACACGCTTGAGGGTATTGAGTGGCTGAACTTCAAGTTGTAATTTATGAATAGATTTTTCAAGATTGCGAGAAGTAAGGCAATGAACCTACAATGGTGATTCGACGAAGTAGCTCCGACCAGAACTGACCATGGCCCTGGTCCATGGAGTGCATCGTGGAGAAAGGAAATGTGTTTCGTTGAGAGGCAATGGTCTGAGATTAGTGTTCAAGTTTGCGGTGGGTGGAATGATTATCAAGGTCGAAGGGACATTGTCTGGTTGGCGGGCCGGGACGCACAAATAACAACTGATCTCCTGACCGGATCTCTTTGTTCTTGGGCGGTAACGAGCGCAGCTGTGAAAGTAACAAGATTTAAGGAGATCAAGTGTCGTCCCTAAATAGTGCAGATCAGATGCGCGTATGATTCGGCGCATAGCTATCGCTTCAAGTGACTGTCTATCTTTCATTTGCGTGGTTTGTGTCGGATGGGTGGGACGGATGGGTCACGCGCACACGTCACAAATCAGCAGGGGTGAAGATATGAAAGTGGAAGAAGAGGAAGAAGGTGGTGGACATGCCTCGAATACCTGATGAAGATCATAGCAAAACCGAGTGAACAGCATATGAGAGTTCACTTCAACGTGCTACCAGTAGAACCTGAGATGATCTGGAGTTCTGCGTGTCGGATGGTCTGTAGAAGAAGGCGCCATTTTAACTTGAAAAAGTGAGTTCACAGATGATGTATTTTGAAGTGAGAGGAGGTAGTTTGCGGGGTCTGAAGAAAAGTGGACTTCAGGCAGTTGGTGGAAAAACCGTGATGTGTAATCTGTGAGTTTGAAGTCGTATTTCACATGGCGAGTGAGCTCGTTCCAGACGTTGGAGTGATATAAGTTTTGGGTGGCCCGAAGTACACAGTGCACAGTGCACACATGCCTTTATGGCTTGTGGTGAAGGGTACTTTGATTGTTCCCTGGCGTTGTGACTTTCAGCCTACGGGAAATATGGAGATTCGATCTGGATAGTTATCCTGATACCCCGGTGAACCTGTATCACTTGCATACTATGTGCATCTGGATGTGCTACGGTGTCGGTCGAAGGTGGGTACACAACGTTGTATAGGTGGCTGTGCTTATTATTTTCACTTGATGTTCACAACTCAATAATACCATGAACCAGCCACTGCACAGTAGACGACACACTGATGGACTGGGCGACACTTTTACTCGTAGCCAAGTTTCTCGCTGCTCATGAAAAAAGGTTGGTTTGTCCAATTGCAGATACTGCTGCCCAGGTATTGATTATCGTCAGTTTTTGTAGTCATTCTGACTTTTTCAAGTTGTCCCAAGTCGTTGTATCGTCCCGCTGCCGCAATTGCACCTGAATCCAACTCGTCATGTTCTCATCCCGATGTTTCTGCAACGCCCATTCGGACAAGTCGTGTAGAATCGTTCAGCTATCCTATGTGCGCCGTTTTCAGCGGTTTACATTGCTGTTACCTTGGGAAATACACTCGATTATCAATTTTGCCTTTGTATGCTGAATGAGTGATACGACTGCGTCATGAAGTCCAGGGGCAGCAAGCATCATCAAACGCTCTCAGACTCGCATCCTTGGCGGGTCACTTTCGCTGAAGACTGACATTCTTCTTTAGCACAGGCTCTCCCGCTAACACTAAATAGCCGGCCGTATTTCTCAGCGCTCATACCAGCGTCTATTATATCGCCTCGACAATATGAAAATACCTGTGCAGTGTTATTTTGTTTCATCGTACCATCATGCCTGATAGCTTAGAAGAACGATACATCAGACTTAAAGGTGAGTCACTCCATATCACCTTTGTATCTATTTCATGATCTTCACATCTATCTATAGTTATCAGCGGAATGAATCTTAAAATCTCCTCCTGGCGCATTCTTGCTGGCATTTACGTATCCATCAATGTTAACTCCCGAAGCTGGAATTCGGCTATCAGTGTTTTGCCATCTGACGAATCTGTAGCGTGGGGAGATACTGCGACTCTGTAAAGTCCACGGAGACTTCCTGACGTGATGCGAGAGCTGACAATTGGATTACAGTCTCAGATCATCACACGCCTCACCTGCGTTATCAGTGGAAACGAGAGCGTCCTATGAGCTTGGCCAAATGCTAGGCAGCGGAGAAGTCGGCGGGAAGCTTCGAACACCATGGGATAGGCTACTTGATCATGGTGATGAGTTATTTGGTGAGCAACTTATTTCTCATTCATGTACATCCACTAACATCTTGTAGATCTATTCTTCCCATCCATGTGTGGAGTCCCCACTTCCCTCACACTGAAGGCCACCGTTGTACGTGCTTGCGACGATCAGGACGGTGTATTCTTTGATGTGAGTGATGCTGGCTTCTGTTTTTATCTTTTACTGACGAAACACCAACCGTAGTCCCTCGTAGACTGCGAGATTACTCGAGACACGGATACGGGCTACGCACTATTTACCGAATATATGACGAGCAAGACGGTCTCTCACCTGCACGATGCTGTGCAACACTTTCAGTTTGTCCTTGACCGATATTCAGTCGACCATCCTGACCACGCAGAGGCTTTCACCAACTTTGCGTTTACCTGCCTAGAAGGTTATATGCGAGATCATCTTCAAGACATTGACACCACTACTTCCCTCTTCCACCAAGCTCTTGCATTGCGTTCGCAGGGTCACTCCGACCACACATTATACCCCTGTGATCTCATTAGAGGATTTATATGGCCCTACGGCAAGGAGTCTGCCGCCGTCTACATTCACGAATCCACGCAGCTGTGGTGCAAGCTACTGCCTCCCTGTCCAGGAGGCTCCTGCCTTCGTAGCATGCACGTAGACAGTGCGATCGGTTATGTGATCGGTAATCTTCCAATTGACACATCTGATGAAGGCATCCACCTTCGATGGAACGTGCACCAGCTCTGTCTTCTGGAATATCAACTCCATCCCAGAGCCCTTCGTTTGCTCCCATTAGCATTAGAAACCCGCTTCCAACAGTGCGGCAGCATTCATGACATCGATGAGATTATACAACTTCGTCGTGAAACTGCGTTTCTGTTCCCGGAGGGACATTCTGACCATGATGACTACTTACACAATGCGACCTGCTCACCCGAGTCTCGCTTTGACCACCGAGGCAACCCCAATGACCTTGATGAGGCCATCTCTTTGTACGAAGAAGCGCTGCGCCTTGGGGGATCTCTCATTGGACAACCTAGGATGTGCCCTCGTCACCCATTTCAACAAATGCAGGGACATTGATGACATCACCCGAGCTATCAGCCTCCTTCGCGAGGGACTGGCATTGCACCCACCTGGGTGACACCACGCTTAACAACCTTGCCCTCGCGCTCAATGAGGATCTTAACGAGGCCATTGATCGGTATCGCGAATCCCTTCGGTTAAAGTGGCTTGATGATCCAGAGCGCCATAGAACTCTTTACAATTTGAGCTCGGCGCTCTGCTCTCGTTTCACGCACACCCGGATGGATGGAGATGTCGAGGAGGCCATTATTCTCTGCCAAGAATCATTAGAGGCTTTGCCTTTACCCTGGACAGGTTTGGGGCTATTGACAGCTGCAACGAGCCTATACATCTCGTTACCTGATGCAGCATAGCCCTATATTTTGTCACTCGCTGTAGAAAACTTCAGACTGGCATCAGGACACCCTACTCAAGGTTTTCCGAATGTATTCAAACTGCCTTGAAGTGGGTTGCTGAGGCCGAGGATCATCAACACGACTCTGCTCCCGCCGTCGTACACAGACTTGCAAGTGGCAGCACGTCACGGCACGGTCGTCATCCTCGTTACCAGTCAATAGTCTTGCAGCGCCATTATTATCCCAACGTTAGGAGAGTGTTCCATCGTGTTCTCCTGTCGTCTATCGCTCTCGCAGATCTGAGGATTCTCAAGGATCGCTTCACCAGGTCAATAAGGCACGCGTCTCGGACGAACCCAGCTGAATCGAGTACGGATCTAATAGTACTCTTGCGGTCATTATGGGACGAAATCATGCTACTCATCGTCAACGTATTCGAGCACATCCTCAAACTAAAGCACCGCTCTCGAATCTGGCCGTGTCTAACTGCAGCTTTCACGTCCATTCCTCTCCATGCAGCTAATCCCTTTCAAACAAAGGCAGATTGCTCTGGGAAGGAGTCATGCGTGGAGGATCTCTACATCTATTCTTATACGCCGACACTTCCACCTCTAGTAGACAAATGATGAAGAAGCGCATCACTCTATCCTTCATGTCGATTAGACAAGGTTAATCGGGTGCAGGGAAAGGCATGACACTCTTGGCTGTCGACAGCGAGCTAAAGCTTGTCTGTAAGTTCGTCCCTGCAACGGCCAAGTGTACCACTATTTCTGGCGATGCAGCCACACGTGTACTCCAAAACAACACCTGGACGCACCTAGCTTGCCATGGCAAGCAGGACCATACACCCTCGCAATTCCCATTCCGTCATGAGAGATCAACCTCTGACGCTGCTTGACATCATGGAGAGAGACATTCCACACACCGAGTTCGGATTGTTGTCGGCATGTCATACCGCCGTCTGCGATGAGAAGACGCCAGACGAAGTCACTCATCTCGCAGTTGGTCTCCAGTTTTTGGGGTTCAAGAGCGTTGCTGGCATGCTGTTGGAGGTCGACGATGCTGTCGCCAAACATGTCGTCGAAGCTTTCTACAAATATGTGTTCAATCCGGAGGTTGGTGTCATGGAGTGTACGAAGTGTGCACTCGACTGTGCTACACACTCTGTGAAATACAAAAGTGCCACTCGAACAGAAGATGGTTTTCATTCATATTGGTGTGTAGTTATTTTATGCCGTATTGCTTTCATCTCGCAGTTATCTCTACCATATCTTCATCGTGGTGAAGCTAATCGTAAGATCACCCCTTCGAGTTATGCTCTTCCCGTTTCATATCGTGTTATCGCCTAGAATATTTTGCTGGTTGTCTGAATGCTCGTTACGCAGTGTGCTGTCAAGTGACCTTCTTGACTTGAGCACCCCTTTAAATTTGATTAAGCTAGATTCCTCTAGATGATTGCCTGCAGTTTTAAACCAAGGAACTTGTGGAGTTTCTCCCTGAGACTTTTATCTGTATTCTCACAGCGACAAAATGGTCTGTATCATATCGACAGCGACCTGCCTTGGTCCTGTAGAATATCACACGGCCATGATTGACATCAACGTGATAAACACTCGCCTTTCAAATTTCCAAGGTCAAAGTATATGACGTGTTTGTGCCGCGCAGTAGAAAAGTCATAACCTAGAAGCTCTGCTTTCTTAACGCTTGTGAGATACAAAAGGTCTCTCCTGTCCTTACTCTCCAATGACTTATTTCTGCTATCCCAACTGTCCATATGAGAAACTGAGAACCGTGGAGTTATCATCAGAGTGTTGACAGGACATTGCGAAGAAAGGGATAACTCCCCGCGGCCACCCGTTGCAGCGAAGGATTGATGAAGAAGCGTGTACTAAAGATGCAATGACCAGGGAGGTATAAGTGCGACAGGGACACGAAAGGAAGGCACCCATGGCAAGTTTGGCTCATGTTGAAGCTTTGAAAGAGATAAATAGGTCAGTCATGGTTAGCGTGAATATCAATGTTAGTGACCAATTCAAACAAGGCTCCTATACTAACCATCAAACTTGGCCCCGCGACGTCTGACTTACGTCATCCAGTAGGCATTAGTGCCGCCCCTTCTAGCGATGGAGTGTAAGAACTGCGAGTTGAGACAACGTCAGTACTATTGCGTAATCTGTCTCAAAAACCAGTAAGCAACTTGAAAACACTTGTCGCAACCCACCTTAACCTTGCATACAGTCTACGTGATTTCCGCCTTCAAACTCACCATTTCTCCTCCGACAGAGACGAACACGTTGCTCGTGCATTTCGTGCATTCAACTCCATCGAATCCAGTCGCCTCCAAATTCGTGCAGAGATTGTACGAGCGAATCGCAGCCTCGAGCAATTAGTTGATGGCCTTGCCAAAGTAAAGAGAGACTGTGAGACCAGTACGTCCTGTAATACCCTTGTTCGCGTGTGATGTTCTAACATAATCTAGAGCGCGACCGTCTCCGTACTCTTCGAGAGGCCCTTGCTCAGCGCAGACGCACACTTAACGCCGCACGCCTCCTTCCACCTCAATCGCAAACACTTACAAAGGAGTCTCAGGAACTCTCTGTACTGAGTCAAACTATCGCTAGAGCACGATCGGGCCTCGTACAGGAGCTAGTAGAAGTCTTTCATGTTGTTGAAGTCGGCGGTCGACCCGCAGTTGGTGGACGACCAGGCACAAAAGGAGAATGGACTATTGGTGGACTAGTTCTTCCAGTACCAGGAGATGTTAGACGTACGTTGCAAGTGTTCACTACGTGAAGGATTTGATCACGCAGGTTGTACCACAGGATACCCACCTGATCATATCAACGCCGTAATAACGCATTCTATTCACTTTCTGGGACTCCTTACGTTCTACCTGGGTATCAAACTACCTTTCGAAGTTTCATGGTCTTGCAGAAAACTCGGGGTTGGTATGCCTTGGATTGGAGCAGGACAAGGGGGTGAATCATGGGCAAAGTGTGTCTCCTCTTGTCACCTACCATATTTTTAACTTGAACTGTTTCACGTTCTCTCTCCTCCACACATAGATGGGTGAAAAAACACCCCATGCACCTAACCTCCAAACCATCCTCGACACCACCTTCTCCCACCTCATCGCCATCCTTTACACCCGCATCGTTAGCTGACTCAGAAGCTCCAGAACATGCACCAGCCCACGCCCAAAACCAATCATTCACGACCGGTTTCGCTATGCTTCTTTATAACGTGTGTTATCTCGCTCATACCCAAGATGTCGAGATTCCCTTGTCCCAGGCAGGTGATGCATTGGGTAATCTGTGGGCTGTGTGTTGTAGTGGAGAGCTTGGGCGGTAAGTTGCCTTTTACTCACCTTTGAAACCTTCGGCACTCTATTCCTGTTTCATTGTTCATTCATTCTATCATCCAAATTGGGCGTTCTCTGATTGATGTCGTTACAGCCGGTCGCACTCTACCACCCCGCTCCTCTTGCCTCCGACCCCTCCCTCATTTACGCTTGACTTTACGCAGGTCCTTCAAGCTACTGCTGCCAGTCCTGCTCGAGCAGTACGAATACGGCCGGGGCGTTTGGTGCAAGAAGCTGACATCGGGAGGATGAGGAGCGAACGTATCGTGGAGGAGGATGGCTGGGATGTAGTAGAGCTTGGCGGAGAAGAGGGATTTGGATAAATGGACGAGCTGGGAGATGGTGGATCATCAGCATGTTACATTGTTCTGAGAGCCTTGATATGAACCTGGAATAGTCAGTCTTATACGGATAAACTTGAGGTCAGTAGCTTGAATTTTCTAAGTACGTCCTCGCAAAGTGTCGGTATAGAAATTGCATGACGTTCTCCCAGAATATCCCCTGCATCACATTCATGTAATCAGAAAAGACATCCGATCTCTGCTGGGTTGATGAAGTAGCAGCAATACATAACCTTATCCCCAGCTGTCTTCGGCTCAAGAACCAGTTCCTCCACGTCGTAGTCAATATCAATCTTGATGGTGTCAATTGCAAGGCAGAGTTCTGCATAAAGATAACCAGAGAGGGAGATGATTAATAGACATCTGTCATGTGGGTTCTCCGAGCTGAGTAGGGGTTGAGTCATGAATCATGATTGCAACACGTCGGGAAAACTCATGGTCTGAGCATGCATGAAATAACGGGCGCCATTTGTACGTGCGCCATCCAGCCTACAAGGAGTTCCCCGTCGAATTCAACGCATCATAGAAGATGGTTGGGATGTAGTACTTACTGTACTATAGAGTTTGAGAAGATAAATTTCAAACGGCATCTAGTAGTAGTCATGTGACTCGGACTTCCCTGGCAAGTCGAGCGTAAACATATTCACTTTCACTCTCCATCAACACAATTCGAACTGATACATGCATCTATCAGTCTCCCAAGTCAACTCATTAGAAGGAAAAAAATTTCTTTGCTTCTATATACAATGCACCAGGCTCTGCTCATTCCCGAAGTCCTCCTAGAGATATTCTCGCATGTGACTGAGGAGCCATCCGACTCGTCCACCGGTGTTACATCGTTGCCTCGGAAATCCCTTGCAGCGCTTGCAACGATATGCAAAGCCTTTTACGAACCCGCGATGGACCTACTGTGGAGTGAAATCGACATATCAGAGTCAATGCTAGGATGTATAACGAGACTACATCCACTGAAATATCGCAGCGGTCGACTGGTGAGTACAGACTAGTCGTGTTCTATTCATTTCTTTCGTTTATTGGCTGACCGGGTATCCGCATAGTGGAATTGGTTGGCAGACGTCAGACCCTTATCTGTCGATGAAGCCCATCAATTTTTGCGTCACTCCGCCCGCGTTCGCTCGCTGATAATGTTATCCACTCGCCTTTTGCACCTTTTCTCAGACATCCCTGTCATATTATATGACTTCCCGAGACTAATGTCGTTGACTATTTCCACCAAATATTTGAACTTCCTGCTGTCCCAGACGCTGCACCATCATCATCTAGCGACTGTCAATGAAGATCTACAGTCTATTGTGACCCGTTTTGCTGCGTTAGAGCGCTTAAGCATTATCACTCCTGATACCATCGATGCAGTCAGCACAGCACGTGCGCTGTCCCGTATTTCCGATGTTGTCCGTTTGTGCAAGCAGCTTGTAACTCTGTCCAGTCCATTATTCGACTGGGCAGCATGGAAGCACATCTCCAACCTATCTACCCTTACCAGAGTGGATGTTGGTGACACGGTCACTGACGCCACCCCTCCTTCGCCGTTGGAACGGGATATCACCAATTTTTCCCCATTCAGTAACGTCACTACTCTTTCCTTCCTACTGTACGGCCCTGCATATGCTATCACAGTCATGCAACATTCACAATTCCCTTCGCTGAAAGAATTCAAGATAGATGTCCGCTTTATATCTTCACCAGAGGCTGAGCAGCTCTTTCGTGCATTGTCCAAATGCAAAGCATGCGAAATCCTACAAAAAATTGTCGTATATTCCTCGCATCACGAATATAATGATCCCCAAACCAACTCGTTGTCATATTTCCTTTGTTTCACACAGCTCCGGACCCTGGATCTCGCATGCTTTGATTTCTGTATCAACCTGGACGATGACATTCTCTTGGAAGCCGCGTCAGCTTGGCCGCACATGCGCAATCTCGAAATAGAAGACTCGCGCCTTCATCATTCTCTCATTACATTCCGCGGAATTTTCACAATGCTCCGTCTATGTCCACAATTGGATACGCTGCGTATTTCAATCGATACTACGACTGTCGATATTGATCCTGATGTTGAGCCGGTACAACATACCTCCCTACGGATATTAGAGTTAAAGACATCCGGGCATCAAATACCAAACGCTGGAACTGTCGCTCGCATCATTTTCTCCTATCTTCCTCGTATTAACGGGGTTGGCGGGTTCATACAAAATGAATGGGATGAAGTCAACATGCATCTCAAATCTTTGAAAGATGCTGCGCCACATGCAACAGGAGCCGCCTCGAATACTTGAGTTTGGGGTGTATCATTTTTGTTCGGACAATTTCTGTTACATTCATTCATGCTCATCTCTTCGTATATGTCGTCGTGATACCCGCTGTCGATTCTGCACTATGATTGCCACTGTTTTCTCTCATCCTACACTACCATGACTGTACTAAGTTGTAGCGAGCCTGGAGCTCCAACCCATCACAACTCTTCAACAAGTCGATCCGTTGTGAGTCTGTGACAACTTCTCGAACACCGTTTTGATCAGAATTTGACATATGTGCAAGAGGCGCACCTTGCAATCGCACGTTTAGGCTTACCGCTGCGGGAATGTGTTCTCGCGAAGAAATGATGGAATCTTGTTCGGGTCAGCACAAGAATGGGAAGCATTTTGAAATAAGGCCTGTACGTAACTGACTTGAAACTGTTTGCTCAACTGATCCTTGATTGTGAACATTGACGCGTCGACGGGCCATGCATGCATGAGCTCCAAACCCTTCAAAGCTCCATGATATGTAGACTTTCGTTGTGCCACGCCGGCGCTTGGGATTGGGTTCTTGGGTGAAAAGTGAGTCGGTGACTACTCTTTACCGCTTCCGAATGTCACCTGCAATGAAAATGTGCCTGTGGCAAATCGCAATGCCGAACCCGGAGCGCTACACTGAGAGCACAATGCTCTTGGTTGTGTTATCGAGAACGTTTGGTAGGTTGAGTCAGGGCTCATGACTCATGGTGAGTCTCCATTGCTTGCGTCCGAAGAAGCTATATCATAACCATTCATTCTGAAGCCTAGTCTAGCCTAGTACGAAGATTGGAATGGAAGAGTAAACCGATCTCGCGTCCGAGAGTCCTCCTGGTTGGCGAATATAAGAGACGAATCACAAACTTGGTTTGGCCTTTCTCCTAGTCCTATCATACACACAACACAACTCTGCTCTTTTGATCATGCCGACTACTACCTTTACTGAAGGAAACTATATGATTGAGAGCGTTGACTCCAAGGGGGAATTTTTGACGGTGGAAAACGGGAATGTCTGTCTCCACGCGAAAGACCCTCAGAGTGTCCAAGTCGTGCGTCAGGCTCCCGATCTCCTGTGTCACTGCAGCTAATCACAGATACGTAGTGGAAACTCATGAGTAGCGGGGATAATTGGGTGAAATTTCAAGGCGTACCGCCTGATGTTGTTCAGGAAGGAAAAATTGTTGGTGCCAGTATGTCAGTAAGTTTACCCTTTTTTCTTTGATGCGAGATTCCTTCTGACTCATCCAGACGCACACACTGGTTTACGGTGATGGCACGATAGAGGATTTCCAGATGGAGGACGATGCCAAGGATACTTTTCGGTACGTGCCTCTAGTAACTGGTGTAGGTTCAGTATTGAATATCGAGTACTCACTCCATCAGGGTGACATTTGAGTACTATGAGCAGGGCCTGTACTGGGAAATCGATGATGGGAAATCCGTAGGTCTTGGAGTTAATCAAGTTGCGCCGCTGTTTACAAGATGTGTACAGGTCTCGTTCACGAACAACCTGACTTATGCAGCGAAATGGAAGTTGACAAATTGTTCGAAATGATGCGCTGAACAACGAGATTTCCCAATTTTAACAATAAATTGTATCAATACTACATGTAATCCACATCTTGACTGGGATTCTGAATAAGACGGGCATGCAGATTGCCAGGGGACCGAAGTACTTCTAGAGGGATGAGAGATCTTTTCCGTCATGTGTTATTGCGCTAGATTTTGGTCACGAATTATAATGCATAACGAGTACTTCTGAAGTGTATCCAACCACACTCACCAGGGCGATGAACGGTTTGATATTGGCCAGGGCTTGGGTAGTGAGTTCATTCGCGCTCTGTTCCTGTTTCATAGTTGATTCGTTCTGTAATGCAAAATTGACGTGCTCTGATTAACTTGATGATCTCCCGCTGCAGTCGATCAGTCTAGCTACCAGTCTGGGAATATTCATAATTCTTGAGACATATTTCTACACAACTACACGCAGTTCTTCCCTTAAGCAACCCCTAAGAGATATACTTCTTGATATTCAAGTTCAACGTTCAACTGCTAGATCTGACCGAGTCATGATTATTGGACACTGGGGCGGTACTGGCCAAGTGCTGGTACAAGTTTATAGACATGATCTGCCAGATGATGGCAAGAACGTGTTCTACCACAGTATTGTATATTACCTTACGGATGAGGATAGTTGCGATCAGAAGTCCATCTCCAGCTCGATCTATCGAAAGCTCTCAGGTCCTGTCCGTGTTGTATAGCAAGGTACATACCAGAGCGACAGCCTCTTCGACTTTTAGAGCAAGCAATTTACTGAACTCCGTCATGCCTTCTTTCACCCGGCCAGGGCAAACAACACAGTTCGTACTACTTCTGATCTTTTGGATTGTCCTGTCCGCTGCCGTCCTCACAGTATTTCCAGACGGGCTATCCTGTAACAGCTCGCATACCTCCTGCATATATGTTGTCCACCATATAACTGGAGCGGAACCCCATGGAAAGAAACTTTTGTCGGTACCCTGTCCACAGCGGCAGTAATTCCCGTTGTAGGAGGAATTACTGAACAGCCAACTGCAGCCATTCGTAGTGCGATAATGATCCGTCATCCATTTGAGATTCTTCATTAGGTTTTGTACGGAGATGATGCATTTTTTGTGGTATGTTAGTAGGGCAAGAAGGTCGGATGCGGTGATCAGGTTGATCTCTGCAAATAACGCAGGAATTAAGGGTTGTCGCAAGTTGTATCTGGCAGCGGTGATGGTTTCATGCTTGAGCCGCGCATTCCTTGCAATGGCGAAGGAGCGAAGGGGGGCTGTCTCAAGAACCTTGGGATTCGCCAGAGCTTGACATACTTTCCTCTCGATCAGGTCTAGTGAATACTTCTTCGCAGCTGCGAGTACAGAAAGAACCTCTGTGAGGTTGTCAAGAGAGGGATCTTCCGCCAGCGTCGATGGATAGCAAAACCTGAGAAACATATCTAGAGTTTTGCTGTCCTCAGGCACGGCAATGACTGCTAAGCCATCCTTCATCTCTTGATCGGAAGCCCCGTCAGGAGCCTGAGGGAGGTCAAACAATGTTTCGAAGAACGGAGAGGCAAGGGAGAGGAAGAGCCTGAAAACTCGAAACTCCACGCCATCAGCTGATCGTAAGATAACGTCTGCTTTAGCGTGATCGAACGGGACTAATGCGCAAATTTGCGTTGGCAATGTTGGCAATTCCATTGGCGATTATGATCTTTGTGGTGTCATGAATATGGCCAATCGTAGCTAGTAAGCTGAACTCACCAGTTGAAACTTGAAATTTGTGGGGTGCGTTTGTGGGATGATCAAGAGGCTCTGAGAAAGTGAAGAGAGTCGAACTGGCCATGCACTTGCAGGCCTGTTAGTATGGATGATTGGTGACGGTTCATTTTCTAGGTGTTTTTCAAAGTCCGCTGTATGTATTATCGAAGCACGAATGTCACAGGTCACACCTCTCTAAGAGGACAGATTGAAAGCGGTCATGTAACCAACCCAGCTTTTTTGTCAAACCAAGGCACATTATGATTCGATGATTCGAATCGCGATGTATTCGTGCCAAGACAGCAACAGTTAGCACTGGTGCGATATGAGATTATGTCTATCCAACGCTGGAAGAATACGATGGGGCCGAAAGTCACTGGCATCAAAGTTGGCGACATCATACTCAGTGGCGGAGGTATAGATGTCGACAGATTTTTCAAACGTGCCGATCTAATGTTTTTGTCACCTGAGATGGATATTCGCACCTGACGAACGTGTATGGGCTGACAATGACAATGTCGTAGCATACGAACTTGTTTGGCTTAATAGCACAGTCAACAACTTCAGCGACCTAGATTTGTCCTACGGCTTGCGGGTGAGTTTTGTCATCTATCTTGTCGATGTTTTGAATTCTCATGCCACTGTGAAGGGAGATTTTAATAAACTTTGTCTGTGGTTCCCTGGAGAAGTATAGGGAGTCGTCACTCGTATCGCTCCAAAACGTGTCCTCGATCCCAAGTTTGGGTGAGACGATTGGACCAGTGTTTGATACAGCACGGTGACAATCATATATAGGGTGGGCGTGTCTCATACAGTCAAAATCAATTCAGCCCTGTAAACGCTGCCATCGCTACTTTATCTGCAAACGTGCAATCCATGTCAAGGGTCAACAAACTGATGGGTAGCCTGTTCTCTCGAGCACATATTGTTCTATGGTGCGCCAACTCATCCGGATGGTATCTTCGAGCAGTTCCACACTTCAATGATTGATACTTCCGTCTGGTCTATCGTGTCCTTCGTCCAAGTTGTCCCGGCCTTGATATTCTTTTTTTTGGTTTTTAAACTCACCGCGAAACAGTGTTGTGTTCAATTCTATAGCGATGGAGGAGTTGATGGAGTCCTTGTAAATGGTGAAGTGTTGCACGTGCAACTTTCAAGCGTTGGAAGGTGGAAACTCAAATCACAAGCAGCACTACGGATGAACAATACACGGTTCGTGTATGATGATAATGGAAGAGCTGCAAGTTTAGATGCGGGTGATGGCGACACTAGTGTGGCATGGGCCGCTGTGACTCTATGGTAGGGCGTGGCAGGGCACAATGGTTGATTGAGGAAGAAAAGAAAGAAAAGAATCACAAGCCTCAAGATGCCTTAATTTACAGCGAGGGTCGAACTCACAAGATTATTGATACCTATGGCCAGGCGCAGAGCTGTCCTTGAGAAACTCGGCGGGATACATGTGGTCAGCGAGACCTGCTGCATATACCTGTCAGCACGAAGTTGCAGGTGTAATTGAGCGTCCAGCAATTGCCAGCTTGTTTTCTAGTCAACTTCGCACAAGGTAGCTCTGAGCCGTTATGAAGGACCAGCCTATTGGCAATCGTGACGAGTATATTGTTCCACATAGATTGATTATAACACATAATGCCTCCCTTCAGATAAACAAAGATGAATCCGTCAGTTGTTCTCCATGGTCGAGAAACCAACATCTATGCTGGCCCTCATACGATCACCATAACGAATTGTCAAGAAAATGATCCTAAAGAAAATTTGAAGCGGTGCTGTGTTAGTATCATCAGTATTGCAGTCAAAAAGACCCTCACCCTTGTCCAATGACCGCAAGGACAGCCGCGATGATGTTCGTCCACGCAACACCTATGCGCTCGATTGATGGAATGATAAGAGCAGTGGAAGCGGATAGAATGAGCAACCGGCTCGCCCTGACAGGTAAATGAACGTGTTCAGGTTAGATAGTCACAATATCATGGAGACTAACATGCAAGCAGCTGTGGCCTCTGCGCTTCGAGAATGTACTACGTCCACATTATAAGAGCTAATAAACAACTTGCTAAGCAAGAGCAAGAGATTGCCATCACTCGAGCCATCAATGAGTACCGTACCGAGCAGAGAAAAGATGAACCCACAAAAAGCCTCCGTGCAATCTGTCGAGAAGTTCAGGAGAAGTATCGAGCAGAAACTGGGAAGCCAGTGGTTGTTGACCACATGACTGTCTCGCGTCGACTCGCCGGGAACAGAAGCAGTGCCCAATACATGGCAGAGGAGAGAGCATGGTTAAAACCGGAACGAGGTAAGTTGGAAGCGCCGTTACCTAAACCGGTAGTTGCGGAGGGCACTGCAGGTGACGAGCTTGATGTCGACGAAGATGAGCGCGAGAATGCCAGTGACGAGGATGAAGAGGAGTAGTAACTGGATCGTTACGGTATGATAATCGCTTAGATGGTACTCTCGCACTCTATAAATCTATATTAGGGCTGGCTCAAGTGGTGAAAAAAACAGATATCAAGACATTCTACTGATCCACGCACTGTGCACGCATCACTCATTCGATTGCTCTGTAGCGTTGCATTAGCATGGTCATCATATATCTAAACATGACTGCCAAATCAAAAATTTAATTTATGTACAGCTGTTCACTTGAGACGGTCAACAAAATTCACTGGCTCAAATGCCGGTCCTATACTGTATTTGGCGGGCCCGATCGAATCACCAGCTGTGATAGTGACAGTAGGGAGAGCAGCCACCAATGACAAACGGTTCAATTAGCTCAGTAGGTGGTTCCACATGAACGACGCCAACGATAACTTCGCTTAATTCCATTTTTATAGGTGATAGGCAGACTGTGTGATAACTTTAAGACTCGGAGGACGAGGATTCCACTAAGATGATCGGATAAACGGTTTGACTGGTTCCACATGAACGTTTGAACCCTGACTGCAATGCCGCGGTATTACATCCAAGTGCTGCTTCGATTGCCTCATCGCCGTGAGACCTCAGCGTAAAGTTGATTCAAGTTTGATCGGCGCCTTCGAAGTCCCGTAATCGGATGAGTGCGGCATGAAGGAGGGCCCTGATGCCCATTATGGAAATGATTATCGTGACATTATTAATGACGTGTGCGCCCAGGCCAACTTTTGGCCTAATACTGTATTAATAAGACTAGAAACTCTTTCCCGACAAGCCCAACGCCAATGCCAACGGTCCTAGTCATTCCCGAGGACATTCCCCACAACAAACACATACACGCGAGTCCTTGAGTACCGGATCTGTTCGAGCGGCATTACACACTTATAACTCGCTCTCTGGTGTCCTCCCACTAAATGTGTGGTATATATAAAGGCAAGGTTCTTGCAAAGGCTTGCAAGCATTCAAGTTCTCTTAGACTCTTACATTCGCATGACTTCCCCAGCGACTCAGGATTTCAACATGAGCTTGTTTCAATTGCAAAGGTAAGGTTGTTCTATGGAGACTCGAGATACAACATGCGCTTATCACGGATGCACATTTAAGGCCCAAATCGTCACTAACAGCCCCCCAGTTGACGTCGCCTTCACGGTTAGGGCCTGCTCCTGATCAAGATTCATTGAGATCCAGCCTACAATCATGTCTCGAGTACCTTGACCGAGTCCATGATAGGCTAGACGGTGTTTGCAAGGAAATGCTGGAATTACGCGCCCGCTTTACAGAGCTTCTTGTCACCCAGTGGCAATCAGAAATCACCATGAGGGATGAGGGCACGTTGAATAACGGCATTGACTTTCAGGCAATCATTGATGACTCTGAGCCTCAAACCATCATCGTACCTCTTGCCACGCTAGATGAGCTCAATGCCGTTTCACCGTCGCTGACTCCGCCAGACCTCCCCGTCTTGGCAGAGTCGCAAGCATTCCAAGGACAACCTTTGACCCTAGAGTACGGTCCTTTAGGGTTTGCTAGTGCTCCGCCACCAGAGGGTCTTCCCATCGGCAACTTTCCCCGAGGTAAGCTGTAATATGCACATACTTTCCTTTAGATGCTTACCGTGTACGACCAGACCTGTTGATCAGTGGCAGCGATAGACTCTATGTACCCGACTTCTTGCTTCAGTCCGACACGTACTTTGATGGAAAGACAATATCCGAGTCCGAGTCTTCAGCAAGTCGCGACCAACAGCCAAGTCTTCCCATTCAAGTTGTGCAGGCCGGTCAAGATAAAGTAAAATGCACCTGGTCCGGATGCTCAAGAGCTCTCAGTAAGGATAGCCTCACTCGTCATTTGAACGAATTTCATCGGCGGAAGGTCAAGGCTGTCTGCGTCGGCTGTGGAAAGAGGTTCGCGCGCCCATATATGCTAAAGAATCATATATGTCGGGCCGAACGGGGAATGTGCTAGATACTGACATATTACGCACAAGTATTGTAGCAGAACAGCCAAGCTAGCCAAGACCAATTGTGAATGTGTGAATGACTATGTGAGTTTGCTGGAACCACAATGGTTCATGCATATCAATAGCATGATCTCAAGATTCGAGAGTTCCTCTCCGAGGTGCTTTGCTGACTATTCTAATCCAAGGCACGCGTTCACGTCGGGTCCGCGTTTGTCACTAGATGTCACCCAAGTACACATATCTAGTGTCTAACGGACGGCCCGGGCGGCTGACGTATTTTTAAACGACTGCCCTTTCGATGCCAAGTGTAGATGTCGCACGTCATCTCGGTTATCATACCGTCTACAAGCAATCTTTCCTCCCAGCAATTTTCGTCGACGAACCTCAGACCTCGCACCGGTTCACTATCGTTGACTCCGCTCAACCTGTCCCTCTTGCCAAAGCCAGCTTTCGGACCCGGAAGGATATGAATCTTTAGAACCTATCAGGGGTACTAGCACCCTGCTGGCAGAGTGCAGATACTCCATTACGGTGAACCTTCGAAAGGTAAGTTCGCGATATTCGCAGCCTTTCCTTTAAACACTTACCAATTTCTCTGTGGCACCTTCAACCTCGTCAGCAATGAGCTCGATGTACAACCATCCCTACCTCAGCATGAAGCCTGCTCTGAGGGACAGACTATGTCTCACTCTTCAGCTAGACTTCTCCCAATTTTTTAGGGCAGCCACGGCAGTGATAAATTGCACCTAGCCTAGAGGGTCAAAAAAAGACAACGTAAGAGCTGTCTGCGCCTGCTGTGAAAAGGTGTTCGTTCAGCACAAGTCTACATGATACCTGATTCTTTTCAATCACAGTACTGCGTACACTTCACGTGCATATTTTGTGTCGTTTGCCGTGACGTATCAGGCATCGAGTAGACCTTAAGGTAATAGTCAAGCCCAAAGGTTTAAGGTACAAACATCCACTGACATCTAACGGCATCGAATGGAGGCATTGCGCGTGAAACTTCCAAGAGTTGAAAGGTGGAAACTTAATTTGTACAGCCAGCACCGCGGATGAATGACACACGGTTCGTGTGTAATGATAATGGAGGCGCAAGTCTAGATGCGGGTGATAGTGACACTAGTCTGGCACGGGCCTTGTTCTAGTGCCGTGACTCTATGGTAGGGCGTGGCAGGGCACAATGGTTGGTTGAGGAAGAAAAGAAAGAAAAGAATCACAAGCCTTAATTCACAGCGAGGGTCGAACTCACAGGATAATTGATGCTCGTTGCCAGGCCAGGAGCTGTCTTTGAGAACATCGGCAGGATACATATGGTCATCAAGACCGAGACAGTACTGACTTCTGAGTACGCAGCGACTGATGCCGGCCTCCGAAGGGCGCTGCGAGTGGAGAAACGACAACGCCCCAGAGCATCCAAACATCTGGACGAATCGCCAAAATAACAGACTCTGCAACGAAGCGGACAGGGCGACACCACAGCTCCCAATGCATAGAAACGGCATTCCCCACAGATATATCGGTCGGCGACCGTCTGAAAGACTGGGGTTGAACTCGAAAACTACCACGAGTACAAAGACAAGCTGCAGTGGATGCACGCACAGAAAGACGAATAAGTAGACCAAATAAACTCTCCAATGGCATTAGCAAAGATCGATAGACTGAAAGCCAAGCTGGGAAAACAGGTTGATCGCTGCTGCATGTCATATGTGCATATAACACAAACCTGACGACAGCATCCGTTACGTCGAGATCTTTAGCTATCTGAGGGATGGAAGGCACGAACGTCACTTGGACGAACACTAACCAATGTTCGTCAGTATCACGTCGACAGTATACCGTGACCTTAGCTCCCAGTACTCACTAGCCAACAAACCCACAAAGGACACGTGAAACAGAATCCACCTCTTTTGATGTGGCACGAATCTGTCATAGATAGATTCATGCGCGGTGGGCTCCAGCATACTAGGGCTTTCTTCTGAGTCTGAAGCCATCGTGAATCGTGTGCTGAAGTCTCGTGGATAGCGCGGAAGATATTAATACCAACAACGTCACACCAGGCTGCACCCTGTACGGATAGCTACAATTTCATGTTGCAAACGCCATCAATGCAATGACCTGAGATCCAGCAGTAATTCACTGTTATCATGCACACTTTTAAACTATGCGAGTCAACGATCATTGTCCCAGAGCAAAAAAAAAAAGGAAAGAAAAATACATGAGATGTATGTTACTAATTAATACAAAATTGCGACGTCAAGAACAGAACGAAAGCAAGAGCACACCTTCGCTATAAAACACCCATAAGGGTGAACATCGTGGACACGGCAAACAGAAAGGAGGGTATCATCACCGTGGCCGTGAGGGACCTTTATTTGCCTCTGCCACATTGTCCAGTTGCGCACTCCGTTTTTGAGCGAGTTCGTTCTGGCGTTCTAGACTCCTGCCATGCCAAATCGTCAGCACAAGACCTTGGACATGCAAGGAAGAAAAGAGGAAAGGGAGGGGAGGAAAAGGTCAATAAACACAAACCTCAACTGATTTTCCAATTCCAACACCCTCTCCTTCGTCCCTTGCCTCTCCCTTTTATACTTCTCCTCCCCCGCTTTCAACCTTGTCTCATACTCCTTCACCCTCGCCTCCCATTTCTGATCAGCTGTAGTCGTCTTTTGGTTTATGTTCGAAATCTTTTCTTCGCTTAGGAGGAGCTGATTTTGAACTACCACTAGGCGTTTCTCAGCATTTACTGCGCGGGAAAGGAGCGTCTTCGTTTCTTGGGAGTCGCCTTGGGTTGGTCGTCGGGATGTCACTAGTTGTGAGGTTAATTCTGCGTTGGTGGCCTTCGCAGATGAGAGTAAGAGTATCAATCAAAGTCAACGTAAAATCAAAAACACTCATAAAAACACCCACCTTCAACCCCTCAATCTCCCCTTCCTTCGCAGTGAACTTCCGTCTCCATGTAGACTTTGCCTCACCATACGCCTTTACGCTCGACTCAAACTTATCAATCTGTTTCCACCGCACATCAAGCTGCCTCCGCATCTCAGCAAGCTTGTCAGTGAATTTCCCTTCTGCATCTTTGACGCGCTTTTCGAAGTCGAGTTGGATCTGGGATAGAGCTTTGAGCCGTGTGATGAGGTTATCGTGGAAGACGCTGAAATTGGTGAAGGGCTTGGTTTCTGCTTGATTGCCTTTCTTCTGCGAAATAACATGTTTTTGTGAGTGAGTGACACGTGTTAGAGAGTAACGGAAGAACTTACGGGAGTCTTATCCACCCCGAGGATCTTATCCATGTATTGATATATCGTAAGCAGCAATGTATTTCGCTCCGTAAGCTGATCACGATACTGATTCTCAGCACTCAATAACGTCCGCTGGTCCTTAGACAACCGCGTCTCCAGCTCATTCACTCTCGTCCTATACCCAAACGACTCTGCCTCAGCGGTCTTGAGACTGCTCTGCGCGCTGTCAAGCTTCTCTGAGAGACCGAGACGCGCTTGAGTTTGGGTGTTGAGCTGTGTGGTGAGCTGTTGTACTTCGAGCTGCAGTTTATGAATCAGATCTTCGCGATCACGAGTCGTACCCTCCCGGTCGCCGACATCTTTCCTCGTACGAGATAGTTCGTCCTCTAAACGGTCGACATCACGTTTCAGCCTGTCGACTTCTAGCTGCAACGAGAACCGCGCGGTCGTATGGGTCTCCCCAAGCTCCTTGGACCGTTGTTCCATATCCCGAAGCGCGTTTTGGACAGCTTCGAGGTCGCCTTGGCGTTGTGAGAGGAGGGACTGCGTGCGTGAGAGGTCATCGAGGGTGCTGCGCAGTGCAGAGTCTTTGTCTTCGAGTGCACGGCATTCGCGTCGCAGCTCAGACTCGTGCGTCTTCTCGACATCGTCGAACTCGCGCTCAAGACTCTCCCGAGCTTCCTGTTCGCGTTTCACTTGAGTTACTAGGTCTTCGATGTGCCCCGCTAGTTCTTCCTGACGGGCTCGGTGTGCGTGCATGTCTTGAAGAGATTGGTCGTAGAGTTCTTGGAGGTCTTGGAGTTGGGATTTCAGTCCTGAAACTTTCTGTTGCAATGTGAGCTTTTGAATTTCGAGTGAGTAATGAAAATGGATGTACATCTTTGAGCGCAGATGCGAGTGCTTCTAGTGTTTCGCGCTCGACTGCGTCATCCTCTCTCTGACGTTCGTGATCCTCGGCCATGCGATCTGCATCTTCCTCGAGTGCGTATACTTGCTTTCCGAGCTGCTCGATCTCCTCGTTCGCAGCGCGGAGCTCGGCATCTTTCTCCTCTGCTTCTTGTTCGAGATGCGCGAGTGTAGCTTCGAACTTGGCATGGAGGTCGTTGGTATTGGCTTCGAGCTCTGTGATATTGAGGCGGAGTTCTCTTGCTTCGTTTTCGCGTTCTGCAAGGACCTATGTGATAGTGAGAGACAGGAGACAAATAGGACAATGAAACAAACATCTCTGAGTTCTTCAACCTGACTCCTGGCCTCTTCGACTTCACCCCTCCACTCCTCCTCGACAACATCAACGACGCGATCATGTTCCTGGATTAAATCGTCTATCTCTTTGTTCTTGAGCTCCAATTCGTCCTCCTTCTGTTGTAGCTCGATGGTGGCGGCAGCAAGTTTATCCCGGATTGAATTGAGATCGTCCTCCACAGCCTCACGTTCCTCTCTCTCCTCAATTATTTGAGCCCGACTCTCGCTCCTTTCGATGCTTTCCGCTTCTCTCCGTCGCTGCAAATCCTCGACCTCCAGTTGTAACCGATCAGCATGGTCAGCAAGTGCCTCATTCTCCTCCTCGCGTGCAATGAGAAGTTGATCGCGCTGCTCGAGCTCAAGACGAAGTTCCTCATTCTCAGCACGCAGATCCTCGACTTTCCGTGCATAACTGGGATCTATGGAGTCGTCCTCACTGCGCTCAATGATAACCTGGGCCTTCCTCAACTCCCTGATCTCATGCTCGCGCTCTTGAAGCTGCATCTCAAGATCGCGTTCCCGCTCATGTAGCTGTGTCTCCAAGTCGCGTTCGCGTTCGTGCAGCCGCGACTCCAGATCATGGTCGCGCGTCGAGCCACGTTGAAGACGCTCCAACTCACGCTCAAGCTCCAAGACGAGTTTCTTGAGTTTCTTGATCTCAAGACCGCGTTGCTGGACCTCGATCTTGAGGTTAATGTTCTGCTTGAGAGCAGCATCGATCTGGTCGGGTGCAAGCTGCGCAAGACGCTCCTCGAGGAAATGAACGCGTAGTTTGATGTTAAAGTTTTCTTTTTTGAGAGAGTCGATGTGCTGTTGTGTAGGTTAGTTTAGATAGAGCCAGTGGGCGGCGGTTTTTGGTTTACCTTTTCTTGGTCTCTTAGAGATAAAGCAGCGCCTTTTCCTCCTGGTGCGCTTTGTCTTGGACGTCGTGCGCGTGGAAGGGGTGTGTCTGGACCATCACCGTTGCTGGGAGCGGGTGATGAAATTGACGGGACACGGAGTGGTCTGCCGGGTGTACTGGGACCTGATACAAATGAACCGAGGGACAGATCCGGGTGAGTACCAGCAGAGATGTCTGCACCGTTTGGAACGGAAGACATGCACGTTGAGAGCACGGGGGGAGGGCCTGATTACTAAGCAAAGACCATTCGTCCTTTATAGAAAAATGGGCTACCGACAGTACTTAGTCTATTGAGCGTGATCAGGCCCTGCCAAAGTGGATTGCCTAGCCAAACCTGGTCAGCATGATGGGCCGCTTTCAGGTATCTTGTGCTCAGATAATTCAGACATATCGAGTCCTTACCACTTTCTCGGCTGAGGGTGCCGATGTGCTTCAAATACGCATACACCATACTGCAGGGGAAAGCGCCATATTGTGTGATAATATAACCATTTCGTACGATTCCAACTCCTGAAACTACCTCGACAAACCTTTCAAGTAATATGCCTATATTCACAGGCGAGACGCCTCAGCCCCACTCCAAGCCGGAACATTGTAATGATGTTGGAAATCGTACTAATGACAATGAACCAGTGGGTCCTTGGCGATTATGCAGAAGTGCTAGTACACCAGTTTATAACTAAAGTTAACAGCGACAACGATAACGAAAGAACGAAAGAACTCGAAGCTATGCAACAACATTCCCGGACGTGAAGGTATTACAAACTCAATTATTCTAGCAGGCATACGGCGCAGTAGCCGCTCTCAAAGATTTGAGATGCTTGTTGAATTTATCCCACCTCCTATCTGTGCTTAGAACTTGGTCGACACAAGGGAGCCAGGCGGAAATGATGCGAGCGAGAGTTTCTGCATCTGCTATTTCAGACTCCGATGTCTCCAATTCCAATGATCGTAGGGAGGTATGTTGTATTGGCTCGGCATCAGGATCAACGTCGATAGTTGCAATATTGATTGGAAGTCGTAGTCTATGCAATTGTGGACACAGACTGAGCGCTGTGAATAATCCACGGAGGGAGACTTCGGAAGAAGAAAGATGGTCGTCTAGTAAGTGGCTGATGTCCAGAGTGCGGATGTGCGGCCAACTAGACATAGCTTGCAAGAGCACGTCATTGTCTAGGTAGAGGCAGGAATCATGAAATATGAGCTTGAAGCTTGAGGGTTCGGAGCTGTGTGAAGCAAAGGAGATGCGGAATTGGTGTCAAAAACTCGTCGTATTGGGGTCCCATGACATTGTCTTCATAGGAAAAAATGTAGATTTTTTCTAGAGTCTGACACGGATTACAGTGGGGCAGAGCATGAGAGAGTTGCTCGGCCTTTTCTAAAGACAGAAAGTGGGCTTCAAAGTCGAACTCTTTCAACGAGGGAAATCGCGAATGTTGCATGACTGTGATGATGTCTCCAGCATCGCAGAGCTCTCGGAAGGAAAGGCTTGTGATGTTAAGGAATGATAAATTCACGAGATCTTGTTTTGGCAGCGAAGGAGAGTCAATACATCCTGGATCAATTTCCAATTTGAGAAGGGTAGGGAGACAGGAGAGGTGCTTCCATGCTGCCCAGTCGAGCATTGGACAAGAAAGAGTTACAAGCCGCGTGCACCAATGAATCCTATCGGATAGGAGGGACAGTTCATCCGCTGTGCTGCCATCATCATCGCTTATGGGAGTGTAGATGTATAAATGCTCCAGAGCAATGCAACGTGTCACAAAATATTGCAGACCCTTGTCGACGCTCAATAGATGACATCGGTGCATCGTGCGAGGCAGGAAGTGGTTCAAATATATGGCGGAAAAACTTAATGACTTCAGCCTCGGAAATACGTATGCCTCGGCGGGGATGACAGAGAGAAGGTACGGATGTTCAGATCTTATGTTCAACGTGCGTATGCGAGAGGAGTGACGCAGAAATTGATGGGTCTCATGGGCAGATAATGGCTCGACACCTTTCGCCCACCGGGGCTTGTACGAGTCGCCCCACTATCATGTAATAGACGCTTGGTGAGCCGAAAAGAAACAAACAAAGCGTAATGAAGTCGTGCACTGACCCTTGTGCCAATATGATATATCAGTGGATGTAGCCTCGCTACACAGCCTAGCAGTGGTTCTAATCCATGGATTTCAGTCCATAGCAAATCCATCGCAGGCTCGTGGAAGATTTTGCATGTCCTTGCAAGCGCTGCAAGCAATTTCTGGGTCGATGTTGTTTCAGTAGATGGTATTATATTCACATAAGCGAATATCTCCAGGAGGACTTCGGGAATAAGTAAACCTTGATGCATCACTGGGGTACGGTAGAGTCAGGACTCAAAACAAGGTTTTATGTAAATCTAAAAACATTGCCTGCCACGTTGGGTGTTGTTACCTGCTATTTTGAATTCTAGTGGCGCTATATAGTATCACGTAGTACGGATACAATTTATTGGTAAAAATTTGGATACTTCATGAATCTTTGTTCCGTGCATCCATCACTCGAACATTCTATTTCGCCACGTAACTTCTCGCAGAGCAGATGCATGAATTTCTCGATATAAGTCAAGTTTTGGGTGAATGAGAGCTGTACAAATCTTGTAAGCAACGGCGCAGACTGATTAACGCCAAGACCAATCGTGAAAAGACCCAGAGTTTGGATCGAGTTCTAAATCAAGCGTATATATCGCATGCGTCCGGTCGAAGCGCACACCAGTGCGGCTGGAGTGGGATGGCATTGATGCCGCGCTGTACCATCCTGTACCTGACATCCTGTATCGTTCATCTGTCATCGAGGTACTTCCACATCAAGAAACACTACTTACATGCAAACGAGGAAGTGCCTCGGTGACGTTGAGTGCAGCGCCAGTGGGCTGCTTCCCACTCCAGAAAATTTCTGCTGATGATGCAGCGCGTGGCCAAACGATCGAGTCGACATTTTGGGGACCAGACTGTTCACTCCATAGAATTTGCTCGCCTGCAGATTGCTCAGAAAGAGTTGCTTTAAATTCAAGACTAGATTGCGTTTACCTCCGAGAACAAGTTCATACTGCGCCTCAGTCAAGTTTGCCAACGGATCAAAGGTATATGCCTAACGAAACATTGTGTGATATGTGGCTATCCTCAATATTCATACTCACCTCGGACCAGGTCTTGAAGGGGTCGCACCAGCTATTTCTGTTCTCCCAAGGGATGTCAGTTCAGATTGAGTACATTCAACAAGACGAGGACTAACCCAGTTGGGTCGTCTCCCAGCCATTCACCAGCACCACAATCCTGGGATAATAAGGACGTTGTGTTCTGTAGAAAAACTCGTCAACTGACCAGGTAGAAGTAATTTGATGGTGCTTGGATGATCCTAAAACCCCTTCCTGCCACTGCTGCAGCATCTGCAGAAGAAATCCAAATCCTTTCGATACAGTTGAATCAGCGAAGTCAAATCATGGTATCATTATACTTACATCACAATAGTCTCGTTTGAGAGTGTAATATTCCAATCGAGGACCATTTCTGAACGACCGCCGTCTCCATTTAATACTGTCATTCAAAGGAAGAAACACGGCGCATACCCTCCCATACGACAGGCGTCTTTCCCTGGGCAATCAATGCACCGTGAGTGGTCTGTGTGAACGTGTCAAGAGCACTATTTAGCGTCATGCCGGTCCTGTTCAGCTGCTGCTCCGTTAGGTAGTCATTGGCATAACAGTTCGTGTTAAGTTCATCGCCGCCGGTGCTGAAATAGTGCGAAGGGAGGACCTTTGCGACGCTTGTGAGTAAGGAAGCAGTGAAGTTCATGACCTCTGGGAGTGCAAAACGAAGCTGGCCGGCAGGGGGCTCGTTGGCAAAGTCTGCCCACGGGCTAGCATCAGAGCACGCAACATATTCGGGGTAAGTGGCTGCAATGATAGCGGTGTGGCCGGGTGTATCGATTTCCTGTTAGAGTGCTCAGAGTTATTTACAAATTTGACTAATGAATCCTGACCATCATAACATCGATGCCTCTCTGCGAGAACACCATCAGCAAACAAAAGACCGTGATGAAGGGAAAAACGTACTGCAGCAGCATACTGCACGATGTATTGGACATCGCTCGCTGTGTAAACTTCTTGAGGAGAGTATGCACCGTTTATGGCAAGCTCGGGGTACTGTGCGACTTCGAGTGGAAAACTCTGACTATCCGTGATATGCCAGTGGAAAGTGTTGATCTGTATAGCTTGTGAGGGATGACAAGACAAGACACCAGGAAAGCACTCGCCTTCACCCAGCTCATCGCATCCAACGTTCGCAGAATGTCGCTGACCGGGTAGTAGTTTCTCGAGGTATCCAGTCCTAATCCCCGGAAAGGCTACGTATATGGGTTCATGCACCAGACGTCAAAGTGTAAGGGATAGCTGCTCACATATGCAGGAGTGTCCTTGATAGAAATCGGGGCGAGTAAAGTGTAAGTCACTCCTCCATAGTAGTAGAAAAGCTGATTGAAAGTGGTGAGTCCTCTGTACAGACCCAACGTCGAGTTCGCCGTCAAAGTAGCAGCCGAGCCGTCTGCTGGAATGTCTAGTACGTACTCCTCACTACGGGTTCCCAGGGGCTTGACAGCTTCTGAAGAAATGGGCTCTACAGCAGCTCCACTCGCGAGAGACAGCGTTAACTTTGAAAGTGTCCTCGCGTTAGCAAGTGCGGTAGTATCATTTGCGCCGCGGCCTACGACGAGACGTCCAAGTTTGTCGTTTTCGAGATAGTACAGTGATTGTGTAACTGCGTCATGTAAATCCGACGGCGCGCCTTCAATCTGCACATCAAAGTAGAATGTGGGGGAGATTTTGAGGGTAGTCATGCCGGTCTCGAGGGTAGTTGGGATGGGCCAGAGAGCCTGGACACCAGAAGGAAGGATGCATCCTGTGACAAGTGCCAGGATGATCATAAGGTGGCGAGAAAAGGCCATGAATCAATATGTGCGGGTTAAGGACGCGACCAGTTCAACTGCAACTGTTTATATAGAAGTCACAGCCGAATACTAGGAGCACTAGCGGTGGTGAACAAAACAGGATTAATAGAAAAATTAAATGGCCTAAGGATTGCCATGTGCGCTTTCAACATGCGTACGTAACGCTAAAGTGACCCAGGATTCCAGTGCAACTTGTCCGGTGTTGACAGGCCCAGCGTGGATGGCTTTCGGAAGTTTGAATCATCCATATGCACGTCCATTGTTCAAACGTTCAAGAGGTAGAATCCCGCGGTTCAACGGCGCGTAAACGCGGTCGCGTGACTTATAGGACTGAATTCTCGAAATGGAACTGCTTACGTCAAACCGTCAATTGAGCCTCTGTCTGGCCAAGACTATTCCTGCCATGTCATGCAAAAATGGCACACGACGCGCATGGGTTCCTCCTTCAAACAGATCTCATTCGCTTATCAGCAGACTTCAAACCAGTTTTTCTCTGTCACCTGATGATTGCCAGACCAGCCTTGTGCAACTGGTCGTGTGGCGTGACAAGTTTCGAAACGCAAAACTAGAGCGGAGCCGCGGTCATCGATGCTATCTCAGTAAGTGATAAACCTGGTGACAGTTTTACTCATTCTCATATCTTTGGCAGGCATATGATAGAAGCCGTAGAGTGAGTCACAGGTGTTTCAAAGATAACGACTTGCATCCCTATTGCGGCTACGAAGCCTGCTAACAAGTACATACTTACTACGGCATAGACCAGCCTGTCGCTTGTGATTGACACCACCATCCTGCCATATAACACTCGTGTCAAGGGGCCTTGATCACGGTCGGTCGCTTTCGTTGTGTCCCTGAAAGCTGTCTGACATTGCGCGCAGAACTTGACTGTCCACTCAATCAATGCTTATAACTCGTTCCTCAATCCATGGACACTAGATTGCCAAGCCACGTTCCCTCGAACTCTTTAGCTCCCTGAACGTCACAAAGTTCAACGACCTGGGGAAACCCACCCTTATAATCCATTCCTACAACCCTGGAACGTTGGAACCTACCCTACGATACAATTTGTACGTACTACACAGAACCGCCATTTCTCAAGCAACCATGCTTTCTGTATTGTAACACGTCCCGAGTTAATAGGTCAACAACTCCTATAGTATGTGATTCTGCGACACCACATCGAGAAATTCTCATGCTCTGTCGAGATGGACACTAAACTGCGTTTTGTTCCAGCAGTCCGACGAAGGTGTCATAGGTTCTAGCAAAGAACGGCATATTGGAGCTCTTATACTAAGAGGATGATCCATGCTGACGGTGCTAAAGGTGATATGTGAATAGTCCAGCATTCAACTTTGTACGATCCCCTTGCCCTGCATCTGTCATTACTGCTAACTTCCTACTGCCGTACTCTAGTGTTGTCTCCAGTTCTTGAAATCATTTCTATCTACGACTAACGACATTTGTCTCGAACATTCGTTCTTCTTGACATGCTTTCCCCTGTTCATTATCACTTGGTACATCTTCTATATGATTTTTAGACTATCTTTATAGCGCGCTAGACATGACTATGGTATCTCATCATATGGCATGGATTGATCCTATGTAGTTGTTGGATTTTATTAAGCACGGATTGTGTTGTGCGATCAGATGGCCGTTACAGATGCGGATATCAAAAGGACTGAACCAGTGAGTTGTTGGCGATAATACAGAAGTACCAGTACAGCAGTTTATAACTACAGTCAACAGCATCGAATGACAACGATAACAAATGAAAGAAAGAACTCGAAGGTATGTAACAACGAATTCCCGGACGTGAAGATATTCCAAACTCAAATATTCTAGGAGGCTCCCACGACATACGGCGCAGTAGCCGCTCTCAAAGATCTAAGATGCCTGTTGACTTCAACCCAACTTAAACCATATAGGTTTTGAACTTGGTCGATACAAGGGAGCCAGGTGGAAATGATGCGAGCGATAATTTCAGCATCTGCTATTTGAAACTCGGATGACTCCAAATCCAATGATCGTAGGGAGGTATGTTGTATTGGCTCAGCATCAGGATCGATGTCGATAGTTGCAATCTTGATTGGAAGTTGTAGTGTATGCAATTGTGGACATAGACCGAGCGCTGTGAATAATCCACGGAGGGTGACTTCGGAAGAAAAAGCAGAGTCATCGATTACCAGAGTGCGGATGTGCGGCCAACTAGACATAGCTTGCAAGAGCATATCATTGTCCAGGTAGATGTGGACATTATTAAACGCGAGCTTCAGGGTTCGGAGCTGTGTGAAGCAAAGGAGATGCGGAATTGGTGTCAAATATGGGTCATCTCCCATGAATTCCTCATCATAAGAACAAATGGAGATTTCTTCTAGAGTCCGACAGTGGGACAGAGCATGAAAGAGTTGCTCGGCCTGTTCTGAAGAGAGATTGTTGGCTTCAAACTCGAACTCTTTCAGCGAGGGAAATTGTGAGTGTTGCATGACTGTGATGATATCTTTAGGATCGTAGAGCTCTTGAAAGGAAAGGGTTGTGATGTTAAGGAATGATAGATTCACGATATCTCGTTTTGACAACGAAGGAGGGTCATTACATCCTTGCTCAATTCTCAATTTGAGAAGAGTAGGGAGGGAGGAGAGGTGCTTCCATGTTGCCCAGTCGAGCATTGGACAAGCCAGAGTTACGAGCTGCGTGCACCAATGAATCCTATCAGATAGCAGGGACAGCTCATCTGCTGTGCTGTCGCCATCGCATATTTCAGGAGTGTAGATGCGTAGATGCTCCAGAGCAATGCAACGTGTCACAAAAGATTGCAGACTCTCGTCGACGCTCAATAGATGACATCGGTGCAGCATGTGAGGCAGAAAGAGGTTCAAATATGTGGTGGAAAGACTTAATGACTTCAGCTTCGGAAATATGCATGCCTCGGCAGGGATGACAGAAAGAAGGTGCGGATGTTCAGATTTTATGTCCAATGTGCGTATACGGGAGGAGTGACGCAGAAATTGATGGACCTCATGGGCAGATAATGGCTCGACATCTTTCGCCCAGGGCTCGTTCCACTATTATGTAGACGTGGTGAGCCGAAAAGAAACAAACAAAGCGTGATAAAGTCGTGCACTGACCCTTGTACGACTATGATGATATATCAGTGGATGTAGCCTCGCTACACAGCCTAGCAGTGGTTCTAACTCATGGATTTCAACCCACAACAAATCCATCGCAGGCTCATGGAAGATTTTGCATGTCCTTGCAAGCCCTGCAAACAATTTCTGGGTCGATGTTTGAGTAGATGGTATTATGTTCACATAGGTGAATATCTCCAGGATGACTTCGGGAACAAGTAAAGCTTGATGCATCACTGGGGTACGGTAGAGTCAGGACTCAAAACAAGGTTTTATGTAAATCTAAAAACATTGCCTGCGTGGGACCAATATTAATGGGTGTTGTTATAACCTGCTATTCTCAGAAATCCAGTCAGAATGAATACAATTTCATATAACGCGTGACTCTCACGAATTCGAATGCGGTCACCAAGAGTCCGAGTCAATGTTGGCTCGCAATGCACCTGGTCAGAGGCTTACCTTGACAACAGCAACCGTAAGCGTTGGTTCGTGTTCAAAAGGGGTAGCTTGATGTTTTGATTGGACCTCGACCCTGATGCAGATGTTGCATTGCAACGTAAAACCCCCTAAGTATACGGCTGTCTTATTCAGTGCCGCACAGCACACGGCTTTATTGGAAAATACTAACGGCCAATCCATCATTGCATCTAGCTGAAACCTTCGTACATCCTGCCTCGCTGAGCCAGGCCAAAAGAGCAGACTGGGTGGGTTATTGGTAGTGGTAATGATCATGATGAAAACTTGTTCATTGTCTACTTTCGTTAACGTTCGTTCTCGCGCGTACAGGCATCGATTTACGGAAATACACACTGTACAATATGATATATGATACACCGACGAAATGGCAGTCTCGACTCTCCACAACCTAAACGAAATCAACAGTCGTTCATATCCTCGACATTGGGAGCAGGTATCTATTTCTCCTTCCCACATGAACATTCTTTGCAATAATGCCCTTATAGGCTATTTGAAAGTCGGATTGCATATCTTTCATGTTGCCGGGAACCCCCTGCATGAATTCATCGACCTCTGAAACTCTAGATCTGAGTGCGTCAATGTCACGGTCACGATGAGCGGGTGAGGAAGGTTCCAGTTGTCTGCGTAATCTCAATCCCTGCCTGAGAAGCGCTCTATAAACAGGACAGTGTTAATTATTATATGTCACGGAGTAAGGGAGGACGGACACTAGCTCGCTTCTCTGCTTGCCCAACTCCTCAAGTTTTTCATAAGGCTCCTTGTTGAAAAGGCTTTTCGTCTTCGCCATGGCCGCGCGAGTCAGAGTAATGCTTCGTTCCAAGCACACCAGGAGGTGAGGCAATGGTCCAAGGAAAAGGAAGGTGTAATAACCCGAACGCCATTCAGAGGACTGCGTCTCCTTCAGGCATGTCATGAACATCGCATCAATTTCGGCGTTAACTGCATGACTCGAGCGGCGTCTGATGTAACGACGGTATGCTTTCTGAATTGTGCAAGCCGCCTCTTCCTCCTCCACCAATGGTCCGTTGGTGCGTAGCAACTCGCTAAGATCATGTGCAAGCAACATCACCGCATCACGGGCCTCGGTATCAGCGTTCGCCGTGACATCTTCCTCCATTTCTTCTTCTTCTTCGAACTCTTGAGGTTGCAATTCCACTATTTCTTTTTCATCGTGCTGGATAACCTCTGGTGGGTCCTTGGAATGTTCTAAACGAGGTACAAAGGCAGGGGCCACTACTTTCAGAGTAGACTGTGCGGTCACTGCGTATGATGAAAGGAGATGGGGGATCTCGATGATCTTCTCGTATACGAGCCGTCGGACTATATAGACTCGGGTACACTGGTTCATCGTTTTGTAGACAAGATGCACCAGGTTGCTCACTCCTTTGTTGTCGTCCAAAGCCAGGAGAGCTCGCAAGTAAACGTCTGAGGGTGGCGCCTGTTCTCGCAAGGGTGTCATGTACCTGACCACGACATCCACGAGTTTCCGATAGTTAGCTAGATGCCAGTTCGAAGGAGGGTTGTTGTTGTGCAGAGAAAGAATGATCTTGTCTACTTTGTCTCTCACGAAGCGATTCCTGAAGTTATAAGCAACTAATGAATTCAATTCAGCAGCGAATGAGCATTTGAAAAGAAATAGTAGACGTACGAAGGCAGAGGACCCTGCAGCTGTAATACATGTGATCAGTATGCACATCGCCGATGAACAGATACTAAATTGAACTTACATCCGGGAAATGAAAACATTGTGGAGAATGGGCGTGAATCTCATATGGTTCAGCCAAAGGAAATCTGTCTAATTGTAATCTAGAATCTCTGAAAAGTTGAGACACGCACCTATACTGGTTTCTACGCGCAATGCTTCAACTAGTCTAGCTATTTCATCCAGAAGCTTGCCCATCAAAAACAGCTTAGTGTCTTTCTCCGCAGTGAATTTGTGGGGAAACAGCAGCCAGTTACATGGAAGGACAACGTTATGAAGAGGAAACTCATTGAAGTCTGGGTCCATTCGATAGTTGATTACAAAAGCGCTGCAGATGTCCTCGATACAGTCGCACAACACCGAGAGGTTGACATGTAAACGATTATCGAGGACATGTCTGAACTGCACTTAGTTCGTTGCATGTAGAGACAAGAAGAACGTGCTTACAGAATATACAGAATCCCCGATGAGATGCTGCTGCGGGTAGCTCCTTGGTAAGAATTGAGCAGGTCATGAACCATATAACGATTGTCCCCCTTGCGAAAGAGTTCCAATGGTCCGGAGATCGTACACTTTGCTCGAGAGATGTAGACGGGTGCGTCGTTCCTGTCAAAAGCAAAACTAAGACTGGTTATTCCCATCAACACCGTCAAAAATTCAGCCTGGGTATGGAATGGGTCGAGCGAGTAGAAGGATTCGCGGATCCAGAGCTTCACTACTTTCATGCCATCCAGACGAAGAGGCATCAGGTTCATGTCAAGGTCCGCAGGGGAACCTTGAATGAATAAGGGTGGATTGATGGCCTCATAAAGATGCTTGAGCCAGTGCCTCATGCTGATAGAGTGATCAGTATGAGTACTCGAATATAAGCTACCTCCAGGCGTACCTTTTGCGTCGCTCAATGTATGGGTGAGCGGAATACATGAATTGCAAGATCAGGATCTGCCAGATGTGGATAGCAACACGGTTGTTGTAACACTGGCGATCTAATTTCGATACTGCAACATGCTCTTGGGGACAGATATCTCTTCGACATACTCCAGATATCAAGAATTCCAGGCATTGCGAGAAGACGGGAGATTTGCAGCACATATCATCGATCTCCGATATTTTGTCTTTCAAGATCGTTCGAATGGATTGTTGTAGCAGCTGGGTGACGACTCTACGAGAAGCTGTGTACCCGGATGAATGTTCCGATACCCAAGTGATCCCCTGGCGGTCTTCCATTAAGTTGTTGTGGAGGAACGTTCCATCTGGTATGAGAAACTCATCACCGGACAACCGCACGATGGAGAATAGTCTCTGAATACCGCTATGCTCCATAGGGTCAGGGAAGGTCAAAATAAGATAGAGCAATCGCGCATAGGCGTGAAATTGTTGAAGGAACCGTTGCATTTCATCGACCGTGAAAGCTCGAATATCTGTGGTTCGAGAGAATATATGGTCCAGGCAAAGAAGAGCTGCTGGCTTGTTATCCTGTTTATCGAAGTTAAGCGCAAGATTTCTCAACGGCTCATGATTTCCGCGCAAGATGTTTTGAAACATCGATATCTGGATGTCGATCAGTCCAGTGGTCACTTTGAGACTGCTAATACGTACTAAATCACGCGTGGCCAGCGTTAGTTTGTTCGTCTCCAGCTGATCAGCGATAGCGATGAAATGCCGCATTGGCTCATCAACAACGGATTTTGCCGTGATTTTGAAGGAGCATTTGCGCCAGAAGTATTCCAATATAGTTTCGGCCGCACGAATAGTAGAATCGACGTTGCTTTCGTCCTTGATGAATGCCCGGACAGCTTGCAAGGGCCTGTTCTCTGACAAGTGAAGCTCTGCGGCCTCATAGTACATCGAGTGAGATTCAAGTAGTGATGCACGAGCGTAATCAAGATCATAGTCCTCCAGAAATTCGAGTTGTTCATCAAACGTGGAGAAGAGTGGCAAGGGAGTCCTGCGCAATTACTATTAAATAAAAATATTGTGGAGAGTCTAAGACTTACTGAGTGTTGTTCCTGCTGCAGTAAAATAGTCTGCACACAGTGTACAACTCCGCCTTGGTCTCTTCAGGTATATCCGTGCCATGGTCATGAAGGACATGGATGGTCTTGTCAAACCGTCCAGCCTTGCGATATGTTTTCGCTGCTTGCTCGAACTCTTGAGTATTGAAATAGGCCTCGGCAGCTTTAAGATCATCTCCTGCTCGAACGTAGCAATCCGCCGAGTTACGATAGTATTGAAGCTTCTGATTTCCTGTCGCGGTCGCCCCACAATCAGCAAAGGCATCGGCAGCCACGTTAAAAGCTCTTGTTTGGTCACTGAGTAAGGCCGCTCCGACACTAGAACGTGCGACTTCTCGGAGTTGATATGCTTCACAGACCTTCACTTCACGATGAAGGTTAGCACGTTCGAAGCAGTGGATAGCCTGCGAGTAGCGCTTGTGCGAGAATAGTGAACGCCCGAAGGATGCCCATTCTTCTGGAGTCGAGGAGACGGCTAGATGAGGGACATCGGTGCCGGGGATACAATTATAGATCTGGTCGCGAGACGTCCAGAATATCTGAAGGAAAATGTTATCAGATCGAGTTACACCAACACGCTGCTCTAAACGTACACGCATCGGCGCTGATTTATCAGATTTGTCGACGATCCATATGTTCTTCCTTGCTCGAGTGATCCCCACATAAAGAAGTGTGAGCTGATAAAAGTAAGCCAGTGTTCGTTTCGAGGATCGGTATTCCTACCTCGCTACAAACCCCAGCGTATCGCGCCTCGTCTCGTTCAAAGTTCGGTGCATATCTTTGACCGTCTACCCCATTGAGAACTATGCGCCATCGCGACAGATCTACAGCAGAATCCTCGAAAAAGTTGTACAGCAGCACCTGACCGAGGTCAGACATCCATCAGATAGCAAACTTAACTTTCTCACATCATTGAATTCCAGGCCTTTGCTCTCATAAAGCGTCCTGCATACATATGTCAACATGAAAACGCAGAGCAAAGGTGGTCTCAACACGACTCACATAATTAGTCCAATTTGACCAACTTGGTCTCGTAACTTCTGACGTGCCGCATCGTCACGCACGAGAATGCCTAGATACCTTGTCAGCATATGAATGAAACCTCCAACCAATTACTTTACATTGCTGGGCTCCGAACTCAACGTGACTACCGCTAGAAGAATCCTGAGTAGGAAAGGAGGGATATCGTCCAGGCCTACTTACCTCGCCCCAAAGAAGAACTGTTCATAACGAAGGGCATCTTCGTCCCAACCAGTAAAAAATACAGGCTTGAGCCCACCAGCCACCTCTTTTTCTTGCCGAAAACCGTCGATTGTGTTGGGCCAAAATTTTGTGATCAGTTCGATCACAGAATTCGCGCAGTTGACAATGCCACCATGTGATCTGTAGTTGATGGTCAATTGAAACATCGTAGGTTGATGAAGACATGCTCCAATGGAATTGATCGAGGTATTTTGCTGCTGCTCTAAGATATCAATTCAGGCCCGATTTAAGTCACTGTCGGCTAACCTCCATGCGGTAGAGAAACGCTTTCAGATAATTGAACCTGAAGGAACTTCCTGCAGAGATTGTCTGTGCGGTGTCACCAGCCCAGAACAAACCGTCCGGATTCCCGCATAATTGCCTCAAAACTACAACAGGAAGTTCTCAAGTGATTTCTGTCAACGAGGGATGGTGTAACTACTTACAGAGTGCATCGATTAGAAGGATGTCTTGTACGTCGTCGACATACCTAGTGTAGGTGGTCAGGTGCAAGATGCATTGGTGGGGATAACACGTACATATAATCAATATGTTGGCCAGGGAACCTCTGGCTCCGCAAGACCTTGAGTATCGCATGTGCACTGTTTGGGCATATATCGTGACATTGCGTGGGTAAGAAAAAGGAATTGGTCGTACCGGTCTGCAACATCATGATGACATCGCTGCCTCTTAATTTTCGTATAATACTCGAAGATGTCATACAGAATTTCCCTTTGATTTGCAAAATTTGGGTAAGAACGATGAGGAAGACGGATGTAGTTTGGGCGATCGAGAACTCCTTGACAATTCAGTGCGTCTTCGGAGCCTTTGACAATCCCTGTATGTATATTCAAGAATTGTCAGTGTCGATGTAATACAAATAGTACTTACCCATGAATTCGCTGAAAACCAACCACGGATCTGATGGGGTAGTGTCAGTACTTCATTGTCATCACAAGAGAACATGATGCTACTAAGATTCTTAGTGAGATTCTGTGGAAAATGAGGCCAGTATTGATTTGCGAATACGTCATAGGTGACGAAACGGTCTTGCGCCTCGGCATCGTCCACATTGAAGAAAAGTCCTGCGCTATCTTTCTTGTCCAAGATATCTGTTGCAGTCATTTTTGCCAGCTACATAAACGATTAGCTTGGGAGCTGTCCGGAGGACGGATTGGGACATACTCGATCAAAAGTTACAAAAAGCGGAAAATGCTTGTCCTCAAGTTCGCTGTATTTCATGGGTATACTCATCTGTGATTCGGGCAGGTCATCGAGATCAACAAGGCCCTCCTGAACACTTCGTGCCTTCATTTTTGCAAGTTCCTCCAGGGTATAGCCTGCTAACGCCAGAGATTCGACAAGCTTCGTGAAATACGCTTCCGCTCTCGTAGCGAGCACTCTGGATTTGGTGACGAAGATTTGGCGTGGCTTCGGCATGGCGACGGCGCTCATTTCCCAAGCTCGCTGAATGCCGAGAATCTTGAACAACATCGTCGTGGTTTTTCTAGTTGAGTGTGATAAATAAGTTACTCATATCAGGGGCAGGACGCTTGCCCTGTGCCGCTGCGACCCAAGACGTAATATGATGTGGTGCACTCGACAATCTTTTGTTCTTGAGGTCTAAACCAACATCGATCAATAAATGTGTCTCATTGGGGGTATAACTCACGTGAGCTTAAAGACGTGCTCTACGTCTCGGTTTGCGATGAGACCTTATGCAAAGGTGAGAATAAGTGGCGAGTCAACTACATGATCGCTCACCATGCAGGAGCGCCTAAAACAAAAGGTTATCAAGTCAATATTCGCGTGCATATAATCTGTATTTATAAGCTTACTTGCGAGAATGTGACATATTTCTCCAAACTAGACAATCGTTAGATGGAAACCAATTTGTATAAGGATGGCAGAAATTCATACACAAGCAAAGGGTGAAACTATGTCATGGGTCAATGACCGCACAAACGACATCTGAAAATACTCAACCATGTCTTTATCACTAAGATCAAGTGGGCTTTCTGAGCATTCTGGCTCAGGTTCAGCTGGTGGGAATGACGCAGGCAGAATCGCGCTGTCTTTAGGCAGGACTGGTAAGGTGCACCTGTGCAAGCAACGATTCAACGATATGCATCAAGAGCCGAAAAAATGACCACACCTTTTACGATATTCTCTGCCCTTGCGTGCGAGATGGCTACCCAAGGCATCCCATATTCTGCCAAACTGTACATGCGTATAAATGCCATATACCTGGATTACTGGAGTTCATATGAGTGCTAATGGCGGAAAAGATGTAATTGCTCTTGATAGCTTACCTTGTCTTTCGGACTGTCAAGACTCCAATCTCAGTATCATGCTCGATGTCAATGTAAGAACGGCTTACGTTTCCATCCTGGTCAGGGATACAATCAATCTGGTACTGAGAGAAAAGGTCGGTCATTTCCTGCTCTAAGCGACGTATGTGAAATTACGCTTACTACTAATCGTAAGTCCTTTGTCACCTTGGCGTCGTAGATGGCTATGCCTGCATCCGGCCTGTTAATTCGCTTGTGATTATCATCTGAGAAATCGCCATTCGATAGTTGTCTGTGGCAACGATGAGATCATTGCAACGAAATTCATCAGAAGACAAACTTGATCTTCTTGAAGATGATCTTGAATGTCTTCTGATCTGCTCTACGGAATTCACGCAAATGTTTGTAGACCTCCGTAGATATGAGGATTCGCCACTCTCCGAACCCGTTCGCGTTGTCGAAGTAAAGCGCAGCATTCATAGACTGCACCATTTGGCACGCACTAGGTCGGTTTGTTGGGCTCTCGACATCCTCGGCTGACGAAACTTCAGGCGCAACATCTTTAGCAGACTTCCCAACATTTTGGAGGAGTAAGGCTTTGATATCGCCTGCCAATTCCGTCCTCCGCAGAAGCGAGAGGTGGAACTTACGGGGAGCTGTCAGGGGAAACATCAAAAGTAGCGAATATACTCACCAAGAGAGCATTTTTCAGCTCTGCAAGAATGTGAGTAGACAATGATGCGGCAGCCTCGCTCGTGAGAGGCACAACCACACCAAGCCTCACGAAGAGCGATGTGTCGATGGCCGTATGACCTTTCAGACGATTGCGCTTGTACATTTTCTGAGGCACCTTCTTCTTGACAAATCCATTATCAGACTCTGCACCAGCAATCCCCATAGTGTTCAGCGCGTAAAGTACAGGTAAAGCGCCCTCGATGAAGCCACTGTGACGATCGATGTCCTTTGAGATATCCACCGTTAGAGATTCAGCTGGAAAAGCTAAAAAGTACATAGACAGAGTGTCTAGCATTCTTCTCGCAATGGATGCCGGATATTCTTGAGATTTCGTTGGAAAGTTTGTCATGATCTGTGAGATTATTGCCTCGCGGCGATCCCAAACTGTTGCAGAGTCAGATCTAGTCAGAGAGCTGATGACGCTCGAAGAAAGTTTGTGAGATACCAGAAATAATATATGCAAAGATATGAGGTGATGACAACATATGTTCAACCGTGGCTTGTAATGCGGTTGCTCCTGAAGTTGAAATTGCGTCCAGATGATACAAGGCGGCTCTGAGGCCTGCCTCATTGACTATTCGATCTTTGGAGAGTAAGTCCAACATGGTCTGTTGAACAAGAGGCCGCGAGCTTGTGATGATGAAGTGGTTATATGAAAGGTTGGGGGACTTGGACTTGAGCTATGTCAATGATGGTACAAAGCGCTTGAAGGAAGTCCGAGTGCGAGTCTGCAACGAGGTTGTCCTTATATCGTCGAGCCGGCGCTCTGTCGGAATTTCCAAACAGGTTGAGGCGCAAATAGTACACCCAAAATCGACACCTGCAGGCAACCAAAGTCGTACATAGCGGTGAACTTGGACCCTCAAATGATCCCAGATTGTGACAAGAATACGACCCTTACGTAGGTATGGAACAGTGTAAGATGTGCATTCCGGAATAAATCGGCTCTCTAATTTATGTAATAGGTCACCTTACCGCTCGTCTGATCAAAATGGTGTGTCTAGACTGATCTTTCTTGGAAATAAGGCCACAAGTATCAAGCTGGACCTACAGCGCGTGTTGTAATAGAAGCAGACGAGAGGCACAATATGATAATTTTTCGGAAATCTCCTACATACATTTTATATCATACAAGCAAACATCATCCGTTCACCTTCGAATGTTTACTACAATGAATTACAATAAGAGATGTTTACGTGTCCTTCTCTTGCAAATACCGTTCGAATGCCTGTACTCTTGACATGATATCTTATTGGTATTTTTCCCACGCCATAGGGTATTGGGCATTGTGTTGACAATACCAAGTACAGCTGAGCGCTGAGCGCTGATCACGGTGATCTCGAATTGATGATCCAGCACAGGCTTGCGAAGTTCATGAAACCTACGGCGGCCTATCCGCGAGTATGGAAGGTTGTTATCAGTATGATGGACTTCAGGTAAGTTCAGGTTATCTGCGTGTCTCCCAGACATGTCCTGACCTCATGTTTACTACTACTATTAACTATCATGTAAATCTTGACAGAACACATCGCAGAATGTCATAACCCGTTCCTTCCCATGGTCGTAGGCTAGAGGTAAATCGATACACACACCATGGTAGGGTAGACTGACAGAATGTTCATTAACTGGTGATTATTGAGGCCCACGCCCAGGATACGATTATACGAAGATGAAGACTCGGGTGCAGCACCGCCGCAGTTGAAGATTTTGAGCTTACCCAAAGTGAACGATCACAGTGGGGCAGATGCCATCAAGATCGAGTGGAGCTCCGTGCAGCAACCTCCGTTTTGGTCGAAACGACTCAGACTATAAGGTATGCAGATCTCATTTTCATGAACGAAGTCACTCTCTTTCAGATTTACAATGTACCGTACGCGCAGATACTGTTTTCGCATTCTAAGACGGAGGATAATATCGATAATCCACACATTGATGTATCTATCATGATGCAGAAGCCAGGACGGGCCAATCATAATTGTATCATTTCACTATTTCACATCTTCACGGTGCAGCCTCGTATCATGACAAATATTCCTTTGTCCTTATCATTCTCATGCACAACCGTACCAAATGCCTTCAACCACTCGTTATGATACTTAAAAGAACGGACGAACACTAACCAATGGGCTAATGCTTTTCACGCCTCAACGGCTCTTCGCATCCATGGCACTCATTTCTTACCATCAAGTGGTATCATCAACTCCGCTGAATATATATACCCAATGGGTATAACTGTCGATTGCAGCAAGTCGAAAACAAATGTCAAGTCTGCGGAAGTACGGATCATCAAGCATTCGCCAAGTCAGTGAAGCAGGAAAGAGGTTGCGACGGATGTTGTCTTCACCCATGTAAGTAATGGACCCCAACACATGTTCTCACCTGAGTTACTTTGCCTTAGAGAGCTTTCTTGCGGGAATTCATTTTCCCTGCATATGCGGTACAACAAACGTTCTGGAACTAAGCACGAAGATATTACTTTCGATCCAGATGACGTGATCCGCGTGTATGATTCAAGATAAGGTGAAACAAGAATCAATGCATTGCTTCCTCGCCTTGATCGCTCGTGGGTTCCAACAAGGTTCATAACAACATCAGCATCGTGGTCGAACTTTTCAGGACTACAACAACAGAAGTAAGGATCCATGCCTGGCACCAAGCCCGTCTAAATTCTAGCAGGCTTAGCAGTCTATCTCTTCCGATCAAAGCTTTGAGCCTACCACTTCAAAATATTTCAGAAATGTCTTTGGTGAGTCATAAAGTGCCGTTCTTGAGGCTGATACTCCCAAGGTTCTGAATTCTAGTGATAGGAAAGGTATCTAGCTTTTTCCGATGTCAGGCCAGTGTTGACAACGCGTTTTTAATAGTCTGGCCTCGGCAAGTCATCACTGACCAGTTACGCATTTGGAGTGGGAAAAGAGGTGGGCCACACACGACGCTTCAACGAGTTCAGCTACTCATGCTGTCCATAGATCTTTACCCACAATAAGCTAGTAGGCGAGGCCAACATCAACAAGGAGCTCATCTCACCTCGGAACGAAAGGTTTGTTCTCCACGATAGCAAAGTACCTGCCTGCAACGCAATATAGTCCAGCGTTCAACTTTGTACGTTCTCCTTGCCCTGCATCTGTCACTACTGCTAACTTCCTACTGCCGTACTCTAGTGTTGTCTCCAGTTCTTGAAACCATTTCTATCTACGACTAACAACATTTGTCTTGAACATTCGCTCTTGACACGGTGTCCTCTCTTCATTATCGCTCGGTGTATCTTCTATATGATTTGAAGACTATCTTTATAGCGCGCTAGACGTAGCTATGATATCTCATGTGGCATGGATGTATCCTTCTATGTAGTTGTTGAATTCTATCAAGCACATATTGTGTTGTGTAATCATATGGCTGTTACAGACGCGGATATCAAAAGGTACACAGAAGGAAGGAGGGGACCATCGAGCACAGTGAACGGTGGTGCTCGGGTGGCGCACGTAATCATGTTGGAAATGGTACTAATGACAATGAACCAGTGAGTTGTTGGCGATTATGCAGAAGTACTAGTACAGAAATTATAACTACAGTCAACAGCGACGACAACAATAATGAATGAACGAAAGATCTCGAGGGTATGTAACAACATTCCCGGACGTGAAGGTATTCCAAACCCAAATATTCTAGGAGGCTCCCGCGACACACGGCGCAGTAGCCGTTCTCAAAGATCTAAGATGCCTGTTGACTTCAAGCCAACAACCATTTATGTTGTGAACTCGGTTGACACAAGGGAGCCAGGCGGAAATGATGCGGGCGATAGTTTCAGCATCTGTTAGAGACTCGGATAAGTCCAAATCCAATGATTCTAGAGAGGTATGCTGTATTGGCTCGGCATCAGGATCAATGTCGATAGTTGCAATCTTGATTGGAAGTTGTAGTGTATGCAATTGTGGACATAGACCGAGCGCTGTGAGTAATCCACGGAGGGAGACTTCGGAAGAAAGATCAGATTCTTCGATTTCCAGAGTGCGGATGTGCGGCCAACTAGACATAGCTTGCAAGAGCATGTCATTGTCCAGGTAGATGCAGAAATCACAAAACATGAGCTTCAGGGTTCGGAGCTGTGTAAAGCAAAGGAAATGCGGAATTGGTGTCAAAGACTCGTCGTATTGGCTTCCCGCGAATTTGCGTTCAAGAGAACAGATGGAGATTTCTTCTAAAGTCCCACACGCTTTGCAGTGGGACAGAGCATGAAAGAGTTGCTCGGCTTCTTCTGAGGACAGACGGTTGGCTTCAAACTCGAACTCTTTCAGCGAGGGAAATTGTGAGTGTTGCATGACTGTGATGATGTCTCCGGCATCGTAGAGCTCTTGAAAGGAAAGGCGTGTGATGTTAAGGAATGATAAATTCACGATATCTTGTTTTGGCAGCGAAGGATGGTCATTATACCCTTGATCAATTTCCAATTTGCGAAGAGTAGGGAGGTGGGAGAGGTGTTTCCATGCTGCCAAGTCGAGCATTGGACAAGAAAGAGTTACAATCCGTGTGCACCAACGAATCCTATCGGATAGTAGGGACAGTTCATCTGCTGCCAGTGTGCTGCCATCACATAGAGGAGTGTAGATGCGTAAATGCTCCAGGGCAATGCAACGTGTCACAAAAGATTGCAGACTCTCGTCGACACTCAATAGCTGACATCGGTGCAGCATGCGAGACAGAAAGAAGTTCAAATATGTGGTGGAAAGACTTAATGACTTCAGCCTCGGAAATACGCATGCCTCAGCGGGGATGGCAGAGAGAAGGTGCGGATGTTTAGTTTGTATGTTCAATGTGCGTATACGGGAGGAGTGACGCAGAAATTGACGGGCCTCATGGGCAGATAGTGGCTCGATGCCTTTCGCCCTGGGCTTGACCCGCTATTATGTAGACGCTCGGTGAGCCGAAAAGAAACGAACAAAGCGTAATGAAGTCGTGCACTGACCTTTGTACCCCTACGATATATCAGTGGATGTAACCTTGTTACACAGCCTAGCAGTGGTTCTAACCCATGGATTTCGGTCCACAGCAAATCCATTGCAGGCTCATGGAAGATTTTGCATGTCCTTGCAAGCGCTGCAAGCGATTTCTGAGTCGACGTTGTTTCAGTAGATGGTATTGTGTTCACATAGGCGAATATCTCCAGGAGGACTTCGGGAACAAGTAAAGCCTGATGCATCAGTAGGGTCAGGGCTCAAAACTAGGTTTGATGTAAATCCAAAAACATGTTGCCTACTACAGTGCTATGTATGCCAAGCCAACCTGCAAATTTGAATCACGTGATGCTTCTGTTGATCATGACGAACGTTCATTTGCACACACCACCATATACATAGCACCACAGGCTGAGCCCTGTGTTTTGCTTCACCCGCTCCCTTTCACGTTCTTAGTCTGCTACCTGAGACTCGGAAATGGACCAAGGGCCAACCAGAGACAGAAACGTCGAGCTCGACGCACCTGGATGTAGACGTCAGTGATAATGGGTGAGTAGACGTAGTTTGTTGCAGAGCTCCTGACTCATGTGACAAAATTTCCAACGAATCTAGAAGCCTGGTTGACCTTACCGTCAAGGTTGTCAAGGAATTGACTCATGCTACTGCTCAGGGCAGTTTCGGTGACGTTTGGAAATGCATATTCTCAGAAAAAGATATTCGTGTGGAGGTTGGTATAAGTTCTGTAGTAAATTCTGACAGCTGATGATAAGTTTCAAGGTGGCAGTTAAATGTATAAGGATCGAAATTCCGGATGGCCGTTTCAAGGATATCGTCAGGAAGGTGTGTCAATATGATGTAGAACTATGAAAATATTTGCAGAGGTTGACGGTCGACTTCTGCAAGTGGAAACCGCTGCGCTATGATAACGTTCTTCCCTTGTGCGGGATCACGTACGTATTTGGTCCAGTACCAGCTATCGTATCTCCATCGATGCCCAGCGGATCCTTAAGCACATATCTTGATGAATACTATGACGGTCTCTCTGGGGCCCACAAATTCGGTTTGGTGAGTCTTTCCCAACGATATAGCTACACCACAACTCATGGGGGTCGTAACAGCTTGCTAAAGTAGCTGCTGGTCTTCAATATCGTATGCTGTCATTGTGTTGTGTGATCACATGGCCGTTACAGACGCGGATATCAAAAGGATTGAACCAGAGGGTTGTTGTTGGCCATGATGCAGAAGTACTAATACAGCAGTTATCAACAGCGACAGCGATAACGAAAGAACGAAAGAAGTCGAAGGTCTGTAACAACATTCCCGGACGTGAAGATATTCCAAACTCAAATATTCTAGGAGGCTCTCACGACATACGGCGCAGCAGCCGCTCTCAAAGATCCAAGACGCATGTTGACTTCATCCCAACTCAAACCCGGGCCGTATATGTGGTCGACACAAGGGAGCCAGGCGGAAATGATGCGAGCGAGAGTTTCAGCATCTGCTATTTGAGACTCGGGTGTATTCAAAAGTTGTAGTGTTCGTAGGGAGGTATGTTGTATTGGCTCAGCATCAGGATCAACGTCGATAGTTAGAATATTGATTGAAACTCGTAGTGTATGCAATTGTGGACATAGACCGAGCGCTGTGAATAATCCATGGAGGGTGACTTTGGAAGAAAGAGCAGAGTCGTTGATTTCCAGAGTGCGGATGTGCGGCCAACTAGACATAGCTTGCAAGAGCATGTCATTGTCTAGGTAGATGCAGGAATAACGAAACATGAGCTGCAAGGTTCGGAGCTGTGTAAAGCAAAGGAAATGCGGAATTGGTGTCAAAGGCTCGTCGTTGTAGGGTCTCGCGAATTTGTCATCAAAAGAACAAATGGTGATTTTTTGTAGAGTCCGATACGCTTTGCAGTGGGATAGAGCATGAAAGAGTTGCTCGGCCTCTTCTAAAGAGAGATGGCTGGCTTCAAACTCGAACTCTTTCAGCGAGGGAAACTGCGAGTGTTGCATGACTGTGATGATGTCTGTGACACCGTACAGCCGTCGAAAGGAAAGAGTTGTGATGTTAAGGAAGGGTGATAAATTCACGATATCTTGTTTTGACAGCGAAGGACGACTATCATACCCTTGATCAACTTCCAAATTGAGAAGAGTAGGGAGGCAGGAAAGGTGCTTCCATGTTGCCCAGTCGAGCATTGGACAAGCAAGAGTGACAAGCCGCGTGCACCAACGAATCCTATCGGATAGCAGGGACAGCTGACTTATGTTGTCACAATAGAGTGTGTCAGTGGAGATGTACAAATGCTCCAAAGTAATACAATGTGTCACAAAGGATTGCAGACCCTCGTCGACGGTCAATAGACAACATTGGTGCAGCGTCTGAGGCAGAAAGAGGTTCAAATATGCGATGGAAAGACTTAACGACCTCAGCCTCGGAAACACGCATGCCTCGGCGGGAACGACAGAGATAAGTTGAGGATGGGTCCTTTTTATGTTCAATGTGCGTATACGGGAGGAGTGACGCAAAAATTGACGGGCCTCATGAGCAGATAATGGCTCGACACCTTTCGCCCAGGGCTCGTCCCACTATTATGTAGACGCTTCAAGGTGAGCCGAAAAGAAATGAACAAAGCGTAATGAGGTCGTGCACTGACCCTTGTACCCCTACGATATATCAGTGGATGTAACCTTGTTACACAGCCTAGCAGTGGTTCTAGCCCATGGATTTCAGTCCACAACAAATCCATCGCAGGCTCGTGGAAGATTTTGCATGTCCTTGCAAGCGCTGCAAGTGATTTCTGGGTCGATGTTGTTTGAGTAGATGGTATTGTATTCACATAGGCGAATATCTCTAGGAGGACTTCGGGAACAAGTAAAGCCTGATGCATCACTGGAGTACGGTAGAGTCAGGACTCAAAACTAGGTTTCATGTCAATGGTGTTGTTACGTGCTATTTTACAAAATTCCAGTCGATTTGGGCCAAGTATGGATACGGTTTATTGCCAAATATGCAGTACTCCTTCCTTCTCTTTTTCCCTTCTTTTCCCAATGGACTAAATAGGAGTTTGCTACAATCATATCAGAGAACGGTGAAAAAGAATCTCTGTGTTGTACTCAACCTCGTGATCAAAAACATCTCGCAAGTCCGACTCGTGAACTAAATGCATCCCTATGGCAGACGCTGTTTTTGAGCGCTCACCATATCCGTATGTTTTTAAACTCTCAAAGTAGCTGGCTCTGACACGTTTCACAATGATTAATATGCCATGTACGACCTGGTGGTCATTCCAGGTCTACAAATCCGCAACTTATCTAGACACCTTTGACTCCCCGAACATATCTCCCTCACTCATATTTTGCTCTATTCCAGTGCGCGTTTCTCTCTGGGTGGTATGCACCTTCTGGAAGGCCGCTTTGCTGCTGGTCTTTGCTCACCACTCACGAGTGCGGTCACCAAGAGTTCAAATTAATCAACACTGTTGGCTGGGTGCGTACCTCTTCCGCGATACATCTGGTCAGAGGCCTTACCTTGACAACGACAACCGTAAGTGTTGTTCCGTGTTTAAAAGAGGGTAGCTTGATGTTTTGTTTGCAGATCTCAACCCTGATGCTGCGTTGCAATGTAACACCCCCCAAGTATATGGCTGTCTTATTCAGTGCCGCACAGGACACGGCTTCATTGAAGAATACTAACGGCCAATCCATCATTGCATCTAGCTGAAACCTTTGATTGAAAGCGGCCTGGTTTAGACCTGTAGTCAGCTTGTAGTTAGCTTGTAGTTCCGAAGACTCGCACATACACAAGCATCAGAGAATTCATAGCTACTTTCAATGATATTCGAAGGCTTGGATTTTTCAGAGGAGTTGTAACTGATCTGAACTTTCTGAAGGACAATCTCTATGGGATACAAAGGACATGTAGGTCATCTAAGACTGATGACTCGGAGTTACTGGTCTAAAGAGGGAACAGTCGTCAGTAGCATTTAAAAATGGTGAAAGCATTTCATGTTGGATCCAGCTCCTTCACAATGGCATGACTTGCGCGCAAATCGGCTTGACTAGGCTCGTACTATGTACTGAAGCAGAAGACGAAGCTGCAAACGATTCTAATTTGAAATAACACGAGAAAACATACCAAGAACGAGATAACTGGAGCACACCGTATCCGAGTCAGGGTCATTTCTACAAACAACAGAATGAGAGATCACAGATCAACAAATTGTGAGTATGTACCAGACGACAGGAATACGGCGCAGAACTACATATCTATATGAATGAAAACCGTCCTCTGCTCGAGCGGCACTTTCGTCTTCACAGCGTGAGCCCAGGCTACCTTCGTACAGTCCATGGCACTACCATTCTTCGAACCCTTGAACACGTTCTCGTAAAAGGCTTTGACGATGAGTTTTGCGATTGCGTCATCGACTACCCAGACAGTGCCTGAACCACCAGAACGGTAGACCTGCTGCGAGATCAATGCCCTCGTCAGGGGTCCGCTTATCGCCGTGACACCTGAGCGCTTCGTTCACGCAGCCATGAAACTGTGTGAACGAACAACTGCCCTATTTTCTAACTCTCAACTGACACCCACTGATTTCTGGTCATTGCGCACTGGGCTCGTCGAAAAGTGCTTCCCGTGAGTGATACCCTAAGTTCTTCTGCCGGTTAAATCTGACGACTCGCTTACCAGAGACTTCAGATACCCACGAAGATTTGTTGCATCTTATCGAATTTAGCAGGACCTGAACTCGTCGTCCAAAGCTGTTTTGTGGGGGAGGATTGGATATTGAATTTTGTAAGTAGACGATCTCGTGAGTAATGGTTTTTGTGGTTCTGACGGGCATTAAATTGGAAGGAGAAGGCTTCTGGACTCACCAACAATCATTGCCATTGTCAGATAACTGGTCTGATTCCAAGATCCCTGCAGACTTCTCTCGCATACACGATCTACCTTATTCGATCACTTAAGCGCCGACCATGTCGTCATCCACCAGTAAGACGGCAGTGGTCACGCCACGCTACACGATGCAGGGTCATGCAAGACAAGTCAACAGTGCTGTGCACTTGCCTGACGGACGACACATCATCACATGTTCGTCGGACGGCTCACTCCGACTATGGGACCTAGAGAGCGGCGCACAGATAGGCGAGGACTGGCGAGACGAAGATAATGTAGTATTTCGATCCATGGCATTGTCTCCAAACGGCAAGACGATTGCAAGCGGAGACTATGACGGGAAAGTGAGGTTGTGGGATGTCGAGACGAGAAAGGTCATTGCCAGATGGACAGGGCACGCCCATACTGTGCAATCATTGTGCTGGAGTGCAGATGATAAACAAGTGGCAAGTGGATCCTGGGATGGGACGGCAAGAATCTGGGATGTCAGGAAGGGCAAAACTGTTCTGAAAATCGAAACCAGTCACGCCCGGGTGAATGCGGTGATGTACTCGCCTGACTCATCAAAACTCGCTACGGGGGGGTATGAGGAGAACGCTGTGAAAATCTGGGATACGAAAACAGGAAAGCGTCTCAAAACACTCAAACACTCAAACACAGTTCGCAGCTTGGCATGGACGTCCTTGGATGGAAATGGCAAACTTATCTCCGATTCATATGATCTGATTAGGATATACGACACCGCCACTTGGGAGCAAATCGCTATCCTTGAAGGTCACACAAAGCATGTCACCGCCATCTCCTTGTCTCGGAACAACCGCCTCCTTGCAAGTGCATCTTATGATAAAACAGCACGTCTGTGGAATCTTGACACCAACCTCCCAGTTGGACCACCCCTCCAGCATGAAAACGTTTTATGGTCCGTAGCTCTTTCCCCTGATGCAAAGGTGCTAGTCACTGCCGAGGACACAACCGCGTACACTTGGGACGTTTACGCCATCCTCAAAGAAGTTGGCCTTGAGGACCTACTTTCCATTGGTTCCAATATTGTCACGGTAAGTGTCAACATATCCATATCACCCGCTCTCTCTGACAATGTCTGTTGTTAGGCACCAGAGGAGAGACGGGAACAGGAACAGACGGCACCTCGAGATGATGATTCAGGAATACAGCACACACCCCGCTCTTCGCTCAGTGACAGGTCATTTTTGGAAGTACGTGCCGAGTTTGCAATCTTTCTCATTCATTATAACAGTAATATTCTAGCGTGATGCTACGCGATGTCCTGGCCAATTTGACGATATAGATGAACTTCCGCCAATGTTTTTTCATGGCATGGAGGCCCCTCAGTCCTCCCCAATGGATGGTTTACGCCCACATTCCTCTGCAAATGCATTCCTCGCTCGCCTTCTCTCGCTCCTCCGGCGCTTTCGACCCGACAATGATAGAACGACTGAACTTCCGCAACCTTCACGGCCTTTGGCGGTTCATCTACGCACACTCCTCGCTCGCCTGTCCTCACTCATTCACCGCTTTTCACCTGAAAGTGATGCACCAAATGAACTTCAGCAACCCTCCACGTCTTCCCGGTTAGATCCACATGTGCTCCTGGCTCGCCTTTCCTCACTTTTCCCCCGATCTCGACTCAATACCGACGAAGAAGCTGAACATCATCCAACATTGCCTACGAGTTCACATCCAGATGGAAGGCTCATTGGCTGGCTGTCCTCATTCTTCCGTTCTCAACCCCACACCAACGAAGAAGCCGAACATCATCCCACAGTGGCTTCAAGTTCACGTCCAGATGCGAGGCTCATCAACCGGCTGTCCTCACTCTTCCGCTCTCAAGCCCACGCCAACGGAGAAGCCGAACATCATCCCACAATGGTTTCGAGTTCACGTTCAGATGCGAGGCTCGTTAGCAGGTTGTCTTCACTCTTCCGCTCTCAACCCCACACCAACGAAAGAATAGAACTTTCGCAACGCCCAAGTCATCCTCGCGTTGTCAACGTGGCTGCAGTGCGGGACAAGCAGGTATGGCTCTTCTTGGCCCATTTACAATCGCTGTGGTTTAGTGATCTCTGTTCAGGCTTTGTTTGTTGCTCGGGGGCCAAATTTTAAGAAAGCAAAACGAGCATATGAGCAACGAACAGAATCGCACGCCCAACCTCAGGCATCGTCATCGGGCACTCAGCCTGCCCATGTTTCAACATTAGCGACATCTCCTGTTCCAGGTACTAACACTACCACAACAGGTACATCAACCCCACAGTCACCACCCATCCCATGGTGGAGTCAACTCGTGTTATTTCTCTGCTGTACATCTCCACCACATGCCAATAGTCATTGACACAATTAGCGTTGCAGCATTTGAACAACTACTTCACCTTTGCTTCTAGTGATTCCGTACTTATGTCTCTTTCCTTATGTCTTTGCAGTACAGCATCAATCTTGTTTCCTCGTCATGAGCCTAGTGCAACGCACCAGACAGGATAATACTAATTTAATGAGAGAAGGACAGTGTACTTCTGGTCGATAGCTGTCAAAACGAGTACGTCTGACAACAGTGCCCAAGTGCGATGCACCGAAAACCTTGCGGTCTCAAGAATTCCCGATGGGTATCGTATATTCTGCCTCGCTGAGCCGGGCCAAAAGAGCAGACTGGGTGGGTTATTGGTAGTGGTAAGTATGAATACCTAAGATGATCGCGATGAAAACACATTTATTGTCTATGTTCGTTCTCGCGCACACAGGCATCGATTTACGGAAACACGCACTGTATAATATGATATATGATATACCGACGAAATGGCAGTCTCGACTCTCCACAACCTAAATGAAATCAACACTCGTTCATATCCTCGACATTGAGAGCAGGTCTTTCTTTCTCCTTTCCTGGGGGGACCCTCTTCGCGACAATGCCCTTATAGGCCATTTGAAAGTCGGATTGCATATCTTTCATGTTGCCGGGAACCCCCTGCATGAATTCATCAACCTCTAAAACACCAGATTTCAGTGCGTCGATGCCACGGTCACGATGAGCGGGTGAGGAAGGTTCCAGTTGTTTGCGTAATTTCAATCCCTTCCTGAGGAGCGCTCTGGAAACAAGACGTGTTAGCTATCGTATGTCAATGAGTAAGGGAGGACGGACGCTAGTTCGCTTCTCTGCTTGCCCAACTCCTCAAGCTTTTCATGAGACTCCTTGTTGAGAAGGCCTTTTGTCTTCGCTTTGGCTGCGCGAGTCAGAGCAATGCCTCGTTCCAAGCACACCAGGAGGTGAGGCAATGGTCCAAGGAAAAGGAAGGTATAATAACCCGAATGCCATTCAGAGGACTGCGTCTCCTTCAGGCATGTCATGAACATCGCATCAATTTCGGCGTTAACTGCACGACTCGAGCGGCGTCTGACGTAACGACGGTATGCTTTCTGAATTTTGCAACCCGCCTCTTCCTCCTCCACCGATGGTCCGTTGGTGCGTAGCGACTCGTCAAGATCAGGTGCGAGCAACGTCGCCGCCTCATCCAAAGTCTCCGACGCATCACGGGTCTCGGTATTAGCATTCGCCGTGACATCCTCTTCCCCTTCAAGTTCTTCTTCTTCGAAATCTTGAGGTTGTGGTTCCGTTATCTCTTTCTCATCATGCTGCATGACCTCTGGTTGATCCTTGCAATGACCTACGCCAGGTACGAAGGCAGGGGCCTCTACTCTCAGGGTAGACTGTGCGATCACTGCGTACGATGAAAGGAGATGAGGGATCTCCATGGTCTTCTCGTATACGAGCCGTCGACCTATACTAGTATAGACTCGGGTATGCTGGTCCATTTTGTGGACGAGATGCACCAGGTTTCCCACTCCTGTATTATCGTCGAAAGCCAGGAGAGCTCGCAGGTAAGCGTCTGAGAGTGGCGGCCGTCCTGGCAAGGGTGTCATGTACCTGACCACATCGTCCACAAGGTTCCGATAGTTCGCTAAACGCCAATTCGAAGGAGGGTTGTTTTTGTGCAGAGAAAAAATGATGTTGTATATTTTGACTCCGATGGAGGGTTTCCTGATGTTATGAGCAACTAATGAATACAACTTAGCAGCGAATGGGTTTTTGAAAAGAGACAATAAACGTACTAAGGCAGAGAACCCTGCAGCTGTAATACATGTGATCAGTAAGTACATCGCTGACGAACAGATGCTAAACCGAACTTACATCCGGGAAATGAAAACGTTGCGGAGAATGGGCGTAACTCTCGTATGGTTCAGCCAGAGGAAATCTGCCTCATTGAAGTCCCGGATCTTCGAAAAGTTGAGAGACTCACCCATGCCGGCTTCTACGCGCAATGCTTCGACCAGCCTCGCTATTTCATCCAGAAGCTTGCCCATCAAAAACAGCTTAGTTTCTTTCTCCGTGGTGAATTTGTGGGGAAACAGTAGCCAGCTACATGGAAGGACAGCGTTATGAAGGGGAAACCTGTTAAAGCCGGGGTCCATTCGGTACTTGATTACAAAAGCGCCGCAGACGTCCTCGATACAGTCGCACAACACCGAGAGGTTGACACACACACGATTGTCGAGAACATGCCTGAATTGCACTCAGTTCATTGCACGTAGAGACAAGAATAACGCTTACAGAAGATACAGAATCCCCGATGAGATGCTACTGTAGATAGCTCCTTGGTAAGAATTAAGCAGGTCACGAACCATATAGCGATTGTCCTCCTTGCGAAAGAGTTCTAAGGGTCCGGAGATCGCACACTTTGATCGAGAGATGTAGACATGTGCGTCGTTCCTGTCAAAAGCAAAACTTAGACTGGTTATTCCCATCAACGCCGTCAAAAATCCGGCCTGGGTATGAAATGGGTCGAGCGAGTAGAAGGATTCGCGGATCCAGAGCTTCACCACTTTCATGCCCTCTAGACGAAGAGGCATCAGGTTTATGTCAAGGTCCGCGGGGGAACCTTGAACGAAGAAGGGTGGATTGATAGCCTCGTAAAGATGCTTGAGCCAGTGCCTCATGCTGATAGAGTGATCAGTATAAGTACTCGATCATAAGCTACCTCCAGGCGTACGTTTTGCGTCGCTCAATGTATGGGTGAGCGGAATACATGAATTGCAAGATCAGGATCTGCCAGATGTGGATGGCAACACGCTTGTTGTAATACTGGCGATCCAATTTCGATGCTGCAACATGCTCTTGGGGACAGTTATCTCTTCGACATACGGATATCAAGAATTGCAGGCATTGCGAGAAGACGGGAGATTTGCAGCACATATCATCGATCTCCGATATTTTGTCTTTCAAGATCGTTCGAATGGATTGTTGTAGCAGCTGGGTGACGACTCTACGAGAAGCTGTGTACCCGGATGAATGTTCCGATACCCAAGTGATCCCCTGGCGGTCTTCCATTAAGTTGTTGTGGAGGAACGTTCCATCTGGTATGAGAAACTCATCACCGGACAACCGCACGATGGAGAATAGTCTCTGAATACCGCTATGCTCCATAGGGTCAGGGAAGGTCAAAATAAGATAGAGCAATCGCGCATAGGCGTGAAATTGTTGAAGGAACCGTTGCATTTCATCGACCGTGAAAGCTCGAATATCTGTGGTTCGAGAGAATATATGGTCCAGGCAAAGAAGAGCTGCTGGCTTGTTATCCTGTTTATCGAAGTTAAGCGCAAGATTTCTCAACGGCTCATGATTTCCGCGCAAGATGGTTTGAAACATCGATATCTGGATGTCGATCAGTCCAGCAGTTACTTTGAGACTGCTAATACGTACTAGATCACGCGTGGCCAGCTTTAGTTTGTTCGTCTCTAGCTGATCAGCAAGAACGATGAAATGCTGCATTGGCTCATCAGCAACGGATTTTGCAGTGATTCTAAAGGAGCATTGGCGCCAGAAGTATTCCAATATAGCATCGGCCGCACGGCTAGTAGAATCGTCCTCGCTGTCGTCCTTGATGAATGCCCGAACAGCTTCCAAGGGCCTGTTCTCTGACAAGTGAAGCTCTGCGGCCTTATAGTACATCGAGTGAGATTCAAGCAGTGAGGCACGAGCATAATCGAGATCATAGTCCTCCAGAAATTCGAGTTGCTCTTCAAATGTCGAGAAGAGGGACAAGGGAACCCTGCGCAATTGCTATTAAATAAAGACATCGTGAAGAGTCTAAGACTTACTGAGCGTTGTTCCTGCTGCAGTAAAATAGTCTGCACACAGTCCGTAACTCCGTCTTGGTCTCTTCAGGTATATCCGTACCATAGTCATCAAGAACATGGAGGGTCTTGTCAAACCGTCCAGCCTTGCGATATCTCTTCGCTGCTTGCTCGAACTCTTGAGCATTGAGATAGGCCTTAGCAGCTTTAAGATCATCTCCTGCTCGAACGTAGCAATCCGCCGAGTTACGATAATATTGGAGCTTCTGATTTCCTGTCGCGGTCGCCCCACAATCAGTAAAGGCATCGGCAGCCACGTTAAAAGCTCTTTTTTGGTCGCTGAGTGAGGCCACTCCGACACTAGAACGTGCGACATCTCGCAGTTGATATGCTTCACAAACCTTCACCTCATGACGAAGGTTAGCACGTTCGAAGCAGTGAACAGCCTGCGAGTAGCGCTTGTGCGAGAATAGTGAACGCCCGAAGGATGCCCATTCTTCTGGAGTCGAGGAGACGGCTAGATGAGGGACATCGGTGCCGGGGGTACAATTCTTGATCTGGTCGCGAGACGTCCAAAATTTCTGAAGGAAAATAGTGATCAGATCAAGTTATGCTAACATGCTGCCCTCAACGTACACGCATAGGCTCTGATCTATCAGATTTGTCAATGATCCATATGTTCTTCCTTGCTCGAGTGATTCCCACATAAAGAAGTTTGAGCTAATAAAAGTAAGCCGAAGTTCATTTCAAAGATCGGTGTGCCTACCTCGCTACAAACCCCAGCGTGTCGCGCCTCGTCAAAGTTCGGTGCATATCCTTGACCGTCTACCCCACTGAGAACTATGCGCCATCGCAACAGATCTACAGCAGAATCCTCGAAAAAGTTGTATAGCAGCACCTGACCGAAGTCAGACATCCATCAGATAGCAAACTTAGCTTTCTCACATCATTGAATTCCAGGCCTTTGCTCTCATAAAGCGTCCTGCATACATATGTCAACATGAAAACACAGAGCAAAGGTAGTCTTAATACGACTCACATAATTAGTCCAATTTGACCAACTTGGTCTCGTAACTTCTGACGCGCCGCATCGTCACGCACGAGAATGCCTAGATACCTTGTCAGTGTATGAATGAAACCTCCAGCCAATTACTTTACATTGCCCGGCTCCGAACTCAATGTGGCTACCGCTGGAAGAATTCTCAGGAGGACAAGAGGGGTATAGTCCAGGTTTGCTTACCTCTCCCCAAACAAGAACTGTTCATAACGAACGGTGTCTTTATCCCAACCAGTGAAAAAGACAGGCTTCAGCCCGTCAACCACCCCCTTTTCTGGCTGAAGATTATCGATTGTGTTGGGCCAGAACTTTGTGATGAGTTCGATCACAGAACTTGCGCAGTTGACGATTCCACCGTGCGATCTGTAGTTGATCGCCAATTGAAACATCGCAGGCTGACGAAGACCTGCTCCAGCGGAATTGACCGAAATATTTTGCTGCTGCTTCAAGGTATCAATTCAGGCCCGAGCTAAGTCGCTGTCTGCTGACCTCAACACGATAGAGAAACGCTTTCAGATCATTAAACCTGAAGGAACTCCCTGCAGAGATTGTCTGTGCGGTGTCCCCAGCCCAGAACAAACCATCTGGATTCTTGCATAATTGCCTCAAAACTATAACAGAAAGCTCAAGGGATTATGTCAACAAGGGATGGAGTGACCACTTACAGAGTGCGTCGATCAGAAGGTTGTCTTGTGCTTCGTCGACATACCTAGTGCAGGTAGTCAGGGGTGAGATGCATTGGTGGTGATAACACATACAGATAATCGATCTGTTGACCAGGGAACTTCTTGCTCCGGAAGACCTTGAGTATCGCATGCGTGCTGTTTGGGAATATATCGTGACATTACTTGGGTGAGAAGGGGAATAGGTCGTACCGGTCTGCAACATCATGATGACGTCGTTGCCTCTTCATTTTCGTATAATACTCGAACATGTCGTACAGAATTTCCCTCTGATTCGCAAAATTTGGGTTAGAACGATGAGAAAGAAGGAGGTAGGCTGGGCGATCGAGAATTCCTTCAGGACAGGTTAGTGCGTGTTCGGAGCCTTTGATGATCCCTGTGTGTATATTTAGTAATTGTCAGTGTCCATGCAATACAAATAGTACTCACCCATGAATTCGCTAAAAACCAACCACGAATCTGATGGGGTAGTGTCAGTACTCTATTGTCATCATAAGAGAAAAGGACGCTACTAAGGTTCTTGCTGAGATTCTGTGGAAAATGAGGCCAGTATTGATTTGCGAATACGTCATAGGTGACGAAACAGTCATGCGCGTCAGCATTGTCAACATTGAAGAAAGCTCCTGCGCTATCTGTCTTGTCCAAGATATCTGCCGCGATCATTTTCGCCAACTACATAAACGATTAGCTCGGAAGCTGTCCAGACGACGGATTGGGACGCACTCGATCGAAAGTTAGAAAAAGAGGAAAGTGCTTATCCTCAAGTCCGCTGTATCTCATCGGTACATTCATCTGTGATTCGGGCAGGTCGTCGAGATCAACAAGGCCCTCCTGGACACTTCGTGCCTTCATTTTTGCAAGTTCCTCCAGGGTATAGCCTGCCAATGCCAGAGATTCGAGAAGCTTCGTGAAATACTCTTCCACTTTCGTAGCGAGCACTCTGGATTTGGTGACGAAGATTTGGCGTGGCTTCGGCATGTCGACTGCACTCATCTCCCAAGCTCGCTGAATACCGAGAATTTTGAACAGCATCGTCGTGGTTTTTCTAGTTGAGTGTGATAAATAAGCTATGTATATTAGGGGCAGGACACTTACCCCGTGCCGCTGCGACCCAAGACGTAACATGACGTGATACACTCGACAATCTTTTGCTCTTGAGGTCTGAACAAACATTGATCAGTGAATGCGTCACATTGGGGCAGAACTCACGTGAGCATAAAGACGTGCTGTACGTCTTGGTTTGCGATAAGACCTTTTGGAAAGATAAGAGGAGGTGGCGAGCCAACTACATGATCACTCACTATGTAGGAACGCCTAAAACAAGAGGTTACCGAGTCAATATCTGCGTGCCTATGAATCGTATCTATAAGCTTACTTGCGAGAATGTGACATATTTCTCCAAACTAGAAAATGGTTAGATGAAAACCAATTTGAATAAGGATGGCAAAAATTCATACACGAGTAAAGAGTGAAGCTGTGCCATGGATCAATGCCTGTACAAATGACAACTGAAAGTACTCAACTCGGTCCATGTCCTTATCACTAAGATTGAGTGGACTTCCTGAGCATTCTGGCTCGGGTTCAGCTGATGGGAATGATGCAGGCAGAATCGCGCTGTCTTTAGAAAGGACAGGTCTATTCCGAAAGATACACCTGTGCAAGCAACTATTCACTGAATTGCATCAAGACCCGAAAAAGGTCCTCACCTTCTACGATATTCTCTGCCCTTGCGTGCGAGATGGTTACCCAAGGCATCCCATACTTTGCCAAGTTGTGCATGCGTATAAATGCCGTATACCTTGATTACTGGAGTTCATATGAGTGCTAATAAGACGGATGTAATTGCTCTTGACAGTTCACCTTGTCTTTCGGACTGTCAAGACTCCAGTCTCAATATCATGCTCGATGTTGATGTAAAAGCGACGTACCTTTCCATCCTGGTCAGGGACACAATCAATCTGGTACTGTGAGAAAAGGTCAGTCGTCTCCTGCTCCGATCGATGTATGTGAAATTACACTTACTACTAATCGTAAGTCCTTTGTCATCTTGGCATCGTAGATGGGTATGCCTGCATCTGGTCCGTTAAGTCGCTTGTGATTATCATCTGAAAAATAACCATTCGATAGTTGTCTGTGATTACGATGAGATCATGACAGCAAATTTCATCTGAAGACAGACTTGATCTTCCCGACGATGATCTTGAATGTCTTCTTTTCTGATTTACGTAACTCACGCAAATTTTTGTAGGCTTCCGTAGATATGAGGATTCGCCACTCTCCGAACCCGTCCGCGTTCTCAAAGTAAAGCGCAGCCTTCATAGGCTGCACCATTTGGTACACTTTGGGTCGGGTTGTTGGGCTCTCGACATCCTCGGTTGACGAAACTTCAGGCGCAACATCTTTGGCAAACTCGCCCACGTTTGGGAGGAGTAAGGCTTTAATGTCGCCTGCTAATTCCGTCCTCCGCAGAAGCGAGAGGTAGAACTTACGGAGAGCTGTCAGGGGAAACGTCAAAAAGTAGAGAATATACTCACCGAGAGTGTATTTTTCAGCTTCGTAAGAATGTGAGTAGACAATGATGCGGCAGCCTCGCTCGTGAGAGGCACAACAACATCAAGCCTCAGGAAGAGAGATGCGTCGATAGACGTATGAGCTTTCGGGCGATTACGCTTGCGCATGTTCTGAGGGACTTTCTTCTTGACGAATCCATCATCAGATTCGTCGAAGAGATCGTTCTCGTCTTCAAACGACCCTGCACCAGAAAATTCCATAGTGTTCAACGCGCAAAGTACAGGTGAAGCGTCCTCGATGAAGCCTCTGTGGCGGCTGATGTCCCTAGAGATATCCATCGCTAGAGGCTCAGCTGGAAAAGCTAGAAAGTACATAGACAGATTGTCTAGCATCGTTCTCGCAACGGATGTTGGATATTCTTGAGATTTCCTTGGAAAGTCTTTTATGATCTGTGAGATCATTGCCTCACGGCGATCCCAAACTGTTGACAGAGTCAGAGCTGATGACGCTCGAAGGAAGTTCGTGAGATACCAGAAATGATATATGCAAAAACATGGGGTGATGACGACATATGTTTGACCGTAGCTTGTAATGCGGTTGCTCCTGGACTTGAAATTGTGTCCAGATGGCGCAAAGCGGTTCTGAGGCCTGCCTCGTTGACTATTCGATCTTTGGAGAGTAAGTCCAACATGGTCTGTTGAACAAGAGAAGCTTGTGGTGATAAAGTGGTTATATGAAAGGCTGGGGAACTTAGACTTGAGCTATGTCAATGGTACAAAGAGCTTGGAGGAAGTCCGAGTGCGAGTCTGCAACGAGGTTGTCCTTATATCGTCGAGCCGGCGCTTTGTCTGAATTTCCAAAGAGGTTGAGGCGCAAACAGTACACCCAGAATCAACACCTGCAAGCAACCTGAAGTTGTACATAGCGGTGAACTTGGACCCTCAAATGATCCCAGATTGTGACAAGAATACGACCTTACGTAGGTGTGGAACAGTATAAGATGTGCATTCCGGAATAAATCAGCTCTCTATCTTTATGTAACAGGTCACCTTACACTCGTCTGATCAAAATGGTGCGTCTAGACTGATCTTTCGGCCACAAATATCAAGCTGGACCTACAGCGCGTGTTGTAATAGAAGCAGACGAGAGGCACAATATGATAATTTTTCGGAAATCTCCTACATACATTTTATATCATACAAGCAAATATCATCCGTTGACCTTCGAATGTTTACTACAATGAATTACAATAAGATATGTCTGCGCGTACATACTGTTGTCCTTCTCTTGCAAATACCGTTCGAATGCAAGGCTTGTACTCTTGAGACACGATATCTTATTGGGATTTTTCCCACGCCATAGGGTATTGGGCATCGTGTTGACAATACCAAGTACAGCTGAGCGCTGATCACGGTGATCTCGAATTGATGATCCAGCACAGGCTTGCGAAGTTCATGAAACGCACGGCAGCCAATCCGCGAGTGTGGAAGGTCGTTATCAGTATGATGCACTTCAGGTAAGTTCAGACCATCTGTATGTCTCCCAGACATGTCCTGACCTCGTGTTTACTAGTACTACTATCAACCATCGTGTAAACCTTGACAGAACACATTGCAAAATGTCGTGATCTGTTCCTTGTCATGTCGTCGCCGTGGTCGTCGGTTAAGCAGACTGACAGGATGTTCATCAACTGGTGGTTATTGAGGCGCAGGTACGATTCTACGAAGATGAAGACTTGAGTGCAGCACCGCAGCTGGAGATTTGGAGCATATCAAAAGTGAACGCTCACAGTGGGGCAGATGCCATCAAGATCGACTGGAGCTCCGTGTAGCAACCTCCGCTTTGGTCGAAACGACTCAGACTATAAGGTATGCAGATCTCATTTTCATGAACGAAGTTACTCTCTTTAAAATTTGCAATGTACCATACGCACAGATACTGTTTTCGCATAATAAGACGGACGATAATGCACACATTGATGTATCTATGCAGAAGCCAGGACGAGCCAATCATAATTGTATCATTTCACATCTTCACACAAGGTGCAGCATCGCATCATGACAAATATTTTTCTCTTGTTCTTATCATCCTTGTACAGAGCCGTATCATATGTCTTCGACCACTCGCTACGATACTTCAAAGAACGCTGTATACATCGTCGAATTCCTCCCAACGTTTCAAAGGTCCATCGTCTCAGCCGGGAGTCTCATTCTTAATGTCTCTCTGTCTTACTTTCGTCTCGAATCTCGATCTTTCATTCCCCTTCAAACTTGCATTTCGCGCCATGTTCTTCTTGTGGGGTCGCAGCTAAGACTTACATCCTCAAATTCTCACGTCGCGATTTTTGATGTTTCGGGTGAGTAAATTACTCCACCTGTGCCCGGTTTTGATTGTACCAAGTACTGTTTATCCGCTCTTGATATTCCACACTCTTGCCGTCCCATAATTGGATTCGCTCGCATGGCCACTCGTTCATCCAGTACACTAATCGCACCCAATCAGTGTCCCGTCCATTTGGAAATGACCCTCCCCGTCTCCATATCTCGCAACATCACTATCCTATCAGTGCCTCCAATCATAATAGTTTTGTCGTTCAGAGACAAAGTTACGATAGTGAACGCTGATCACAGATCTAGAGTCCCCTCATCCCGCCATTCGTATCCTATCTGTATTGCTCTCCAGGTTCATAGTTCAAGTGACCCATCGCACGAACCTGTGATGATGCGTCGTCCCCCAGGCAGGTGCGCAACACCCTGTACCTTGCCAGGGAGACCTCTCGTCGTCTGACGCGGCTTCACCACTGACATCTGTTGCTTCCTATTGGTCATAGAAGACATGGCCAATGTTTGATGTGTCACAGTCGGTTGTGAACTTTGGCTACTCATTATTGGATTGTGCGTCTCATTTGATCCATGCATCTATGTAGTGACCACAACTGAAATTATGTTCTTGAACAATCCAAGAATGCAGATCAGACTGTATAGGAGGTGATTTGTTGACGAGGTAAAAATATTACAAAACGGTGGAAATATCGCACGAACTATCGATTCTAGCTAGATTGTTTGTGTATTGACATCGGAACCGCCCAATCAATAGATCAAAGGTGGGCGTACGCCGGGTGTTTGATGGTCGTTAGCTGGCATGCGTGTGCGAGAAAGATGGGTAACATCTCTCGTGGCTCTGCTCAGCGAGAGTATCGGACTCGGAAGCTATATATCGGAGGCGGAACTCAACCGAACTTGTAAATTTACAACCACCAAACGTATAAGTTACCTACGGGCACGCGTAATCGCAACGACTAGGTCAACGACTCCATGCACGATGGAAACGCGTTCGGATGAAGCCAGAGTATTGGTTATATACACGGGCGGAACCATCGGAATGCTTGTCAGCTCACGAGGTTACGTTCCAGAGCCTTATTTCCTCACCGATACCCTCCGGAGCCAAAAACGCTTCCATGATCCTTTGCAAGACTCCCTCTTCTCCAACGCTGCATCCGTAGAAGGTTATAGAGAGTGGAGCAATAGCGGAAAGTCTACTCCAGTCAGCACAGATAACGTCACGACTCCGAGTGCATCAAATCAGCCCACCCTTCTCGTCAAGTCCTCCCGCCCGATTGGTAACACGGTTACCCTTTCTCCCTCTATATTTTCGCAGATTCAGAGAGTGAATGAGCAACCAGAATGTCGAAATGTCGCTGATGGTGTCTATGAGACACGTCTGCCAAGTCTTGTGACTCCCCGAAGTGTCGTTCCCGGAAACGGTCATACGAAACGCATACGCTATGCAATTCTTGAGGTCAGTCGTCCGTATATACTCATCGCTCAGCCAATAGCTTAGAAAAACCAGTGGAATCCACTGCTTGATAGTAGCAACATGGAAATGGACGGTGCTCGTCTTTTACACTACTCTTAGGTTTCTCCCGTTCACAATCTTGACTAGGACAGATTGGATCCGCATAGCCGCCGAGATCGAGCTAAACTACACTTCTTTCGATGCATTCGTAGTATTACATGGTACCGATACCATGTCATACACTTCCAGCGCACTTAGCTTCCTGCTCGAGGATCTCGGTAAAACTGTTGTACGTCTTACATCCTCCAATAATATGATCATCCTCATGCGACGAGACTAGATCCTCACCGGAGCTCAAATACCTCTCTCACAACTTCGGAACGACGCTGTCGACAATCTTCTTGGCGCACTGTCTATTGCAGGCAACTATATCATACCAGGTAATTCTAACATTTCTATCATGCAGCTGTAGTTTATTATTCGTTCTAGAATGCAGCTTATATTTCAATCACACCTTGTACCGCGGTAATAGAGTATCAAAGGCCTCTTCCTACGACCTCAATGCCTTTCATAGCCCTAATTTTTCCCCACTTGTGAACGGTACGCGAACACACATATCGTCCTCGCAATGGTCATGAAGTTTTTTTTTCAGTTGGAATAGATATAGTTGTTAACTGGAATGACGTCCTACGTCAGACAAGCCTTCGAAGATTCAGAGCTTACAAAGGAAAGCGTTAATATTTCTACTCCTTCAACAATATTACTGACATCTCCCAAAGAAATGAGTCCTCACGTCGGTAAGCACCTACAGGACACATTTTCATCTAACCTGACACTTTCCAGCAACTCTCCGTCTTTTCCCAGGCATGACAGGCGCCACTGCTCGCGCATTCCTTGCACCGCCGACACGGGGTATTGTTCTAGAGACATTCGGTGCTGGAAATGCTTCCCAACGTCCAGATGTCCTGGCTGCATTCAAGGACGCATGTGATAGAGGCGTCGTCATCGTTGCCATCTCTCAATGTATCAAAGGGTCTGTATCAGGTGATTACGAAACAGGACAAACACTTATTCAAGCCGGTGTCGTTCCCGGCGGGGACATGACTCCCGAGGTGTGTCATCTTTCATATAGTTTTTATTTTAGTTGACTGGCTACCGGAAAGTGTGCTCTTACCAAGCTTAGCTACCTTCTAGCAAAACCCGAACTTACCGCAGCCGAAGTTCGCTCACTTATAAGTCTTCCTTTAAGAGGCGAACTCACGCCACCGGTGCCATCTCTGGCTGCGGCGCCGTCATTAGACGGTGTGAACATAGACCTGTCTGGACTGCTTTCTCAATTTGTTCGTCTCTCTTCATCTGCACCGAAGGCAGATATCCCTCAGATTGTGATCGGAGAAGAAGCGCAGGACGCTGCAGCTCCGTGGAGCCGTACTGCCGCAGAGCGCGCGAGTACAGAAGCTGCGCTCTTACCGTTTCTCGTGCATCTTACTGTTGCGCGGGATGACGTCGAGGGACTTGAGTTCTGCATTACTTCAGCAGCCACAGCCTCGTGTTCCGGTATGACTGAGGGAACGGCAGAAGTTGTCGTACCAGGAGGTATCGTAAATTGTCTGGATGCGGGGAGTGGACGGAGTCCTTTACATGTCGCGGCATTAAACGGGAATATGAGGTGTGTCGAGAAATTACTAGAGAGCGGTGCGTTAGTGCATCTCAGGGACGAATTGGGACACACTGCCTTATATTATGTGAGTGTTGTGTAATTTTACTTCGGGTTTGAGTGGCTGAGGTCAGCAGGCTGCACGTCAGGGTCATGATCTCATTGTCGATACACTTGTGAGCGCAGGTGCGAATCTTGGGGGGATGGAGAACGAGGCGGGTTATGTGGGACTTGCAGTGCAGAATGCGGTCAATGCTGGAGATGACGCAGTGGTAGAAATTTGGAGACGGGCTGGCGCGAAAATTATAGATTAGTTTTTAGTCGAGAAATTTTCTTTACAACCCTGTGACGTTTCGTTCGTTTCGTTAGTGTTATGTACATGGTTTAGTCGTCTGTAGACGTGTTGGAGAAACTGATTCTGATGATACCGCGGCCAGGATTGCATCTGCGGATCCGGTCAAATCTCAGCCCGAAGCTAGCATCCTGTATTGCCGCACTAACACCAAGTACAACGGAGCATAGAGCTCAAAACCCGTTTTGTCCTTCATGTAAGTATGCGTTTCCGATTCCGGCACCTTCGCTGAATGGCACGACACACGTGACCGACGCGTCGTGGGATCATGTTTATTTTTATTTGTCTTTAAGAGGATAGCACGCCTCATGTTCCCCACAAAAGGGTCTTTCACACCTTTCACATTTCCCTTGGACCGGTCAGTCCGCCTTATATAAAGGTCTGAGTTCCGCTGGCGAAAAGATTGGGGCTGACCTTCTCTTCTCTCTATTTCATCTTGCAGCTGGTCATCGCTGGAAGATTCTAACCCCCGCTACCTCTCTCATACTCTCGTCTTTGGACTACTTTCGCACAACGATCAGATCAGATCACTGATTCCCAGGTTGAAATTCGAGCTCGAGTCAAGTTCGAGTCGAGAAATCAGCACCATGGCTTTAACGATGGCAGCACACCCAATACTAGTCAGAGACCACGCATCGCGCGTAACACGGGCGGGATCCGTTTTCGCCGACACAACCAACTTGCATCGTCGGGTCAAGTCTTCACCATCGACGAAGCACCATAACGCTCTTTTCCCATTCTCCTCCCGCCCGTGCAAAGCCCCACCCACCCTTTCCCTTTCAGCGACATGCGCTAGTTCCTCGCAGTCGCGGGCGCTCCTACCATCTCCCCCCGATCTACCGGATGTCCGGAGTGTCATACCCTTCCCTTCCACGTCACCTGCAGATGATGTCGCTAGCGTAATGGATGTTCATATGTTCGATGGGACAACCGATAGCGTTGATTCGCAGTCTTTCCCATCAGCTCTGTTTTCATCCTGTAATGGCACCGCCTCTCCGTGCTCTGCGCAAACCCGTCTTCGGAAACGGCGATCCCAAGCTATTGCCACGCTCTCCCAGCCATCGAGTCCCAGACGGGATAAAAAGGCCAAGTCAAGGGAGAGTAGCAGGTCCGGGAGTACAGACCCGGTTGTGCGCAAGCGGTCGCGTAAGAGTTGGCGCCAAGTCGCGGACTTGATGATCCTCGCTACCGTGCATCGCAGCCTCGTATCAAACTGCAGCACAGATCCGTGGGACTGTTTTCAGGGAGAGGATGTTGCGCCAGTTGATGCACAGACCCTTGAGGGGCAGGATGTGCTCCTGGCACGCAGGATCCAGACACGATTAGTTGAACATGGATGGTCATTGGTAACTGATGGCATCCCAGAGATGCCTCGTGATCATGACGCGTCCATTCCTTCTTCCGCGCAGGCAGAGTCATCCAAATCTATACACTCCGACACAGTCCTGAACCACCACAGTCTATCATCTGACACGCCCTCACCACGATCATCCCCACCGCCCACAAGCGCTCCTATGCCCTCTGTCCTCACTATGCCTCAGCTCGTCGCCACACTGATGATGCGATACAACGACCGATGTAGCACGCGTTCGCGCTCGAGCTGGAAAGCTCGCCGTGCTGATATATCTTCTGGCCATTTCGGCCAGCGGAAGTCGTCCCTGTCTGTGGCTTGTAGCTAGCAGACTTGTGCGTGCTGGCTTCCCTGATGAAGCAGAGATTGAGTCTCCGCTGCCAGGCATTGTATCATGCTGCTGATGCATCATTTATCTTCGCCGCGGCCACGATGCATCGTACCTTTGCCACGATGCTTCACATCATTTGCCACGAGGCGTCATATATTTGCAATGAGGCATTTATCTTTTTTTATGTATTTTCACGACGTTTAACGAGCGCTACGACATGTCATACTGTGTATTGATAGTCATCTAATTCTTCGCGGAACGGTGCTTGAGTACGTGTACCGCTAATTTCTAGTCTTGCTTGCGAGATCTACGTAGTGCTGTGCAACGATATTATGATCGAGATAGAATTTTGGTCCGATTGAACTCTATTTTTATGCTCGTGAGATGGGCGCAGTCGGAGTCGAACGCACGATTTCGGATTTGCAACAGCTTCGGGTAGTGGCGCTCAGTGGCACCTACTATGCACCTAAGTTTTTTGTTCTTTGTCTGCTTTGTCTGGGTTATAGTATAAATGGTTACACTCTCAACAGGTAAGTACTACTACTACTCCATCAACTGAGAACTGATGCATCGGGCTCTACTTGTTTCCGATGTCCTCCTGTACATATTCACATACGTGGAACAGCTACCGCCTACTATCTACACGCCATCCGTCACGGCGTCTCCGGGTCAGAAATGTCTTGCATCGCTTGCAGCAACATGCAATGCCTTCTACGAGCTCGCGATGGACTTGCTGTGGGCTGATATATATGGGGTAAAGCCACTACTAGGCTGTGTAACGAGGCTACATCCACTGGTGTATAGTTCATCGGTGAGTTTAGACTACTTTCATTCTGTTTACTTCTTTTCGTTCATCGGCTGACCGACTCAACCTCTACCAAATAGTGGAAGTGGGGCCCACAGCCAGCAGGTGTCGAACCATTATCTGCTGACGAGGCCCGTCAATTTTTGCGTCACTCCACTCGTGTTCGCTCATTGGTCATAGAACTCTCTGACGATGGCGCTGTTCCGCTCCTCTCAGTCATCCCCGCCGACGTATGCCTCTTCCCGAGGCTACGAGAGTTACGTCTTTCGGGTTCCAAACATTCAGGGCTATTCTTGTCCCACACCCTGCGCGATTGTTATGTATATTACGATCCAGAGGAAGTGATTCCTGGTACTGCTTTGCTGAATTTATCTATGAAAACAAAAATCTTGACAATAACACAGTAGATCAACTGCCCATGCTGTCTGACCGTATCCGTTTGTGCAATCAGCTTGTAACTCTGTCTTGTCCACCCCTCGACTGGGCAACATGGAAGCACCTTTCCACCCTCCCTACCCTGGTGAAAATCGAAGTTCGTAGCAGTCTTGGCGCCCCTCCTTGGCTCGAGGAACAGCATATCTCGCCATTCCTTTACCTCACGTCTCTTTCCTTTACGGACAGCAGTGCTGCATACGCGACCACCGTGCTGCAACACATGAAATTCCCCTCATTGGAAAGTTTCTGGATCAGTGTGGAGATTTTGGCTTCGACAGAGGTTGAACCATTTTTTCGTGCACTATCCCAATGCAAACAGACCCTGGAAACACTCACTATTATCTGGGAGGAATACAACGACCCCCAACGCAGGCCTTTAACAGCGATCCCACATCTCCTTTCCCTTTCCTTCACACAGCTCCGAAGTCTGCGACTCCGTAGTTATGATTCCTGCATCTACCTTGACAACAACGTTCTCTTGGAAGTCATGTCAGCTTGGCCGCACCTCCAAGCTCTGCACATAGAAGAGTGCGCTATCTCTCCTTCCGTTACATTCCACGGACTACTCACCGCAATCCGTCAATGTCCTCAGTTGGAAGCGCTCGGAATGTTAATTGACACTGTGAATATCGACGTCGATCCTGATGCTGAGCCAATACAGCATACCTTCTTGCATACGTTGCGATTGGAAACACCCGAGTCTCCCACAGGAAATGCTGAAGCTATCGCTGGCATCATTTTCGATTGGCTCCCTTGTGTCTACCAAGTTGCCCAGTACATAGGTGAATCGGACTGGGATGAAGTCAATGCACGTCTCGCGTCATTGTTATGTGACTGCTGCACTGCATGATATAGCTTGAATACCCGACTTCAATATGGATGTCCGAGAACATCCTAGGGTGGCTACATTCATTTCGTTTCATGTGCGTTCGTGTCTTTGTTGGTATCATGTTATGTTAGAGCTTGTACAATGTATAGATTATTGCAGGAAAGCGATTCGGACTGGCCGTACAATATATAGACATAGTACATCATGATGCAGGTGGTTTTTACTCGTGAATATTGTTCTCTCATTTCTCGCGCACAATACTATTAATATTGGACCATGACGGAAGTTCCCGAGCGGCTGTTGACGATGTCTTTGCCCACCACCACCGATGTCGTGCTCGTCGACACCATCCAGCTCACGGCAAACATCGGCGCAGATTGCTGGGGACGCTTACGCGAACAGCCCGTCTCTATCACCGTCCACCTGCATCTCAAGCCCTCCTTCCTTGAGATCTCCGGCCAGTCTGACAATGTCCTAGACTCCATCCACTATGGTCATCTCACCAAAGCTGTCTCAGCACTCTCGGCATCTTATACTGATGTTCGTGCACTCGTGCATGAGGTCACTCATAAAGCGTTCGCTCTGGCTGGAGAGAATGTGGACGCCGTGCGCGTCGTCGTCGGCCTTCCGAAACAGATTTTACTTGCGAACGACTTTGAGATTGAGGTGATTACACCGAGGGGCAAAGACAGTTTGCAGCAGGCTGCAAAGGTGTCTGTCAAAGACCTTGTCATGCCCGTGCTGATTGGTGTCAATCCCCCCGAACGCCTCGCAAAGCAGAGGGTGATCACGAACATTACATTCTATGAGAAAGCTGGTATGCACAAAGTGGACTACCCTGCAATCATCAAACAGATATCAGAGGCACGTATTCTCTCTCTTCCATTGATTACTGAAGAGTGACGATACTGAAGATCACCATGACAGGAAATCGAAAACACTGCGTACCTCACGCTCGAGAAATTCGTTCTACACATCGTCCGCAGCTCATGCCTCGCATCTGATGCTATCGAAGCTGTAACAACACGATCACAGAAGCCCAGTGCACTGTCTTTCGCTCACTCTTCTGGTGTCGAGATGACCCGGTACCGCGATGGGTTCCAAGGATTGCAGTAAACCCGTGTAGGAAATGTGTGTAACCGATCTCGGGTAGCATGACCCACATACTCATGCATGTCTGAACAGCCAACATGAAGGCGGGTATTGAAACGTGATCGTTGATTACCTCAACGCTAGTAAGGTATATTATCCCAAACTGTTGCATGCATGATTGATTACATTATTCTTCTGAAGAGCGCAAATTTGAAAAATACAAGACCGGGTTTTTCAAAGCAAACATCACGAACTCTCGCTGATCTTATAGGCGATATGGAAGGAGGAAGCATTGAAACAGCCAGATTCAAGCACCGCAAATCACAACAGCATTTCCGTCGATTAAACATCTACACATACCATTTCTGATGCGCTGAAATGTAGTGAGAGGGCTAGCCAACTTAGAGCTCCTCCGGCGATAGAATAAGGCACTCGAGTTTCCTTTTGCCACCTCCAGGACAGGGCTCACGGAAGAAAGCACCTTTATTTCGTTCGTCCACTGTGACTTGAAAGGATACAAAAAAAAGTGTGATTACTTTTACATGAGACTACAAGCCGTCTTCAACAGAAGTAGTTCCGAGTCCTACGACGGAACAGTGTCTAATAAAAGACACACTATGCCAACTTCATTTGACGCGGATTCGTCTAGAATCCAGACCAAGTCGGAGCATAAATAGTGTAATCGGCACCACTGTGCGATCTCCAAGTCCTTGTCTGTATCGCTTAGCACTCCATCAACGTACTTAGAACTGATGCATCAGGCTCTACTTGTTTCCGAAGTCCTCCTGGACATATTCGCACAAGTAAATCAAATACCATCTACTGGGGAAAAACCATTGTCTTGGACGTCCCTTGCATCGCTTGCAGTGACATGCAAAGCCTTTTACGAACCCGCGATGGATTTGCTGTGGGCTAAAGTAGATCGATTGCAACCATTGCTGGGTTGTGTAAGCAGGCTACATCCACTGATATACCATCGCAGCCGTGTGCGGGTGAGTGCAGACTAGTCCTGACTAACCCCGTTCTCTTCTTTTTTTCGATCATTAGTTGATCGAGCATCTAATAATCAAATATGTAGTGGGACGACACCTGGGCAGAAGGCATCGAGCCATTGACTGCCGATGAGACCCATCAATTTTTGCATCACTCCGCCCGTATTCGTTCATTGTGCCTACCATCTACTGATCGCCTTTTCCCGCTCCTCTCAGTAATCCCCATCGAGCCATGCGTCTTTCCGAGGCTGCAATCGTTAGCTCTTTTCTCTAATGCACGTATGGGCTTATTCCTGCCCCACACCCTACGTCATTGTTCTGTATTTTGCCGTGAATGCAGATCCGCTGAAATCTATTGCAGTTCCTGGTGCTGCTTTGAAGCACTTATCCATCAAAGCTTTCGACAAGAACACAGCAGATCAGCTGTCCATGCTGTCTGACCGCGTCCGTTTGTGCAAGCAGCTTGTAACTCTATCTTGTCCATCCCTCGACTGGGCAGCGTGGAAGCACCTCTCTGACCTCCCTACCTTGGTGGAAGTGAGAATTCGTGAGGTGTGCGGCTATGACGCCCCTCCTTTGCCGTTGGATCGGCACATCGTCGATCTCCCACCATTCCTTAATCTAACGGCTCTTTCCTTCACGGTAGAGAGGGCTGCATACGTGACCACAATCTTGCAGCACTCACAATTCCCCTCGTTGAAAACATTCCGGATCATGATCGAAGTGATGTCTTCGACAGAGGCTGAGCAACTCTTTTGTGCGCTCTCCTGCTGCAAAAAAAACCTAGAACAACTCATCGTCGTCTTGAACGAATATAACGACATCCAACACAACTATTTGAAAGCAATCACACATCTCCTTTGCTTCACACAACTCCGATTTCTTCAGCTCGATTGTCTTGATTCTTGCATCTATCTTGACAATAACCTTCTCTTGGAAGCCATGGCAGCTTGGCCATACATCCATACGCTGAAAATAGAGGACTGCGGTATTCGTCCTTGCGTCACATTCCGCGGACTATTCACCGCAATCCACCAATGTCCACAATTGGAATCACTCCGAGTGTTAATTAACACCGTGAATATTGATATCGATCCTGATGCCAAGCCAACACAACATACCTCCTTACGGACATTGGACTTGGAAACACCCGAGTCTCCCATAGGAAATGCTGAGGTTCTCGCTCGCATCATCCTCAATTGGCTGCCTTGCGTCGACCAAGTTAACAAAGTCGCGGATGATTGGGAGCCTTGGGATGAAGTCAACGCATATCTCACATCTTTGAGAGATGTGCGGCGTGTTATGGGAGATGCCCCGAATACCTGATTTCAATGGGATATGTTCATGTTCGGGATCGTCGTAGAGTTGCTACAATCGTTCGCGCCAATTCGTTCATGTCATTGTTGGTATGGTTGCTTTTACCTATGGTTGCAATTGTTTTATCCCTTCCGACCGTTAAATTGCTTACACGGGTCTTCACGCCTTTCTGTAACACTAAAACATCTTCACGTGTTATGATCTACGTAGTGCAGTGCTATGTAATTCGAAGTGTGATGATATGATGATAGTAGAACTTACTGTATACCTCTACACTAAAAAAACTCTGAGGGTGGATCCTCCGCGGTTCATCAGCGCTGAGCACTGTCTCTCTCTCGTATGGTGCATTCATTCCCAGTGATAAGTATTCGACAAATGGAAAACCATCTGCCTCGATAAAGATCCAGATCTCATTACGTGCACACTTATCACGATAGTCCACCCTGTGAGGAGCCTCTATCCGCGTTGGCCGTCCTGCGGCACCCAAGAGCGGCTGAACTCGAGGAAAAAAACCCTTCAGCAATGAATTGGAGGCAAAGAATGCAAGGACAGAAGAGGTTTGCCAAGACGCTGCGGTTGTCCACCCTCTACGTAGCACAAATATATCGATCGTATATGACTACCTAGGGACACCACAGATAAGATGCTCTCCAGACTATATACGATGGAATTAACCACTTGAAAATCTGCAAAGAATTGTCATGTTTCGCAGCCTGGGTCAAACGCGACTACATACCTTTCCCTCGAAGATGACGAGAAGATCCGTGAATCCGGTTCTTGCTTGTAAGCTTTCCCTATAGGAGAAAAATACATTGATTTTATGTGTTCTAGTGTGAGGACACACGGACGTGGACAATACTTCATCTGACGTGAAACCAATGGGAAGAGAGCAGTCGCGCCGAATACGTGAACTTACAAGTTGATGAAAGTGACGGCCGTCTTTTGCGAGATGCATCGTGCACGGTGGGGCCGATAAGGAGTACGAAGCGTTGTACTCAGCCCTGTGCACATCTCTGATGCTGCGTGGGTTGGTCTAGGAAGTGGAGAGGATTTAATGTGCTTGATGGTTGAGACGATTGAATGAGGAAACCAGTCCAATGGCGTTGAAAGAGAAACTGCGTCAGAGGGCGAGGGACAAAGAACACTACAAGCTACGATCAAATCATTGCGAGAAGCGGGTTAGCAAATATGCAAGGACGACCACTGTGCTGACATTCAAGAAGTCTTCGCTCCTCATCTTGGCTAATCTCTTTGCAAAATAGAACTCCAATCTGAGCTATCAGCGTGGGTGGGCTGACCATCAGCGTCAGGATTTACAGCGCACGAGGACAGCTCAGCACAGCTTCTTCGAACGCATCCAAAAAATACCTTGACCACTCAACTGCAGTTTTGCTCAAGGAGGTAACCGTGAATGCTACATCAACAAAGCTGTTCTATGCGGAAATACGATCCTGACATCAGTAATGCCATCGGAAGATGATATGCCTGGTATCACAGCCATATCTTACTTCCCCAATAACCAGCAAATGATCAGGCCGTGATGACGCTTATAAGAGGATTGTCCATCTGCGAGCTTTGGAAGATTGAGACGAAAACGGAGATTGTGAAATCATTTCGAGACCACTCGCTAGAGGTGAACTGCACACATATCTCTGCGGGCAGCACGCTACTGGTGAGTGGCTGAGGCTCAGATAAATCCTCATTAATCATTATTAACATGGAGGAGCTTAAACGCTGTGGAACTTGTGGTTGGTCAAGTGAAGACTCAAATGGCTTTCCCACGAAATAGCTGTCGCTTGTATTCTCACGGTTCGTACTTGCAATACACCAAGCAGTGAGCGGCCCACATCGATAAACAGCACGTAGGCAATGATTTTAGATTTACATGAAACCTAGTTTTGAGTCCTGATTCTACCCCAGTGATGCATCAGGCTTTACTTGTCCCCGAAGTCCTCCTGGAGATATTCGCCTATGTGAATACAATACCATCTACTGAAACAACATCGACCCAGAAATTGCTTGCAGCGCTTGCAAGGACATGCAAAATCTTCTATGAGCCTGCGATGGATTTGCTGTGGACTGAAATCGATGAGTTAGAACCACTGCTAGGCTGTGTAACAAGGTTACATCCACTGGTATATGGTATGAGGGGTATGACTTGGGTCAGTGCATGACTTATTATGTTTCTTTTCGGCTGACCGAGCGTCTACATAACAGCGGGACAATTTTATTTCCTGGGCGAACGGCGTCGAGCCATTATCTGCCCATGAGGCCCATCAATTTATGTGTCACTCTTCCCGTATACGCACATTGAACATACAATCTGATGATCCCCACCTACTCTTTGTCATTCCCGCCGATGCATGCGTATTTCCGAGGCTGAGGTCGTTAAGTCTTTCTACCACATATTTGGACCTCATTCTGCCTCACACGCTGCACCAATGTCATCTATTGACTGTCAATGAGGGTCTGCAATCTTTTGTGACACGTTGCATTGCTTTGGAGCAATTACGCATTTATCCTGAAATGCACGGTGGTGGCAGTATGGCATATGAGCTATCCCCACTATCCGATAGGATTCGTTGGTGCACGCTGCTTGTAACTCTGTCTTGTCCAATGCTCGACTCGACAACATGGAAGGACCTCTCCTACGTCCCTACCCTTCTCAAATTGGAAATCGATCAAGGGTATCCTTATAATGACCATCCTTCACTGTCAGAACAAGATATCGTGAATTTATCATTCCTTAATATCACGAGCCTTTCCTTTCGACGGCTGGACGATGGCGCAGAGATCATCACAGTCATACAACACTCGCAATTTCCCTCACTGAAAGAGTTCAAGTTTGAAGCCAAGTATCTGATTTCAGGAGAAGCCGAGCGACTCTTTCATGCTTTGTCCCGCTGCAAAGCGTGTCAGACTCTAGAAAAAATCTCCATTTGTTTATTTGATGAATATTTCCATTTCCCGGAATCCCGAGACGTCGAGACATTGACACCAATTCCACATTTCCTCTGCTTCACACAGCTTCGAACCCTGCAGCTCATGTGTTACAATTCCTACATCTACCTGGACAATGACATGCTCTCGCAAGCTATGTCTAGTTGGCCGCACATCCACACTCTGGAAATCAACGACTCTGGCGACCATGTTCCTTCTTCCGAAGTCTCCCTCCGTGGATTATTCACAGCGCTCGGTCTATGTCCACAATTGCATAGACTACGAGTCCCAATCAATCTTGCAACTATAGACATCGATCCTGATGCTGAGCCAATACAACATACCTCCCTACGATCATTGACATTGGAGACATCGGTGTCTGAAATAGCACATGCTGAAACTCTTGCTCGCATCATATCCGCCTGGCTCCCTTGTGTCGACCGAGTTCAAAATATGGATAGGAGTTGGGATGAAGTCAACGAACATCTCAAATCTTTGACAGCGGCTGCTGCGCTGTATGTCGCGGGAGCCTCCTAGAATACTTCACGTCTGGGAATGTTGTTACATACCTTTGCAAAGTTCTTTCGTTCTTTCGTTGTCGTCGCTGTTGACTGTAGTTATAAACTGCTGTAGTACCTCAACATACTTAATCGCCAGCAAGAACTCACCGGTTCACTGATTAGTATGATTTCCAACACAATTATTGGAGATTTGGAGTCAGGCGGGGTCAAATCATCTATCACTGCATTCTTCACCATATAAATACATCTACTCTATCATTTCTAGTCACCCTGTTCCATGGCCTGCCCTGCCGATTGAGTCTCTTGTCTATTGGCCGTGTACTGTGTCTGCTGACATGCTATCGCAGTGCATCCGCCTTCTACCCATCGAGACCACTCACTGGAGGTGAGCTGCATACATATCCATATCTCTGTGGGCAGCACACTACTGGTGAGTGGGTCAGAGAAATCCTCAGTGCGGATATCATTAATATGGAGCTTGGAGCCTTGGACACTGTGGAACTCGTCGTGGTTGGTCCCACCGACTCGGAAGTGTATAGGTGCATGAAGCACTCGAGAAGAAACGGACATGGAGTCAGAACTTGAAAAGATATCCCGACTTCTTTTGTTGATTGAGAGATCCGTTATTTTCCTGATGCCTTTGGAGCTCGGATTACATCGTGACCGCTACCAGAACACACGAATGGGAGATCGAAAAGGTGTTGGATAGAAGAAAGCGAGTATGCGGCCACCAGTATCTTGTTCAATAGCGCAGCTATGGTCTGGAGAATAACGTATGGGTACAAGATCTCGAAGACACTGATGCACTTCAAAACTACAACGCAAGGCTTGAAACGGACACTGTCGAAGAAGATGATGACACAAGACACAAACCTGAGCTCGAAGAAGAACATCAAGACGGACACATGCCAGAGACTGAGAAAGAAGCGATAGAAGATGAAAGCTCTATGGACGCCATGAAAGATTCTTCGGAGAATGGGAGGGTAAGCTGGACGCTTACTAACGTAAGCAGTGGATCACGTGCAACGTCTCCTTTAGCGACGTTCAACGTTAGACTCGGGTCTCCTACCTACTACCACCTGCTCGCTTGTATAACGTTCTAAATAATCATAACTTCGTCCTATTAATCTCGCCAGGTTCGTTTTGGTGTTACTCGCCGATCCCCGGCGAGTTTCCAGTAGGCAATGTTTTTAGATTTACATAAAACCTAGTTTTGAGTCCTGACTCTACCCCAGTGATGCATCAGGCTTTACTTGTTCCCGAAGTCCTCCTGGAGATCTTCACCTATGTGCACACAAGGCCATCTACTACTCGGAAACTACCACAAATATACGCTCATGTGAACAGAAAACCATTTATCCAAATAACATCGACACTTGCAGCGCTTGCAAGGACGTGCAAAATCTTCCACGAGCCTGCGATGGATTTGCTGTGGAGTGAAATCCATGGGTTAGCACCACTGCTAGGCTGTGTAACTAGGTTACATCCACTGATATATTGTAAGGGTATGACTTGGGTCAGTGCACGACTTCATTACACTTTGTTCATTTCTTTTCGGCTGACCAAGCGTCTACATGACAGCTGGACGAGCTTCCTTCTTGGGTGGAAGGCATCGAGCCATTATCTGCCCATGAGGCCCGTCAATTTCTGCGTCACTCCTCCCGTATACGCACATTGAACATACAAACGACCCATCACCACTTTCTTTCTGTCATTCCCGCCGAGCCTTGCGTATTTCCGAGGCTGAGGTCATTAAGTCTTACCACCACATTTTTGAATCTCTTTCTGCCACAGACGCTGCACCAATATCATCTATTTAGTGTCGACGAGGGTCTGCAATCTTTTGTGACACGTTGCATTGCTTTGGAGCATTTGGACATCCACACTGACCGACAAGGCTATCATAACAGCGCAAGTCAGCTGTCCGATAGAATTCGTTGGTGCAGGCGGCTTGTAACCCTGTCTTGTCCAATGCTCGACTGGGAAGCATTGAAGCACCTCTCCTACCTCCCTACCCTTCTTAAATTGGAAATTTTTCAAGTGTATGATGACCCTCTGCTGTCAAACCGAGATATCGTGACTTTGTCATTCCTTAACGTCACGAGCCTTTCCCTTTCCTTTCGACCGCTGGACATGGACGGTGTAGACACCATCACAGTCATACAACACTCGCAATTTCCCTCACTGAAAGAGTTCGAGTTTGAAGCCGACTATCTGACTTTTGAAGAGGCCGAGCGACTCTTTCATGCACTGTCCCACTGCCAAGCGGATCAAACTCTAGAAAAAATCAACATTTATTTATGTGATGAAAATCTGCGGGAACCCCAAGACAAGGAGTCTTTGACACCCATTCCCCATTTCCTTTGCTTCACACAGCTTCGAACCCTGCAGCTCATATTTCACGATTCCCACATCTCCCTAGACAATGACATGATCTTACAAGCTATGTCTAGTTGGCCGCACATCCGCACTCTGGAAATCAGAGACTCTGGTGTTCCTTCTTCCGAAGTCTCCCTCCGTGGATTATTCACAGCACTCGGTCTATGTCCACAATTGCATACACTACAAGTTCCAATCAATATTGCAATTATAGACATCGATCCTGATGCTGAGCCAATACAACATACCTCCCTACGATCATTGACATTGCAGACATCGGCGGAGTTTGAGATAGCAGATGCTGAAACTCTCGCTCTCGCTCGCATCATTTCCGCCTGGCTCCCTTGTGTCGACCGAGTTCAAAGCATGTATGGGATTTTGAATGAAGTCAACGAGCATCTCTCAAATCTTTGACAGCGGCTACTGCGCTGTATGTTGCGGGAGCCTCCTAGAATACTTCACGTCTGGATGTCACCGTTTACTGTAGTTATAAACTGCTGTAGCACCTAACATACTTAATTGCCAGCAAGAGAGCTTACCGGTTCACTGATTAGTATGATTTCCAACATATTTATCGGAGTCAGGTGGGGGGTCAAATCATCTTCTGGCTGCTTTCTTCATCATATATACACATCTGTTCTATCATTTCTAGTCACCCTCATGTTCCGTTGTCTGCCCTTCCGATTGAGTCTCTTGTCTATTGCCTGTGTGCTGTATCTGCTGACATGCTATCGCAGTGCATCTGCCTTCTACCTTTCGGAACCACTCGCTAGAGGTGAGCTGCATACATATCTCTGCGGGAAGCACGCTACTGGTGAGTGAATCAGAGAAATCCTCAGTGCATATATCATTAATATGGAGCTTGGACGCTGTGAAACTCGTCGTGGTTAACTTGGTCCCACGAAGAGACTCAAATGATAGCTTTCCCACGAACTTAACAGCTGTCGCTTGTGTTCTCGTGGTTCATCCTAATAACCTAATAGTTGTACAGTACTATTTATTGCAATGCTAAAGCACCCTTGCGCTCTATTACCCACAATATCACAGCAGGTCATCACTTTGGAACCCCGCATGGCTATCCAAATCGTTCGCCTCTCATCACCATTCCTGTCACGCTTGTTCCGTCAAATTTTGTGGCGTCTCAGTTGTCGTCACGCTTCCGAGTCCGTATCTATTCCTCTGTTTGAGTTTCAGGCATCCGGATAATATTGTTGCTACCGTATGCTTCTGCGCTAGTTGACTTCTCGCGCTCGTAATGAGGCGGTCTCCTCCCTTGCACTGAATTTCCGGTTTGGTTCAGAACGTTACACTGAACAACAGACCATCATGATTGCAACCTAGTGTTGTTGGCAGAACTCAGGAGTTTTGCCAACTAGTCTGTTAAAACTGGTTGTACCTGGCCCACGGCAGAACTCATACGAAGGAAGGGTGGCAGAACCCAACAGAACCTGGCAGAACTCCGATATAATTTACATTTGACGACACAATTTGAATTCAATAAAACATCATAACCGACGTCCCTCAAGTAAATGTTGGAGGATGCCCCCTCGTAATCACTTATCAACACAATTTCGAATGCCCGGAACGAGTTGAGAACAGCTCGAATCGCTACAAGTACTTACTACTGGAAATGCAAACATTGCGGCGACACCGATAACTGTTACCCACCAGGTACTCAAGTCTAGGGTCGTGACAACAACATACCCGACCGTCTTCCTCTTGAGCATGGATGAATCAAACTTCCGAAAGCCATCCACGGACCACACCGGACCTGTCACCGCTGGACACATGCAAAGTTTCTAGCTGCATTGGAAATCTGGGTCGCTCCTAGGTAATATTTAAAGCACTACCTACGTACGCATGTTGAAAGAACATATGACCCCTCACCGGCACCACTTACCGATTAGCAGCTGTGACTTTTATAAACAGATGCAGTTTGAACCGGTTGCTCCTTTAACCACATCTTGATTCATGGCCTTTTCTCGCTATCTTATCATCCTGACGCTCATTGCAGGGTGCCTCCTCCCTGCTGGTGTCCAAGCTCTCTGGCCCATTCCAACTACTCTCGAAACCGGGCTGACCACCCTCAAAATCTCCCCCGCATTCTATTTTGACGTGGAGATTGAAGGCGCACCATCGGATTTACGTGACGCGGTTGCACAATCACAGTACTATCTCGAAAACGACAAACTTGGACGTCTGGTCGTAGGTCGTGGCGCGAATGACACTACCGCATTTGCCACCGCGATGACGCTTTCAAAGTTAACGCTGTCTCTCGCGAGTGGCTCTGCTGTAGAGCCAATTTCTTCAGAAGCTGTCAAGCCCCTGGGAACCCGTAGCGAGGAGTACGCACTGAACATTCCAGCAGATGGCTCGGCTGCTACTTTGACAGCGAACTCGACGTTGGGTCTGTACAGAGGACTCACCACTTTCAATCAGCTTTTCTACTACTATGGAGGAGTGACTTACACTTTACTCGCCCCGATTTCTATCAAGGACACTCCTGCATATGTGAGCGGTTATTACATACACTTTAACGTCAGATGCATGAACCCATATACTTAGCCTTTCCGGGGATTAGGACTGGATACCTCGAGACACTACTATCCGGTCAGCGACATTCAGCGAACTTTGGACGCGATGAGCTGGGTGAAGGCAAGTGCTTTCCTGGTGTCTCGTCTTATCGTCCCTCACAAGCTATACAGATCAACACTTTCCACTGGCATATCACGGATAGTCAGAGTTTTCCACTCGAAGTCGCACAGTATCCCGAGCTCGCCATCAATGGTGCATACTCTCCTCAAGAAGTTTACACAGCAAGCGATGTCCAATACATCGTGAAGTATGCTGCTGCAGTATGTGTTTCACTTTACCATGGTCTGTTGTTCGTTGATGGTGTTCTCGCAGAGAGGTATTGATGTTATGATGGTTAGTACTCATCAGTCGATTTTGCAGATAACTTCTCAACATTCTACTAGGAAATCGATACACCCGGCCACACCGCTATCATGGCAGCCGCTTACCCCGAATATGTTGCATGCTTTGAGGCTAGTCCATGGGCATTCTTTTCCGGCGAGCCCCCTGCTGGCCAGCTTCGTTTTGCACTCCCAGAGGTCACGAACTTCACTGCTTCCTTGCTCACCAACATCGCAAAGACCCTCCCTTCACACTATTTCAGCACCGGCGGCGATGAAATTAACAAGAACTGTTACGCCGATGACTACCCCACGCAGCAGCAGCTTAAGAGGACCGGCATGACGCTGAACGGTGCTCTTGGCACGTTCACACAGACCACCCACGGTGCACTGATTTCCCAGGGAAAGACGCCTGTCGTATGGCAAGGTATGCGCTGCCCTTTCTTTGAATGACAGTATCAAATGAAGACGGTCGGTCATTCAGAAATGGCCCTCGACTGGAATATTACACTCTCAAACGAGACTATTGTGATGTAAATATGATAATATCATGATCTGACTCCGCTAATTCATCTGTATTGAAAGGGTTTGGATTTCGTCTGCAGATGCTGCAGCAGTGGTAGAAAAGGGTTTCAGGATCATCCAAGCACCATCAGATTACTTCTACCTGGTCAGTTGACGAGTTTTGTCTATAGAACACAATGTCCTTATTATCCTAGTCTTCTGGTGCCGGTGAGTGGCTGGGAGACAACCCAACTGGGTTAGTCTTCATATTGTCGAATGTACTCGATCTGAACTGGCGTCCCTTGGGAGAACAGAAGTAGCGGCCCCTTCAGGACCTGGTCCGAGGTAAGTATGAATGTCGAAGATGGCCACGCATCTCACAATGTTTCATTAGGCATATACCTTTGATCCGTTGGCAAACTTGACTGAGGCGCAGTACGAACTTGTTCTGGGAGGTAAACACGATCTAGTCTCGAGGTTAAATCGATCGTTCTGAGCAATCTGCAGGCGAGCAAATTCTATGGAGTGAACAGTCTGGTCCCCAAAATGTTGACCCGATCGTGTGGCCACGCGCTGCATCATCAGCAGAAATTTTCTGGAGTGGGAAGCAGCCCACTGGCGCTGCACTCAACGTCACCGAGGCACTTCCTCGTTTGCACGTAAGTGGTGTTTCTTGATGTGGAAGTACTTAATGATATATGAACGATACAGGACGTCAGGTACAGGATGGTACAGCGCGGTATCAATGCCATCCCACTCCAGCCGCAGTGGTGTGCACTTCAACCGGACGCATGCGATATGTATGCTTGATTCAGAACTAGTTGATCCGAACTCTAGGTCTTTTCACAATTGGTTTTGGTGTTATGTAGTCTGCGCCGTTGCTTATAAGACGCGTACAGCTCTCGTTCACCCAAAACCTGACTGATATCAAGAAATTTATGCCTCTGCTCTGCGAGAAGTCATGCGGCGAAATGGAAGTTGACGAGATGGATGCACTAAACATGATTCATGAAGTATCCACATTTTTGGCAATAAATTGTATCCGTACTATGTCGTTATCTTGACTGGACTTCTGAGAATAGCAGGTAACAACACCCATCAATAAATATTGGTCCCACGCAGGCAATGTTAGATATACATAAAACCTAGTTGTGAGTCCTGACTCTACCGTACCCCAGTGATGCATCAGGCTTTACTTGTTCCCGAAGTCCTCCTGGAGATATTCGCCTATGTGAACACAATACCACCTGCCCACACAACAGAGATATTCGGTCATGTGCACATAATACCATGGGCCTCTGCTCAAGTAACATCGACGCTTGCAGCGCTTGCCAGGACATGCAAAATCTTCCACGAGCCTGCTATGGATTTGCTGTGGACCGAAATCCATGGGTTAGAACCACTGCTAGGCTGTGTAGCGAGGTTACATCCACTGATATATCGTAGGGGTACGAGTCATCCGACTTGGGTCAGTGCACGACTTCATTACACTTTGTTCGTTTCTTTTCGGCTGACCGAGCGTCTACATAACAGCAGGACGAGTTTTTTTCAAGTTCCTGGGCGGAAGGCGTCGAGCCATTATCTGCCAATGAAACTCGTCAATTTCTGCGTCACTCCTCCCGTATACGCACATTGAACATAAAAAGGACCCATCCCCGACTTTTCTATGTCATTCCCGTCAATGTATACGTATTTCCGAGGCTGAGGTCATTAATTCTTTCCACCCCATTTTTGAATCTCTTTCTGTCTCACACGCTGCACCGACGTCATCCATTGAGCATCGACGAGGGTCCGCAATCTTTTGTGACGCGTTGCATTGCTTTGGAGCATTTATACATCCACAATGACGGTTGTTATGACAGCGCAAGTCGACTGTCCCTGCTATCCAATAGGATTCGTCGGTGCACGCGGCTTGTAACCCTGTCTTGTCCAATGCTCAACTGGGAAACATGGAAGCACCTCTCCTGCCTCCCTACTCTTCTCGAATTGGAAATCGATCAAGGGTATGATGACACTCCTTCACTGTCAAAACGAGATATCGCGAATTTGTCATTCCTTAACATCACGAGCCTTTCCTTTCGAGGGCTGAGTGATGGTGCAGAGATCATCACAGTCATACAAAACTCGCAATTTCCCTCACTAAAAAAGTTCAAGTTTGCAGCCCTCTATCTGTATTCAGAAGAGGCCGAGCAACTCTTTCATGCTCTGTCCTGCTGCAAAGCGTGTCAGACTCTAGAAGAAATCACCATTTGTTCTCCTGATGAAGGAGACTCTGTACCCCCAGACAGCGAGCCTGTGACACCAGTTCCACATTTGCTTTGCTTTACACAACTTCGAACCCTGCAGCTCTGGTTCTATAATCCTTGCATCTACCTGGACGATGACATTCTCTTGCAAGCTATGTCTAGTTGGCCGCACATCCGCACTCTGGACATCAACTACTTAGACGACCATCATTCTCCTTCCGGAGTCTCCCTCCATGGATTATTCGCAGCGCTCAGTCTATGTCCACAATTGCATACACTGCGAATTCTAATCAATCTTACAACTATCGACGTTGATCCTGATGCTGAGCCAATACAACATACCTCCCTACGAACATTGGAACTTTTGGATATATCCCAGTCTCAAATAGCAGATGCTGAAGCTCTCGCTCGCATCATTTCCGCCTGGCTCCCTTGTGTCGACAAAGTTGAAAGCATTGGTAGCACTTGGGATGAAGTCAACAAGCATCTCAAATCTTCGACAGCGGCTACTGCGCTGTATGTCGCGGGAGCCTCCTAGAATCGTTAAGTGGGAATACCTCCACGTCTGGTAATGTTGTCACGTACCTTTGAGTTCTTTCGTTCCTTTGTTGTCGTTGTCGTCGCCGTTGACTGTAGTTATAAACTGTATTACCTCAACATACTTAATCGCCAGCAAGAACTCACCGGTTCACTGATTAGTATGATTTCCAACACGATTATTGGCTCAATTCATCTTCTGGCAGTGCTTTCTTCGTCATATATACATCTATTCTACCATTTCTAGTCACTCTCATGTTCCGTGGTTTGTCCTTTCGATCGAGTCTCTTGTATATTGCCTGTGCACCATATCCGCAGTGCATGCGCCTTCTACCATGGCCCGGGCCCGTCTTAAATGTTCGGTCTCGTACCCGAGACCAGGTTGGCTAACAACTGCAACATCCCTGAATACACTACGTATTTGCAGGTCGTGAACTGTAGTGTCTTGAGCGATATATAGTTTGCATACTTTCCCGGACACTCATTGCATTCCAGCCTTTCTTGAATGTCAGCATGACGCAGACATCCTTCCCTGCACATTCTCGTGCCTAGTTAAACAACGGAAGTTACAGCGACGCGATGACAAAAATTGCAAGTTGTAGAGGACGAGCATTTGGCGCAGGAGTATCGCTGTGCTTGGCCGGTCACTGTTTCTCAAATGAATGTTTGCTCTTATCTCAATCACTATTATCAAACATCGAAGTGGACCGAGCCTCCTATTTGTGTTGTGGGTGCTCGCTATGAACGGGATTCCGTGTTTGTGACCTTCTCCGCTACCGATGCACCTGTTTTCCATCTCGAGACCCTCCTTCTCCTTCTGTCAGATTGATTCATCCAGAAGCGCGTTATGCAAGTTTCAAGTCTGCCACGTTCTCTTTCGATTGCCCGATCATTGATGGCCTCATGCTTGAACGTGCATGTGTTGTTGATTACAGCAGTGACCATGGACCGCCACGACATGAACGGAAGGGTAGGACACATTTTTGTCGTGACTTAAGGCTTCAGAACTCGGATGAAGCTACCATAGGAACTTCGTCCCAGCTCCCAGCTGTACTAATAAAAACCGCCAGTTCGAGAGCATTAGTAGCTACATACTTCTAATGCCGCAGGTCTTCAGGTCTTAGATTTTACGAGATTAGCCTAGGTTCATGAAGCACTCGAGAAGAAACGGACATGAACCCAGAACTTGAGAAGATATCCCGACTTTCTTTTGTTGATCACCGTAGAAGCTTCATGAAATACAGTCCATCCTCTGTATGTTTTTATGGACGAAAGCAACAGATTACTTTAGTGGACGCAAATCATCGGAGACTGCACGTACGTGATCAGGGGAGTGATGAGTGGCCTTTCACGTGACCACCCTTCTGAAATACTTCGGCTCCTCAAAGCTCCCAGAAGCAAGGTACGTGCAGCTAGCGCTGCCGCGAATAACTGAAGCGAATCGAAGTGGAAATTTGAGACACTTCAGTAGACTTCGATGAGTCAACGAAGTTATTTGAAGTGCGCTTCGTGGCGCGCGACACAGAGAAGTAGGATAGGTTAGCAGCTAAGCAAGTTCGTCGACTCGGAACTTGCCTGCTGCAATGAGCTCATCCGAGCTTATGGCATTCCTAGATACCGGCCAGTATGATTTACTTCTTCTGCAATAAGATAGGGCGTGAAATCCAGCCGGTCGTGCCAGTGCTTGTAAGATAACTTAAGTATCTGTAAAGCTTCGAGAACGATTGATGCAGAGGTCAGCACACCGAACTGTGCATGCCTCTGTGCTGGAGGAGAAAACTCATTCAGAAGGGACAGGGTGAAACCTGCGTGGAAAGGCCATCATGATCCTTTGTGATACAGAAAAGCAGCGAGAATATTATATGTTCTTTTTGCAACGAAATATCATGTTCATTTGATGAATGGCTAAAAAAACTCAAATAGTGCACGTACCTCCAAAAACGAACGATATCAGCTGTGCGTTTAGCCGTAGCATCAAGAAGCGCTGTATTTCTCGCTCGGCATCTGCAGCAGCTCGACATGCTGCAGGGGCGTCATATACTAGACATATGCATGCAGAGGTGGATAGAGGTTTCGCAAAGTCCTGAAAGAACCTTTGGTGTTACTAATGGTGAAACTGGTGGGCCATGACTGTATAAAGTTCTTGGACCTGAGGTGCAAGCGAGTACTAACGAAATCTCACGTTTCGAAGTGAAGCGAATTTACCTCTTGAAGTCACTTCACTTCGGTAGCAACAAGTATTACCGATAGGCTAGCGTAACATAAGCACGTAATGACAAGACCTCGAAAACCTTGTCAGCTGCAAATTCGCCTCTAACCTACCCGAGTAGTAGGAACAGCGACGGCAAAAACCTCTTGACCACGAACAGGACAACTTTCTGGCGCTCGCTAACGCCAACGATGATTCGCATACACGAAAGGTTCATTACCTATCTCTTTGCTTGTTCAGAAACTCGCCATCGGTATTCATCTAGCTCCTAAGTCAAGTTTCATCACTGTATGCGGCGGCGTGCGCCCTTTAGCGCACCAAACTCCACTTGTCCGTCATTTTTCTGCCCTCGTCGACTGAGGGTGCGCTTTTGGTGCCCACGCTCTCATATGGCCACCATCGTTGTTCTCTGTCAAAGCCTGCCTCCTTTCTGCTGGACTTATCATACATTATCCTGCCGACAATGCCGGACAGGCCGTCACCGAGTTATTCAGCATCGATGTTTCTGGCCTCAACCGTATCTTCCCCAGGTATGGAGGATTGTGCTGCTCGTATCGTATCAGCATTATTACCGCCAGGTATTGTGAAACACGAGCCTGTGTCCCCGCCCTCATCAGCCCTCATCACTCTCGCACTCGTGAACAGCAGCGATGACTTGAACATGTCGCCCGTTCCGGGATTTTTCGTTGAAGTTGAAAAACATAGAAACATGTCTCCTTCATTTTTTTGCTTGGAGGCAGCGCCAGGCTTCATGAGGTTGTAGTTGGCCTAGCGCCTGATGCAGGAGGATGCAAGTTGGAGGTCAGGTGTGGTAGCCTGGTCACGGCGGCGGGAGACTGCAGGTCGGGCATGGTGCAGGAATAGACGCGCAATGGGCGCGATGGCACGATGCTTAACCTTATACACGAGCAGAAAATACCTTGCCGAGCGGTGCTGAAGGTCTTGACCTGTCACAGTACTATAAGTGAGGTAACTGCCTCGTTTTCGGGAGCTTGGAGGAGCCGAAGTGCTTCGGAAAGGTGACAGTACCACAGACTCTGCCTTCAAGGCGCCATTACGGCAATAAAGCGTTCCGAGAGATAACCCTATAGAAATCGATTAATTACATAAATTAAATTCTAATTCTAAATTTGGACTTAAAAACTACGCAATCTCCGCTTTAAAGGGTCTCATCACCGTGTGCAACAGCGACCAGACCTAATTTCTTCCATTCTTCGATCTTCATATCAGCTTGAATTTGTACAGGCATAATCTGGCACGATGTCGCAGTGGGGCCAGCCGGGATTTCAGTATCCCATGTCCACAGGCTATCCAGGTCAACAGTTTCAGCCTGGCCAGAATCCTCAATTTCAGCAACAACCCAGTTTCCAGCCTGGAGGAATAGCTAGTGGTGGTTTTCAGCCTGGTGGAATTGCTCCACAGCCTACCGGGTTTCCAGGCGCACGACCACAGCAGCCTTACCAGCAGCCTCAACAGACAGGCTACCTGAGCCCGGGCCCCTCTAGACTGGGTGTCTTGCAAGCCCAGCCTACGGGTTTTCCAGGTGAGAGTAGCTTTGCGCAGCAGGCTCGTCCGCAGCCTCCACCTGTTCCGCCCATTCCAAGCCAATTCCAGCAGCAGCCTCAGTTATACCAACAGCCTGGGTTCGCAAATCCACAGCGTTTCGGAGGTCCGTCTCCTTCAGGATTCGGTGGAAACCCAGGTCTCGTACCCCAGCCAACCGGGTTTGCGGGTCGTACTCCTGCGCCCTTGATCCCCCAAGTAACTGGCTTTGTAGATCCACGGTTGCAAATGATGTCTAGCTCGTTCTTACCTGCCAATATCTCTGCACCATATGGTGCAGGAGGAATTCCCCAGCTTGCTGCCCCTCCCCAGCAGCAGTTGGGTGGTCTATCTTTGCAGCAGTCCTTCCAGCAACATAATCAAGCACGAGGCATAGGGTCTGCACCCAAGATCCCATGGACGCTCTCCAAAGCCGAAAAGAAGCAATATGACCAGATTTTCAGATCCTGGGACGCCCAAGGCACTGGTTTCATCAGCGGTCAGACCGCACTCGAGGTCTTTGGCCAGAGTGGAATCGAAAAGAACGAACTGGCTCGCATCTGGTGATTATCAATTTTTTCTTACTGTACATCAAGTCTCTAATGTCTATGCAGGACCCTTGCTGACGCTGATAACCGCGGCAAGCTCAACCTTGCTGAATTCCATGTCGCAATGGGCCTGATCTACCGCAGTATGTCCTTGCATTTCATCTTTACTTTACACCACTGACACAACACCAGAACTTAATGGCAATGACATACCTGACGAACTCCCATCCGAACTTATCCCTCCATCCTCTCGAGATCTTGATACCTCTGTTAATTTTCTCAAGGACATTCTCAAGAATGATACGCGCGCCCGCTCTCCATTGGGTCTCGACACTCCTGTCTCACGTCTCAAAGAGCGTTCTTTCAATTCTACATCTGCACCAGGTGCTGGCGGGCGACAAGATGCTACAGTCTACAAGCATACCGATGCAGAGCCCCCTGGCGGGTTCTACCAGCCCCGCAGCAGGCACATCGATCGCAGCACTGTGCGCTCGCGTAATGAAGACAACAGCCCTGCCGCAGACATGTCTGATATAAAGCGTCAACTTGCCAACACGCAAAAGATGCTCGATGCAAGCGCAGTAGCAGATGCGGGCGATGACGAACTCGATCGTGAGATGGGCGATCTGCGGTACCGCATCAAGCGTCTGCAAGAAGATCTGGATTATGTCTCCCGCGGTCCAAGGAGCGCGAGCAAAGAGGAGGAACGTAGGAGGTTGGAGAGAGAGCTTTTGCAGCTCATGCACGAGCGTGTACCTGAGCTCGAACGCAAGATCGAGGACCGCCAGGCGAGGAAAGAGAGGGAGAATCGCGAGTATGCCAGAGAGCGTGATAGGAGGAACGAGAGATCTGGTCGGTTTGACGATACAGATGGCGGGCATTCGCCTTCCTTGGGCTATCGAGATGATGACCGTGATAGACCTTATTCTCGCAGTGCATCGAGGTACGATAAGGATGACAGAGACTACGACAGGGATAGGTCGTACCGTGACCGCCATGATGATCGCGATGTGTCGACAACAACGCGTACTCCGCCGCCACCGCCTGCTGCTCCGGTAAACAACATATCGCAACCACCACCACCGCCACCAGCCACCAGCCGCTCGCCTGCTCCAGGATTGAAACACATGACACCTGAAGAGCGTAAAGCATTTCTTCAAGTACAAGCGAAGAAACGTCTCGAAGAGCGTATGCAAGCTCTAGGTCTTTCTATGCCATCGTCGACTGTATCATCTACCTTGGGTGTCAGCGTTGAAGACAGACTCGCTCAGGAGAGGAAGGAAGCGGAAGAGAAAGCCAAGGAAGCTGAGAGACAGGCTGAAGAGCGCGAGAGACTTAGGAGAGAACGACTTGAAAGCGAGAAGGCTCTTAGGGAAGGCAAGGCGACTCCTCAGCCTACGCCTGCTGCCCCAACACCTACTACTACCGCCCCACCTCCTGCCCCTGCACCCAAGATTGCGTCACCAGCTCAGAAGCCCCGTGCACCAGCACCGCCCCCACCAAGGAAGGGCTTTGCTCTTCGCCCATCTGCGACTTTATCTTCTTTGCCCTCGCCTGCTCCTGCTCCTGCTCCTGCTCCTGTAATTCCCACACCAGCTCCCGTAGCACCTGCTCTTCCACCAGTACCTGCTGTACCCAAAGAAGACCCAGAGGATGCAGATTTCAAAGCCCGTGAGGCAGCACTTCGCCAGAAACGAGAAGACCACGCTGCCCTCCTCCGCAAGCTTGAGGAAGAAGAGGAGGAGGCGCGTCGCGCTGATGAATTATACCTGGCACGCCGAAAGCAGTTCTTGGCTAGTAAATCTGCCGTGTCCCCTATCATGCCTGCTACACCTACATCTCCTGTCCCCCCGCCGCCGCCTGCTTTCGTTCCTGCTCCGCCGCCGCCTGCTCCTCCAGCAGAGCCCAAGTCTGGGCCCGATGAAGTGGCGCCTACTATTACTACTCCACCACCGCCACCACCGCCCGCACCGCCTGTAAATAAGTCAAGTACCAATCCCTTCAGTCGAATGATGAAGGAGGGGGGATCTACTGTTTCAACCCCTGCAGCAAGCAACGGTAGCAGCAACCCCTTCTTCCTCAACAATCCTGCGCCTGCGCCTACCACACCCGCTCCCCCTAAAAGTCCTGGACCTTCGAGCAAATCGACCTACAACACGGCTGGAGGTGATAGCGAAGATGACTGGGATAACCTAATGGAAAACGAAGAGAATGATAGTAGTGATGAGGAGTTGGGTTCAAGGGACACGCGTATGGGTTTGGCGCAGCAGCTGTTTGGGAACTTGTTGCCTTCAAGGCCCCAATCTGCTGGACCTGAGAAGTCTCGAAGTCCTGCACCTCTGCTACCAGCTTCTGCACCCCCTGCACCTCCTCCACCACCCGCACCCACTGCACCTCCTCCACCATCTGCACCATCTGCACCCCCACCACCATCAGTCAATGTCGCACCCCCAGCTCCAACTGGTAATCACAGTGCCCTCTTGAACGCTATCCAAGGAGGCGCAAAATTGAGGAAGGCTGTTACTCATGACCGTAGTGCTGCAGCAACCTCCGGCAAAGTCATCGGCGATGTTGCTCCTCCTGCTCATATCAATGCTGCACCCCGTCCGGCGTCGCCCCCCGCTGCTATCGCCCCTGCAGCATTTGTGCTTCCTTCACCCCAAGAATCCACTGCTGAGGCACCCCAGATGAGCAGAGGGTCGACTTCAGGACACAGTAAGAAGGAATCAGTTGACTGGTATACTGGTCTTGCTGCTGACCAAGGCGCTGTACATCACTTGCCGACTACTATTGAGGAGGATGAGGAGCCGGCTGAGGAGATATCTGTGATGCCAGAGATTCAAGCGTCTGAGGCAACGATTGATATGATGGATGATATTGATAGGTCTACTGGTGAGCAGTCATGGGGCAGGGGGGGAATCTGAACTGATTATTTTTCAGAGTTCCGTGTGTGGTCGCTTTACCCGTATGAGGGACAGAGACCTGATGATCTTAGTATGGTCGTTGTTGATCTGTACGGCTGATTGCTGATTATTTTGTTAGGCTTTCTTGAGAACCTGATCATTACTGCTCATCCTTCCAAGACAGGAGGCGCCTGGTGGTATGGCACCATCGTGAAGGATGGCAAATCTGGATTCTTCCCACAAACATATGTACAGAAGGTGGAACCAGGTGCGTAAACCTCGATGTACCTTTCTTTCAAATATGTTCATCATGTATGTAGTGAAAGCAAACGCGTTGTACTCATACGCAGGGGAGGGCGCAGATGAGCTTCCCTTTGCCGAAGGCGACGAACTCTCCATCATAGATAGAGGCGAAGAGGATTGGTGGAAAGCTGAACGAGACGGAATTGTCTTCATCGTGCCGGCTGCTTACCTGGAGATAGTAGAGGGTTCGTGGATTTTATCGCCTCCCCCTTGAGTTTTCCTCTTAACCTTGATCGCCGTTGGCAACTAGACTAAAATCTATTCTTTTGCTTTTCTTTTACATGTACGATTCGGAAATACCATTTTCGTTGTTAACAGCCGCCGGATCTCCACCCCTCCTGCGCGTGAACCCGCATGAGAAGCCGTCGACTAACATTGACAGTGCCGAACGTCCTGATATATCGGGGGCGGCAGCTGTCAGCGGATCACCTGATGAGGACGACCACGTTGACAGGTCTTCCGATGAGGGCGAGGACTATTATTCGATGGACGAATCAGATGACGAATCAGAAGGGTCTGAAGATGGGACTATTGAGGACGAACACGCTCGAGAACTTGAACGTCAACGAGTATTGGAGGCGGCAGGCCTGATTGTAGATACGAGCTCGAGTGTGACAGCGCCGCCTAATCCCCCAGTACAGAAGCGCCGCCATCCACCCGTGACTCCTCAACGGGTTTCCATAGCACCAGTGGCTTCGAAGATTCTTCCGCCATTGCCGACTGTTGACTTGACAGATACTGAGCTCGATTCGACGTCTCATCTGGACGACGCTTTCGATCGGTACGAGGTTTTCAAGAAGACGAATGGAAGCTTCAGCAATAGGATGTCTGTCTCATCCTTTGATACCTCTCCTTCGTCACCGCCGCGCTCGCCCGCTGTGTCTTTGGCGCCTAGTCTCACACATCGAGATTGGGAGAGTCGTACGTCGCAGTTTTTGAGCTTTTTGGGGAGACATACAAATAGGTCGAGTACGCCGGAACAAGAAAAGAAAACGTTGGTCATATCTGGTCCTATCGTCAATACGCCTGCTGGTGGTGAGACTGGAGATGAGAGCCCTAGTTTTGGCACGGTGCGTGTCTTTTTTGCTATTACCGGGCGCCGTATTGAGGTGAGTAGTCATGGGCGAGCTTAGTGGACAAGTCGGCACTTGAGGGCATTCCTAAGATGGAGCGGCGACGACAAGAGGTGAGATTATGTGCTTGTAGTGTGGTTGTTGTGTCTCACGATCTGCAGGCAATTTTTGAACTTATTTCTACCGAAGCAGATTACGTTCGCGACCTGCAGCTCATCGTTGAAGTATGGTTTAAAGTGCTATTAATATTGTAGTGTTCAGATTGCTCACGTTACTATGACAGTTGTTCTACTCCCGACTTATGGGCACGCTCGGAGAGAAGGCGACCACTGTTATATTTGCCAACATTGAAGACATATTACTCACTAATACTGTACCTTCTCGGTGCTCTCGCTTACTGGCTATGACTGACAGCTTTGTAGACATTCCTTTCCGTTCTCGAAGAACGTCAGAAAGACTGTCGGCTCTATATCGACCACATTGGCGATGTTCTGGAGACTCACATTCCTAACATGCACCTTTATTTGGTACATACTTCCTGAGTCTGCGCATCGTTAATATTCACCTTTTTTAGTCGTACTGCTTGAACCAGCACAACGCTGCCAAGGTTCTTCACTCCATGAGAGACAGTAATGCTGACCTTGCTACTCAACTTCAGGTATGCTACAAACGTTTTGTTAGCTGTTTACTGACCTTTCTCTCAGCGCCTCCGTGATGACCCTTCTGCTCGAAATCTTGATTTATCACATTATCTCCTCGTACCAAGTACGTTCATGCGGAGGCTTAATAGCCGTTAGTAGCTGACTTTCTATTCCAGTGCAACGCCTCACCCGATACCCTCTCCTAATCCGCCAAATCCTTCAATACACAGATCACTCCTCAACGACTAATACCTCCATCCACACCGTAACTAACGGACAGCCTCCAGGAGTCTCCATCCAGCTCCCAGGCGATGACGAGGAACGAAAAAACATCAGTACTGCTTTGAAAGCAGCACAGAAAATTTTGGAGCATGTGAACGAGACGATACGGGAGCAAGAAGGGAGAGAAAGGCTGGGTGAGATTAGCAAGGATCTGTGGATTGGACAGGGGTGCGTATTTTCTTGCATATTTGCTCCTGATGGCGCTGAGTTATCTTCTCAGTCACCTTGATCTAACCGCTCCAACACGCCACCTGGGACCGCGAAAGCTTGTGAAGGAAGGGATAATAAGCAAAGCAAAAAGCGGACGCAAACTTCGTCTGTTCCTGTGCAGCGACATTCTCGTGCTGACTCATGAAGGAGGAAAGGGTTTATATCGTGTTGTGAGTGTTTTTATCGCCATTACCGGAATTTAGGTAGGTGCTGATGTGTGGGATAGCCCATACCTCTCAACGAAGTGCAAATAAAGGGGTCGAGAAACGAGCGAGGTTCGTAATATTTCTACCTATCACGACCTTGAGTTTACTGTGCCCTAGAGGACTCTCTGCTTCGCCTACACCTTACTTACCCGCGTGGTGGCGATACCATTGTTTTGCGAGCGATTTCAACCAAAGAAGCTCTATCATGGAAGGACGCAATCGAGCGCGCTAGTCGAAGAGCCAAGGATGGAGAGCGACGAGCTGTAAAAGCTCTGCGTGCATCATCAAAGACGGACCTACAACTTTAATATCTACAGACATTTTATTAGACTTCTCTGCTATTGTTATGATCCCATATTAACTGACATTCAGCTACCCATTCCTAAGCAGCATCTTATCAATTCTATCTCATTGCTGTGACCATGGACGATCGTGCGATGTCTGCATATGTACTTGAATTGTTCTGAAGTGATTCAGCAGCTCAGGCTTTCTGGTTGTGCAGCGACTCCCCATTTGGGATACCCTTAATACGCTACGGTACAGCAAATGAGCGCCCAGTTGTCTCGATGCTCAACGTTTAACTGCCACCATAGCGAGCTTATCCATAACAGAATGGATTATTTGATGCTTTCCACTCTCCGCTGTTTCATAGCTTGATCCTTTCGAGACCCAATAGGAGTTCTTCATACAAGCAGTAAGAAATCCAAAAGCCTGCTCGTCTTACTGGATCATTCTGCGGCAGCTTCCTAGCCGTATCCTATAATGGCACATGGACAAGGAAAATGAGTTATAGATGTTCATACTGTCATATTTATTCTGCTAGACCACAACTGACCGAAATCAAGTTATGCATCGCACGTAGGCAGCATCGCCGCGATCTTGTCCTTCCGCTGTCTAAGAAGATCGATCATGGTCTGGATGCCCTTCAACACGCCCTCATCGGGACCTGCCCCGTCGATAAGTCGGGTATGTGCGAAGTCTATAAGAGAAAGGGAACACAAAAGAGCTTGATGTTCCTCCTCTTCCTCTATCGCTTCGTCGGGTATAGACTCCAGAACAAGTTGTCCGTTTTCATCTATCTCGACCTCTACTTCGTCATCGTCGTCTTCTTCTTCTTCGATCGTGGCGGTCCCGGAAGGCATGGAAAGCATCTTCCATGCACGTTCCCAGTCTCCCTCGTACACTATGAGAATACTCCCACCTACCATGCGCATCTCAATGTTCGCTATGGTAGCTTTCAATTCTTCTAGGTCGGCTTGAAGTGTAGTGAGAATGCAGTGGAGGAGGATAGCAGGAAGACCAGATTGTGGCTTTGACACGTCTGAATCGGATGTCTCAGTGAAGTTCGGTGGTATCGGATAAGGTGCAGACGAGACGGGAAAGAACATCTCAATAACGTCAGGAAGCTGTTCCTTCTTGATCGATCTGCCGTACGACTTGGGCGTCAAGATAGGTTCGGAAGAGTCATTACCGTACACCTTCACCGATTTCAGCGTTTAATCTGAGTATTAAAACCATGAGCAGGTACCTGAAATCCTGTGAAGCGAACGCCCGTTTCTCCGCTAGTAGTATTATGAGCGACTTTAATCATACGCGCTTGCTTTTCAGGAGGCGCGTCTTCATCGTAGAGGACGGTCCCAAGTTTCACATCCAGAATACAAGGCTTCACAAAGCCGTACGCAGCATTTTCAAGGACGAGGCGCTGTGCTGGACCAGATAAGAAAAAACGGGACGCGCTGACAGCAGAATCGGATTGACATATCTTTATCCTCTGACACTATATTGCCATGTACGGGAACTATTTCCATATTTCCATCGCCAACTGCATTTGAATCTTTGAGTTGCCCCTCGAGCTTCAGCACGCCCAGAAACTTTGGGGTCCAGTTTCTAAGCTTCGAGAGTTCATCGTGATCGCCTGCTGCGGCGATTCGTTGATAAAATTCAATTTCACGAGGAAGGGCTGGCTTGATCAGAAGGGAATTGTCTTCTGTTGTCTCAATGCCTGCATGGCCACCTACTTGAGCTGCTAGAGGGCGGGTGGCCGCTATCGTTGGCCCGAGCAGGAGCGGAGAATTAGACATGGACGTAGAGTACTAGCACGTGACCCGGCGTGTTTCATTTAATAAATTTACAAAGGCGCGTCAACCTTCAAGGTACACCGACCTCGATAGTCTTCAATCACTTTTTTTCAGTGCTTCCAACAATGAGCAGACGTGGAAATAATGTCCGGGGACCTACATCTGCATTGACCGAGTTTCTTCGGGTATGTTTCGGTCCCCCTAAAACATTTGCATCGCTTCAATAAAACTTTGTTAACAGGAGTCAGGTATTAATCCTGCTACCATTGCTCGTCGAGTGGCTACACAGAATCAGCCTGGGAGCCAGTCACAAGGTCAATCTGTAGCTGGTCCGAGTAACGCTGGAGATAACGTGGAAGATGTTCCAGAAGAAGAGCAACCGGAGGAAAGTGCTCCCCAGGCGTCGAATGGCCGACGTGGTCGAGGCAGGGTAAGTCGTTCATATGAAAGTCTTTCATCGTTGAATTGACTCTTTGGTCGAATAAGAACACTGGCTACGCCTCAGACGAGCTCGACGATCCTGCGGAAGAATCTCCTGTCAAAAAACGGAAGGGTACGAAGGGCCGAGCGACGGCCGCCACAAAAGCCAAGGCCAAGAAGAAAGCGAAAGACGATGGTGAATATGAAGGCTCCTCTGAGGACGAATACCGGGCAATGTCGAAGAATCTCTGGTCAGTGGGTGGAAACGGTAGTCCCAAACCTCTGGCTGGGAGCTTCGAAACCTGCGCGAGATGCGAAAAGCAGTTCACTGTGGTATGATTTCGTTTCACTCAGAATAACATGGCGTAACATTGCGTGTAGACAAAGTATACTATGGCAGCAAATCCGCCTCCTGGCTATCTCTGCCACCATTGTGCCAAGGCTTCTGGTACTGACCCTTTCAAGAAGCCCGTAGTCCCTCGCAAACGCGTTAATGTCACGGAAAAACGGGATGTTATCAGTTATCGGGAACGCCGTTTTCCGTCTCTTGCGGCAATATGCATCGAGGTGGGCCATTAATAACCTTTCATTGTCAAGACGACTGAGCTTTCATGGCACAGCTTATCAGCCGCTACATTAACGATGTGGAAGCTTTGGGTGATATAGGTGCCGTGAACATGGATGAAATTGCGAAAGCCCTCTCTAAGAACCGTGGTCTGTGAGTGATGAGTATGGGATACTTCTCGGAGATTCTCACAGCAGAACGACAGCACTCCTGAGAATGCACATTTGTTCTATGATGTGCTCAACAAGAAGCTGAGGTTCTATGATGCAACTAGTATGTTTCACTATCCTTCTGCTCGTACCGGTTCACCCAAGCCTTTTTGTTTAGATTTGAATCCAGACGCATTGACAACCCTCGCTTCCCTCAACCCCAACTTGACTCACTTACATCTTGATTATTGCGGGCGTCTCACATCGCCCGTCCTTTTAGCTTTTTCCACTTCAATGCCGCAGTTGACTTCCCTGACACTCCTTGGCCCATTCCTCGTACGGGCAGAAGCCTGGATCGAATTCCTCAAGGCTATGTCAGGCTTGCGAGTGTTCAAGATTACGCAAAGTCCAAGATTTGACTTAGAATGCATGCAAACATTCGCAGGTAGCTGCAAAAATATCGGAGAGCTCTCATTGAGGGAAATTGGTTTGATGGACAACGAGTTTGCGGATCCTTTATGCTCTCTACCGCCATTGAGAGTGCTAGATTTGGCGTTTCCAGGAATAGGCATAGATGAAGACGGTTGGATGAAGATCATAGAAAAGCACGGGAGCACTCTTGAAACACTTGATACCTCAAAGCATGAAGGATTCACTGACCATGTCCTCCAGGAGAGTGTCAGGAAATACTCCCGTATCTTGTTCGAATTAAAACTGGACGAGTGTCTTAGTCTCACTGATGAAGGCGTGGCGCAATTCTTTGGCAACTGGGCTTATCCCATGTCCACTCTGAAAGACGAAGGCGACGATATGGATGTGGACGCTGACCCTGTAGAAGTCAGTCTCACATCCCTCGAACCATTCACGCCAAATCCACCGTTGCGCGTACTGTCTCTTGCCCGAAATCAAGAGCTCTCAAGTGCGGCACTCGCAGCTGCCATCGTACACTCTGCTCAGTCGCTCACGTGGTTGAGTGTGAATGGACTACGCAGCGCTTCCTCTGAAGCACTTGCACAACTCAAGAGGGCGAAGGAACTGCGCTATCTAGATGCTGGGTGGTGTCGGGAGCTAGATGATTTTGTGATGAAAGATGTTGTCACAGCGTGCATGAAGTTGAACGAGATTAAGGTGTGGGGATGTAGTCGCGTAAGGGGTGTTGGTTGGGGTGTGAAGGTGAGCCAAGAAGCTTCGTTTACGTGTTTGCAAACTGATCTGACCTCACAGAGAGCCATAAAGGTTCATGGGATCGAACCGAGCGGGGGCATGTAAAAATATCGCGTGGTTACTTGGTGCAGCATTGCATGTACATGCTTGAGATGATGTAGTTATTTACAGGTTTTTCGGCCGCCTTTTTCTTGTTGAGCACACTGAAGCCTACTTTCATTACTGACAGACAAGCCAATGACCGTCTGATATTTTGATGTGGCGATTCGCAGGCAGTTCATGAGGCCCGTTTCAGAGTATTGATATATAATTTGGTAACAGATTAAAAACACGCGGCTTACTGTGGAGATTCGCTGCCATACCCTCGCACGGAAAGCGGCGCCAAGCCCATCAAGCATCTTGCTGCAAAGCACTCACAAATTTGACGGCATTTGAGCTATCTTTTCATTTCCGAGTTCGTCGGTTGCTCCTCGACATTTAACGTTCAACTTTGACGGTGAAAATGTGCATCTCAACCATCATGGGAGGGCTCGTGCACCCGGAGGTATGTGTTTTATCTTGAACACTATGTACTTTCACAAAGCGCAGCAACAGGAACCTCTATCCATTCTGCTTGCCCCACCAGACACTCAGGCCGCTGTGATGCCAGAGCACCTGGAACTGTACAATGACTCAGGGCGCATACCTTCAGAGATTGATCCACCAGTCGGAGCACTGTATGAAGATGAAGATCCTTGTCAGTGAGTAATCATCCCCATGGTGGGATCTCTCCCCCTCATCTCCACCATCTGATAGAGGATCTGGACCCAAGCTCTGTGTGGCGTTCGTCGGAATGGGATCGCAACATCCAGCCATGGGTCGTCAGCTCGCGGAAAGATACCCTCCATTCCTAGCTTCCATCAAGGAAAACGATAGGATCTTGATGGAGGTATATGGCCAGCCATCGTTACTGGACCGCACAGGCCTCTTCATTCCGGGCGCCGAGTGCTCACTGAACGCCAGTGGCACCTGGTCGTTAAATGATGTCATTCTATCATTTGCATACGTACAAATCGCCTTGTGGGATCTCATTCGCAATTTGGGATTTAAAGCAAATTTCGTTATTGGCACAAGGTATTTAATCGCATCGATCAGAAGTTGAAAATGTTATTAAATGGGCGTTCAGTATAGGGGAGATAGTGATGGGTTACGCGGCAGGCCATTACGATAGATCAACCGCGATCGGGATTGCTGCGGCCTTCGCTACTACCATGTCTGAAGTCGAGGGAAACGGTGCCACCATATTTGTCGCCGTCAGTCCACGGCAAGCACGGATGATCATCGATGACGTGCTGCTTCATGCAGGGGCGACATCCGGCCTCTGGATTTCATCCTTTCATTCTCCACACGCCGTTGCCATCGCTGGCACCCATCCCCTCATAGACGCCTTATTTGCTTTCCTAAGCAACTCCAAGACCTTCTCAGATACATTTGCACTGCGGCTCCCTCAGCTTGGGTGTGCATTCCACACACCATTGATGGAACCAATAGAGGGGCCGTTCAAGGCAGCACTGGAGAATCTAGACCTAGACCGAAAGTCGGATGGGGGGACACGTGAAGTGCGAGTGATGTCCACCATTGACGGTGCTTGGCTCAATAGGCCGCTTGATAGCGACTACTTCTGGGACAATGTTCTCCGCCCAACGAGATTTGGGGACATCGTGCAGAAGCTTGTTCATGACGAGGGCGATAATGTCATTATCCTGGAGATCGCTGCTCACCCAGCAATGAAAACTTGCGTAGAACAATGCGGAGCTCGTTATGTCGGGCTAATCCGACGCCCTGCCACGGAGTCCTTGATTGATGGATCAAATGAATGTATTCAGCTTCTTGAAGCGGTCCAGCATCTTTACGATGCTGGGTTCAGGAGCACACTCCCGCTAGGGGTGTTTGAACAAGCCCTTCGACTCCTTCGTACTGGTAAATAGGCTACATGATTCGTTGTAGACATGGTGACTCGACCTACCATATTTTTGGCGATTGACGCTGATATAGCTGCCTCCTAGATGAAAGAGTTTAGGGGAGCGTGTTGTCCAAGCGTGTCGTCTACATTATAACGCAACCTCGCTAATACTGGGTATATTCACGCTCGGATCCAGCCATCTAATGTACATCTAAATCTTGGAATAAGAATATGCTTCTGGCTTTGCGTTGAACCTGTGTTGAACCAACCGCAAACCGCAATTCGCTGGATCAAAGGTCCGGATAACTAGCATGGCTACTACTTGTGCCCGTGGGTTGCTTCAGACTCAATGTTAAAACGGGATGTGGGGACAGTAAGAGGAACTAGTGGGAAGGAACGAATAAGTGCACTGTTTAAATCGTGACTTTTCCCTGGGTCAACTGGTACTGAACTCACGCTGCCAGAGTATCCTTGGAACTGGACTTGTCGGCAGCCGCTGATTGTGACCCAATATATACAAATTGAGAGATATCCACTTGAGAAACACACGACATCAACTGAAGGAATGCCAGACGAAAGTGCCTCCCCGGGATCATCATGTGGTGTCCATACCTGTCAGTGCTGGCGCACTGGACGCTGGACGTGTAGCCTGAGGGGTAGTAGTACGAGGGACTACAGCTAGTACATTGTAGACTCGTAACCAGTCTTGACTACGTCTTTGAAATGTTGAAAGCTTTGCTATGCGTCTACGCCACGCTGGTTG